TACGACTGGTGAGCGAGACGATGAGAGTGAACCGGACGAGGAGTCGGGCAGCGGGGAAGATGAGGGGGATGGAGAGGAGAATGGGAGAACACCGACAGATTCGGTGTTGACGGATATATTTGGGAGGGAGCCTGTACATGCCGGGGATGTCCCCCTTGAATCAGAGACGGGTGATATGGGGGCCGGTTCCGAAGCATTGCTCGTGGGCGGTGCGCAAGGAAGTAGTGCAGGTGAGGGAACTTCGAGGGGGGGTGGCCTGAGGAGTGCGGACGACGTGGTTCGGGGGCGATTACGGAAGTTGCAAGGACTCAACATACAGAGGGAAGTGGTGGGGCATGGAGGCGACGACGATGTGCATGAGAGGGGTACTGAGGAAGGGCGTGGTCGAGGTAGAGGTCAACAGGGAAGAGGTAGAGGGAGAGGAAGAGGCCGGTCCGGGGTGGTGTCCACCACAGAGGAACAAGGCGGCGCGGTTTGTATGGAAGGTCCTGAGAGGGGAGGGCGGCAAACAAGGGGAGGACGGCAAGGGAGAGGAGGGAGGCAAGGAAGGGGAGGGCAGCAAGGGAGAGGAGGGAGGCAAGGAAGGGGAGGGCAGCAAGGGAGAGGAGGGAGGCAAGGAAGGGGAGGGCAGAAAGGGAGGGGAGGGCAGCAAGGGAGGGATGGGCAGCAGGAAACGGTTGAGCTTCAAGGGTTGGAAGGGCAGCCGGGAATGCATCCGCATTGGGGAACAGGGCAGCAGGAAATGGGAGGGCAGCAGGGAACGGGAGGGCAGCAGGGGATGGGAGGGCAGCAGGGGATGGGAGGGCAGCAGGGGATGGGAGGGCAGCAGGGAACGGGAGGGCAGCAGGGGATGGGAGGGCAGCAGGGAATGGGAGGGCTGCACGGGATGGGAGGGCAGCAGGGGATGGGAGGGCAGCAGGGGATGGGAGGGCAGCAGGGAACGGGAGGGCAGCAGGGGATGGGAGGGCAGCAGGGAATGGGAGGGCTGCACGGGATGGGAGGGCAGCAGGGAATGGGATGGCAGCAGGGAATGGGTGGGCAGCAGAGAATGGGTGGGCCACTGGGAATGGGCGGGCAGCAGGGTTTGGGCGTGCAGCATGGAATGGGAGGGCAGTCGGGAATGGGCGGGCAGCGGGGAATGGACGGGAATCAGGGTTTGGGAGGGCAGTCGGGAATGGGCGGGCAGCGGGGAATGAGAGGGTTGTTACAAAGGTGGGGATTGTATGGAATGCCAATGCAGGAGAGCGCAGGAGGCATCGCGCACCATTGGAGCCATGTGGGTCTGACACAGCAGAGTCAGGTGGACGGGTTGACTGGAGTTCGTACTTGGTCAACAGAACAGTCGGGAGCTGATAACGTTGATGGCAATAATTAATAGTGATAGTTATGCTTTATATCTCTGTTGTTTTTTTTTTTTTCCAAGAATTGTGAACACAGCGTGGTGCTGGAGACTTGGGAAGTGTTTCCCACGAAGAGTTACATATCAATGTTGCATTATGCACACTATGAATCCCTAAACACTTGCTAGGTTCGTAATATTGTTCATGAGATTTTACTAGTCCATTGGTGAATATGATACAACTCCTGTTTCTACCTGTAACTCAGATAGGCTGGTTTCGTCCGACCCACACTAATATGGGGTTTTCTCTTCTCCTTTCGTTTATTCTCCTTTTCCCCCAAAAATAAATAAATAAAAAGATAGAGAAAAAGGCACATGAACTTACTACTAAGAGCCCTGACACAGTGCGTGTCAACCCGGATATAAGGCATCTGCTCTTGTAATAATCACGAAGCAACTTAGAGAAGCTGGGGAGGATACGAAGAGAGGGTGATGTCAGAATGTGATGTTTGTGTAGCCTGCAGTGGGGTACTCTGTAGCGAGTACAGCCCGAATTAGGGTTTGCTATATGTACTCTACTGCATGCTAGTGAAAACCTCTCTTTCGTGTTTATCGTTTTAGCCTGCTGTTTCGACATGTTATCAGAGCAGGTCGACCCTGACGGGTCGATCCTGTGGGTGGTCCCGCCCAATGCTTCCGCTGCGGTTTCCTGCTGTCCCCTGCCTGCCGCGCGCTCGGGGCGCGTGGCAGTTTTCTGCCCCATCGAACCGCGTTTTTCTGCCCCGTCGACCGTCGCGTCGCCCCTCGTCGCCCGACGCGGCCCGCGCGACCTGCGCCAGGCCCGCGCGCGACCCGTACGGGCTGCGCCAGGCAGAGAAGACGCAGGAGGGGACGGCAGAGGAACACGCTGCGGAGGAGAGGAAGGACGACGGACTACTAGGTGGGTGTCGGGGACAGTCGGCAGACGCGGACGAGGAACACGACGACCGGAACGACCAGAACAGACAGGCGAGACAGGACGCGACGCAGGCTCACGACGCTCAGTAAGACTCCCTAGCTGCTCAGTGTAAGGAGAAGGAGCAGGCAGCGGTGAGCCAGGCTGTAACGGAAGACCAGTAGACGAAGGGAGACTAAGAACCTGGCTAAGCACAGAGTCAGGCGGTGGCTGAGACGACGGAGACGGCGGAGCGAAGAACAGGCGCGGCTGTGCAGTAACACCAGCACCAGCAGCTCCAGTACCCCCAGCAGCTCCAGCACCTCCAGTCCCAGGGTCTCCAGCCTCAGTGCCTCCAGCAACAGCACCCTCAGGCTCAGCACCTCCAGCCCCAGCAGCTCCAGTACCTCCAGTACGAGCACCTCCGGGACCAGCACCACTCCCAGCTCCAGTGACGGCAGCAGAAGTACCTCCAGCGGCAGAGCCCCGAGCTCCAGAAGCGCGACCCTGACGGCGACCGTACCAGTCGTGCAGCTGCTGCGAGGTGAGAGGCACACGCGGACAAAGGCGGCTACTCCAAGGAAACCGCGCAACAGCAGACTCAGAACCCTCAGCGCCAGCACCCGCAGGAGCTCCAGAGCCTCCAGCGTCAGCACCCTCAGTAGCTCCAGGACCTCCAGCTCCAGCGCCACCAGCGCCAGCACCTCCAGCAGCTCCAGAACCTCCAGCGCCAGCACCCGCAGCAGCTCCAGAACCTCCAGCTCCAGCGCCACCAGCGCCAGCACCTCCAGCTCCAGCACCCTCAGCAGCTCCAGAACCTCCAGCAGAAACAACTCCAGTGACAGAGTCACCAGCTCCAGCGCCTCCCGCAGTAGGGCCCCTAGCTCCAGCAACGCGACCCTGACGGCCAGCGTACCACTCAAGCAGCTGCTGTGGGGAGAGAGGGAGTCGACGACGAGAGTGCAGCGGCGAGGCACCAGCGGAGCGACTACGGAGACGGCTGCTCCAGGGAGACTGCTCACCAGACGCCTCAGCGCCCCCAGGCTCAGCACCCCCAGACTCCTCACACCCAGGCTCAGCACCTCCAGTCTCCGCACCCCCAGGCTCAGCACCCCCAGACTCCTCACACCCAGGCTCAGCACCTCCAGTCTCCGCACCCCCAGGCTCAGCACCCCCAGTCTCCGCACCCCCAGGCTCAGCACCCCCAGGCTCCGCACCCCCAGGCTCAGCACCCCCAGCAGCAGCACCCCGAGTAGGACCACCCTCAGCAGGACCTGAGTCACCAGTGACCTCAACCTGAGGAGGAGGGTCTACCTGAGACACACCTGAAGGAGCAGGACCGGGAGCGGGGAGGGGGTCTACCTGGGGAGCACCTGGAGCGAGGAAGAGCGGCGGGGGGGGGAGAGGGGCAGTGCGGTAGGGGAAGAGACGGTAAAAGGGAACCGACTCGTCGAACGTGACGTCGACGGTAACGAGTACCTGTGGTTGTCCACGGTAGTAGCATGACAACAAGATGTGAGGACCTGATGTGCATCTATACAACAAGATAGCCCAGCCTGCCTTGTGTGTCATTGTGCGAAATCTATCTTGGTGTGCATGTATACAAGAAGATGTGAGAACCTAGTGGTATATGCATGTTTGCTAACTGTTGGGATATCTCGAACCCCATGTTAATCAAAGTTCTTCCATGGACAACCACATACGGTACAGACACGAATATTTTCATGAGCTATGATGGAGTGACATTATAAAGGGACTACCATTTTTTTAGTTCTACTATCTTGTTTCTAAAAATGTTTTTTATTAAAGAAACGGCATTAGCCCAGTCGAAAACCCTAGATCTGGAATGTGCCCCTACGAACGAGCCATCTCTCCTTACCCCTCCAAGCCATCATGTTTTTCCGAGTATATCTCATTGCACAACAGCTCAATCACACAACAACCTCTACTCAGGCATTTGCAGGGCTGGCGGTACACCCAACGTCATGCTCTAAACTTGCCACCATTACCTCAAGGCTGCCGCTACCAACTCCCCTTATAACAACACGAAATGGGCACATCACATCGTCACTGTGCATCGCCACAGTCGGATGGCGGTGCACTGTGTTACACCGCAACACAATGAGGTTTGGGCGGTTATAATGAAAACGCGGCCCAATCCTATGCTGCTGACAGAACAACAGCACATCCTCCCTCGCCGCACTTGCATTGGTGTAGACCTTCCCTACGTAGATGTTGACTGCATCAACCCTATGCTGTTGAAAGACCCTGGGGACAAGAACATATGAGGAAAGGATTAGAACTACTAGGCTACATATGCAGATGTACTGGTACATATTTGTTAATCACATAGCCTCTGTCATAGCAAATGAGTTAATTACAAACAGAACTTCAAGAATGTGGTTGCACCTGGCACGCATGCGAGACATGATCCCCGCAGCAGATGTCTCAAGCTCTGACCCCTGAAAAATGGAATGAGAGGATATGATACGGAGGGGTTTGCATCCGAGGACAAAAATGGGGATGAGTGGTAGGACATGGGTTCAAAGTGAGAGGGGATGAGAGTCGAGGTTAGGGAAGGGGGCAAAACCCGGTGAGGTAACAGGTTAGTAGAGGGTATGATGTCGGAATTCGAGGGCTGGATAGTCGACGAGAGAGTGTGAGAGGGTAGAGTAGGGCGTGAGAAATCACGGGAGGGCATGAGAGGGCTTGATAAGGCAAGTGATTTCATGAGCGGGGATGAGACAGTAAAATACTCGCCCAGCGGTCTCTCATTCCGCGCAGGGCGCATAGCTGGTCGTGAGAGTCACGCCAAGGCAGGGAAGTTGAAGTAAAGTGAGTGAGCGCACCTGGATGAGGTTGGTGGGCGGTGAGCCCTGACGAGGGTGCTGGCACATGTTTCAGGAAGTTATCCAGCAGGGCAGTTCAAGTAAAGTGAAGTGAGTGAGTGAGTGGATGTTGACGAGGTTGGTGAGTGGGTCGTATGGCCCAAAGCGGAATGGCTGTGGGGCGAACTAGCCGTTTCAGTATTGAAGCCTGGAAACACCTGCCCTTGTACCGGTGGGGAGGGGGAGGGCGGCGAGAGAGGAGAGAGTGAGAGAGTGGCGGGGTTGAGTAATAGCGATGAAAGTGTGAGAAATCCGCTGAGCGCATAGCTGGCCGCAAGATAGGCGCAATGCGCCCAGCGGTGAGCAAAATGTGTCAGTGCAGCAGCAGCATGGAGAGAGTGGGGAGGGTAGTGCATGAGAGGACAGAAAGGGGGTGAGAGGATAGGAAATCGGTTTGGGGATGGCGTAGCGTGTGGGATACTAATCGTGTATGAGACAGAGCGCAAGGCGACAAGAGACGAAGCCCGCCCAACACATGATAAAGGGAGTATGAACTTGTAAGAGGTGGCTGGTAAGTGAGGTCGCTCATCAAGATAGGGCAGAAGTGGTAACGTGAAAGAGAATGCGAGGGAGATTCAGAGGGGATAATTGAGTAGGTTATCAAGCATAGGAGAGAATGAAGTTCAGAATGACAGGGCATGACGGGGTAGATAGGAGAGGAGACCGCGAGAATGAGCGCGCATGAGAGGGAACGGTAGGGATTGAGAGATAACGAGAGGGAGGGCATAATACTCGCTCAGCGGTCTCGCAGTACGTGTAGGGTTACGCAACAAAGAGAGGGAGGGGCTGGAAAATCCGAGTAGAATGCGAACAAGTGTGTCAGTGCAGCAGAGAGAGGCGGAGTGGGGAAGAAAATGCAGGTAGGTAGCGGGACAATCGTGACGGTTACGCAGCAGAGAATGGGAGGGCTGGGAAATCAGAGTAGGGTGCGAACAAGTGTGTCAGTGCAGCAGAGAGAGGCGGAGTGGGGAGGAAAATGCAGGTAGGTAGCGTGACAATCGTGACGGTTACGCAGCAGAGAATGGGAGGGCTGGGAAATCAGAGTAGGGTGCGAACAAGTGTGTCAGTGCAGCAGAGAGAGGCGTAGTGGGGAAGAAAATGCAGGTAGGTAGCGGGACAATCGTGACGGTTACGCAGCAGAGAATGGGAGGGCTGGGAAATCAGAGTAGGGTGCAAACAAGTGTGTCAGTGCAGCAGAGAGAGGCGGAGTGGGGAGGAAAATGCAGGTAGGTAGCGTGACAATCGTGACGGTTACGCAGCAGAGAATGGGAGGGCTGGGAAATCAGAGTAGGGTGCGAACAAGTGTGTCAGTGCAGCAGAGAGAGGCGGAGTGGGGAGGAAAATGCAGGTAGGTAGCGAGACAATCGTGACGGTTACGCAGCAGAGAATGGGAGGGCTGGGAAATCAGAGTAGGGTGCGAACAAGTGTGTCAGTGCAGCAAAGAGAGGCGGAGTGGGGAGGAAAATGCAGGTAGGTAGCGAGACAATCGTGACGGTTACGCAGCAGAGAATGGGAGGGCTGGGAAATCAGAGTAGGGTGCGAACAAGTGTGTCAGCGCAGCAGAGAGAGGCGGAGTGGGGAGGAAAATGCAGGTAGGTAGCGAGACAATCGTGACGGTTACGCAGCAGAGAATGGGAGGGCTGGGAAATCAGAGTAGGGTGCGAGACAAGCGTGTGAGAGTGGAAAGGGAGAGAGAGAGAGTCATGAGGTTTTTGGAAAAAGGCAGCGAGACAATCGTGAGGGTTACGGAACAGAGAGAGAGGGAGGGTACCCGGAAACTAGTTGCAGTAGAGCGACTCCACGTTCAAGTTGAGGTCGGGGTTGCTCCGCCGCACGGGGCTCAGAATGCACTTGAACAGCACCGCCAGGCGCCCCGCGCTCTGTTTCGGAGGGAGGTGGAGGGGTAGCGGAAAGAGATGGAATAGGGGAATGGGGAGCGAGGACATGAAAGAGGATGAGAGGTAGGACAGGGGTTATAACAATGAATGGCATTCTAGGGGATGAAAGTTTGAGTGTCAGGGGATGAGGGTGAAGAATAGGGGAGAAGACAGCGTTTGATGGGGAGCAAGCAATCCGCTGAGCGCATAGCTGGCCGCAAGAGAGGCGCAATGCGCCCAGCGGTGAGCAATCCGCTGAGCGCATAGCTGGCCGCAAGAGAGGCGCAATGCGCCCAGCGGTGAGCAATCCGCTGAGCGCATAGCTGGCCGCAAGAGAGGCGCAATGCGCCCAGCGGTGAGCAAGCCTCTGAGCGCATAGCTGGCCGCAAGAGAGGCGCAATGCGCCCAGCGGTGAGCAATCCGCTGAGCGCATAGCTGGCCGCAAGAGAGGCGCAATGCGCCCAGCGGTGAGCCATCCGCTGAGCGCATAGCTGGCCGCAAGAGAGGCGCAATGCGCCCAGCGGTGAGCCATCCGCTGAGCGCATAGCTGGCCGCAAGAGAGGCGCAATGCGCCCAGCGGTGAGCCATCCGCTGAGCGCATAGCTGGCCGCAAGAGAGGCGCAATGCGCCCAGCGGTGAGCAATCCGCTGAGCGCATAGCGCTGGCCGGATTAGAGGCGCAATGCGCCCAGCGGCGAGCATACCGCTGGGCGCATGCCGCTGGCCTCGAGAGGCGTGCTACGCGCCCAGCGGCGAGCTTTCCGCTGGGCGCATAGCGCTGGCCGCGAGAGGCGCGCTACACGCCCAGCGGCGAGCATACCGCTGGGCGTATAGCGCTGGCCGCGAGAGGCGCGCTACGCGCCCAGCGGCGAGCATTCCGCTGGGCGCATGGCGCTGGCCGCGAGAGGCGCGCCACGCGCCCAGGGGCGAGCATTCCGCTGGGCGCATAGCGGCAAGCAGATGGTCCGGCGTGACGGTCCAGCGGCCGGCACGCCGCTGAACGCGAGAGCGGCGAGTGTGGCGCGACCACCGCTGGCCTTACGATTTTTTAACAATGTTAAGATTCGAGAAGGCTCAGCTGTTAGGGAAGTAAAACGGATAGAGACGTACCTCTGTTAAGGAGCAGCTGTCACATGAGCTTCCGTGGATTCTATGGCCGGGTAATAGGTCTAAGGAATCCGTGCTAAGTTAGTGTCGAGTGTGATAGGGCTAGAGCATGAAGCAATCTGTTGGGGCTACGGGAAGTTGAGAGTTTGCAGGTTGGGTTGATCTTAGTGTGCACGCGGTGTACAATACGCTTGGTTCTGGTTCGGCAGAGTGGCGTTCGTGGTTCAGGAGGACGTGGGAGCATCACAGTTTGTGGATGGGTTTGGCGCGAGCGGGAAACCGTCAAATCAGGGTCATGTCAGAGCTGATTTCATCGAAGTTACCATTCGCGTGATGGGCTGCTAATGGAAAGTTACCATCCGCGTTAAGCGAGTTACCAAACGTGTTAAGCGAGTTACCAAACGCGTGAAACCAGCATGAAATCTTTACCGTACGCGTTATAGTGCCCCATATAAGTTACCATTGACATAATTTCCCCAAGAGAAACACGGAGCCAAGCTAGCAATTTGGATCCTAAAAACTATGCCTAGTTCTCCATTCAGCATCGACTTATTAGTTGGATGAATGCACGGAGCCCTTCCATTCTAACGTTTCACGGTTTTTGTTTCCGTGCTTCAACGACGTCATTTCTTCGTAGAAAAGGGAACTGCTATCTTATTAGAAAATAAATTCCTAAATATCGGAAGCCATGGAAGGCAGGGAATGCTGCAAGTTTTTTTTAGTACTCACCCATTAGCGAGTAGCGAACCAGCTGTCGAGCTTAGAGCGGGAAAATGTCGTGGGAGGGTGACAATAACGAGCGGGTTCTGGTGCCTGTAGGCAATGACGCGTGCAGCAAGGACGCGCTGCGATGGGCCGTGGCCAATAAGATCTCGCATCCCGACGACCTGCTCGTGCTGCTTCACATCGTCACCAAAGCGCCGGGTAAGTCTCCTCAGGTGACACGAGCAACGGGTCAAGTGAGACGGCCTTTGCGACGGGTGGGGACGTGTCAGGAGAGTTTTGAGGCGCCTCAAAAGGCATCCCGACGACCTGCTCGTGCTGCTTCACATCGTCACTAAAGCGCCGGGTAAGACGAGTCTAGTGAGACGGGCTGTGCGACGGGTAACATGCCGCGTCAAGTTTTTTTTTCTGAACTAACGAATGGAGTGGGACGCGTCCGGCGGTAGGACGCGCCGGCGGGTGAGACACTCAGCGCTCTCAGGCCTGGCGCTTGGGTCAAGCGCCTTTCGCGGTGGCCATTTGTAGAAACGGAAAGTTGGATTTACAGTAACTTTGAGATGATGCCTACATTGTTATATTCAGGGAACATACCGACTCGTCTACAAGGAGTCCATTTTTTTGTGTCTTGCGCTCCGGGATTGCTTCGGTGTGCTAACTCAACCGTGACCCGGATCGGATCTCATCCGTGTGTGCGCGTACGCGTTTTTGGCAGGTCCGATGGTTACGACTAAAAGCGTTTTATTATTCTAATGATTAGTATCTGTTTTTTTTTTCTGAACTCCAAAATCTGCGGCAGGTCCGGATGGGTACGACGTGGCGCAAAGCACGGTGTCGAAGACGGCGATCGTGCAGCACGTGCGCACCGCCATCATGCCCATGCTCTCGCAGCTCAAAGGCGCCGTTGACTCCAAGGTGAGTGAGAGACTAGACTCACTCACTGCGCCTGCTTTTGGGCGCCTCAAAAGGCAAGGTTGTAAGCACGTGCGTACCGCCATCATGCCCATGCTCTCGCAGCTCAAAGCCGCCATTGACGCCAAGGTGAGACAGTAGACCCTCTTTGCGCCGACTCCTGAGACACCCTTAGAAGTTAGAGGCACGATTGTTGCTGTGCCGTGCCGGGCCGGTGATCCATGCCCCATGCTGTCGCAGCTCAAAGCCGCCATCGACGCCAAGGTGAGAGACTCGACGCTCACTGACTGTGTCTACTGAGGCACCTCAACAGGCAAGACTGGAACCGCGCGTTACCGCCATCATGCCCATGCTCTCGCAGCTCAAAGCCGCCGTTGACGCCAAGGTGAGACCAGACCCTCTTTGCGCTTCCCCCTCCATAGTGCTGAGCTTTCTGTTCCCCCCATTCCCCCGTCCGCCTCCCCCGTCCGCCTCCTCCTTCCGCCTCCCCCATTCATTTCCCCCGCAGGTGCGCCTGCAGCTGCGGGTCACACGCCTTGCGCTTCCCCGATAATCCCTCTTCCCATTCCCCCATCTACTTCCCACCGTTTCCCCCTCAGGTGCGCCTGGAGCTGCGCGTGGGGCGCAACGACTCACGGGATGCGGGGATCATGGAGGAGGCGAAGAAGCTGCAAGCGACATGCCTGGTGCTCGGTACCAAGGGCCGCGGGATGTTCACCATGTAAGCAGTCTGCCTTGTGTTGAGTCGCTTCATTAACATTCTCGTGCGGCACCATGTGATGGGTAGTGAGACGACTCGCGGGATGCGGGGATCATGGAGGAGGCGAAGAATCTGCAGGCCACGTGCCTCGCACCAAGGGCCGCGGGATGTTCACCATGTGAGTATGTTGTTGTAACACACATACGACATAGTGACACGTTTTGCGGTGCTGGCATCATGGAGGAGGCGGAGAAGCTGCAAGCCACGTGCCTCGTACTCAGCACCAAGGGCCGCGGGATGTTCGCCATGTGAGCAGCCTGTCTGTTATATCTGTTGGTAGGGGTGTCACAAGACGCGGGGATGATGGAGGAGGCGGAGAAGCTGCAAGCGACATGCCTCGTACTCGGCACCAAGGGCCGCGGGAAGTTCTCCATGTGAGCAGCCTGTCTGTTATATCTGTTGGTAGGGGTGTCACAAGACGCGGGGATGATGGAGGAGTCGACGAAGCTGCAAGCGACATGCCTCGTGCTTGGCACCAAGGGCCGCGGGAAGTTCTCCATGTGAGCAGCCTGTCTGTTATATCTGTTGGTAGGGGTGTCACAAGACGCGGGGATGATGGAGGAGTCGACGAAGCTGCAAGCGACATGCCTCGTGCTCGGCACCAAGGGCCGCGGGAAGTTCTCCATGTGAGCAGGCTGTCTGTTATATCTGTTGGTAGGGGTGTCACAAGACGCGGGGATGATGGAGGAGTCGACGAAGCTGCAAGCGACATGCCTCGTGCTCGGCACCAAGGGCCGCGGGAAGTTCTCCATGTGAGCAGCCTGTCTGTTATATCTGTTGGTAGGGGTGTCACAAGACGCGGGGATGATGGAGGAGTCGACGAAGCTGCAAGCGACACGCCTCGTGCTCGGCACCAAGGGCCGCGGGAAGTTCTCCATGTGAGCAGCCTGTCTGTTATATCTGTTGGTAGGGGTGTCACAAGACGCGGGGATGATGGAGGAGTCGACGAAGCTGCAAGCGACATGCCTCGTGCTCGGCACCAAGGGCCGCGGGAAGTTCTCCATGTGAGCAGCCTGTCTGTTATATCTGTTGGTAGGGGTGTCACAAGACGCGGGGATGATGGAGGAGTCGACGAAGCTGCAAGCGACATGCCTCGTACTCGGCACCAAGGGCCGCGGGAAGTTCTCCATGTGAGCAGCCTGTCTGTTATATCTGTTGGTAGGGGTGTCACAAGACGCGGGGATGATGGAGGAGTCGACGAAGCTGCAAGCGACATGCCTCGTGCTCGGCACCAAGGGCCGCGGGAAGTTCTCCATGTGAGCAGCCTGTCTGTTATATCTGTTGGTAGGGGTGTCACAAGACGCGGGGATGATGGAGGAGTCGACGAAGCTGCAAGCGACATGCCTCGTGCTCGGCACCAAGGGCCGCGGGAAGTTCTCCATGTGAGCAGCCTGTCTGTTATATCTGTTGGTAGGGGTGTCACAAGACGCGGGGATGATGGAGGAGTCGACGAAGCTGCAAGCGACATGCCTCGTGCTCGGCACCAAGGGCCGCGGGAAGTTCTCCATGTGAGCAGCCTGTCTGTTATATCTGTTGGGAGGGGTGTCACAAGACGCGGGGATGATGGAGGAGTCGACCAAGCTGCAAGCGACATGCCTCGTGCTCGGCACCAAGGGCCGCGGGAAGTTCTCCATGTGAGCAGCCTGTCTGTTATATCTGTTGGTAGGGGTGTCACAAGACGCGGGGATGATGGAGGAGTCGACGAAGCTGCAAGCGACATGCCTCGTGCTCGGCACCAAGGGCCGCGGGAAGTTCTCCATGTGAGCAGCCTGTCTGTTATATCTGTTGGTAGGGGTGTCACAAGACGCGGGGATGATGGAGGAGTCGACGAAGCTGCAAGCGACATGCCTCGTGCTCGGCACCAAGGGCCGCGGGAAGTTCTCCATGTGAGCAGCCTGTCTGTTATATCTGTTGGTAGGGGTGTCACAAGACGCGGGGATGATGGAGGAGTCGACGAAGCTGCAAGCGACATGCCTCGTGCTCGGCACCAAGGGCCGCGGGAAGTTCTCCATGTGAGCAGCCTGTCTGTTATATCTGTTGGTAGGGGTGTCACAAGACGCGGGGATGATGGAGGAGTCGACGAAGCTGCAAGCGACATGCCTCGTACTCGGCACCAAGGGCCGCGGGAAGTTCTCCATGTGAGCAGCCTGTCTGTTATATCTGTTGGTAGGGGTGTCACAAGACGCGGGGATGATGGAGGAGTCGACGAAGCTGCAAGCGACATGCCTCGTGCTCGGCACCAAGGGCCGCGGGAAGTTCTCCATGTGAGCAGCCTGTCTGTTATATCTGTTGGTAGGGGTGTCACAAGACGCGGGGATGATGGAGGAGTCGACGAAGCTGCAAGCGACATGCCTCGTGCTCGGCACCAAGGGCCGCGGGAAGTTCTCCATGTGAGCAGCCTGTCTGTTATATCTGTTGGTAGGGGTGTCACAAGACGCGGGGATGATGGAGGAGTCGACGAAGCTGCAAGCGACATGCCTCGTGCTCGGCACCAAGGGCCGCGGGAAGTTCTCCATGTGAGCAGCCTGTCTGTTATATCTGTTGGTAGGGGTGTCACAAGACGCGGGGATGATGGAGGAGTCGACGAAGCTGCAAGCGACACGCCTCGTGCTCGGCACCAAGGGCCGCGGGAAGTTCTCCATGTGAGCAGCCTGTCTGTTATATCTGTTGGTAGGGGTGTCACAAGACGCGGGGATGATGGAGGAGTCGACAAAGCTGCAAGCGACATGCCTCGTGCTCGGCACCAAGGGCCGCGGGAAGTTCTCCATGTGAGCAGCCTGTCTGTTATATCTGTTGGTAGGGGTGTCACAAGACGCGGGGATGATGGAGGAGTCGACGAAGCTGCAAGCGACATGCCTCGTACTCGGCACCAAGGGCCGCGGGAAGTTCTCCATGTGAGCAGCCTGTCTGTTATATCTGTTGGTAGGGGTGTCACAAGACGCGGGGATGATGGAGGAGTCGACGAAGCTGCAAGCGACATGCCTCGTGCTCGGCACCAAGGGCCGCGGGAAGTTCTCCATGTGAGCAGCCTGTCTGTTATATCTGTTGGTAGGGGTGTCACAAGACGCGGGGATGATGGAGGAGTCGACGAAGCTGCAAGCGACATGCCTCGTGCTCGGCACCAAGGGCCGCGGGAAGTTCTCCATGTGAGCAGCCTGTCTGTTATATCTGTTGGGACAGGTGTCACAAGACGCGGGGATGATGGAGGAGTCGACCAAGCTGCAAGCGACATGCCTCGTGCTCGGGACCAAGGGCCGCGGGAAGTTCTCCATGTGAGGCGCGGCAAGCTATCAGGCAGCACGAGCGCCTACTGTGTGAAGAACCGACCCCCTTCGCTCTCCGTGATATAGTCGTCTCCAAAGACAAGGTGCTGCTGGTCAAGCAAGGCGACGCCACCCCCCCCAACCGCTCGCCTGCTCTCTCCCTCACCGGCAGCCCCCTCCCTCCCACTTCCTTTCCCTTCCTGTTTCCCCCTCCCCTCCCTGCTCTTCCCCCTTTCCCCTTCCCCCGCCCTCCCTCCCAGGCGCGGCAAGCTATCAGGCAGCACGAGTGCCTACTGTGTGAAGAACCGACCCCCTTCGCTCTCCGTGATAGTCGTCTCGAAAGACAAGGTGCTGCTGGTCAAGCAAGGCGACGCCACCCCCCCCGACCGCTCGCCTGCTCTCTCCCTCACCGGCAGCCCCCTCCCTCCCACTTCCTTTCCCTTCCTGTTTCCCCCTCCCCTCCCTGCTCTTCCCCCTTTCCCCTTCCCCCGCCCTCCCTCCCAGGCGCGGCAAGCTATCAGGCAGCACGAGTGCCTACTGTGTGAAGAACCGACCCCCTTCGCTCTCCGTGATAGTCGTCTCGAAAGACAAGGTGCTGCTGGTCAAGCAAGGCGACGCCACCCCCCCCGACCGCTCGCCTGCTCTCTCCCTCACCGGCAGCCCCCTCCCTCCCACTTCCTTTCCCTTCCTGTTTCCCCCTCCCCTCCCTGCTCTTCCCCCTTTCCCCTTCCCCCGCCCTCCCTCCCAGGCGCGGCAAGCTATCAGGCAGCACGAGTGCCTACTGTGTGAAGAACCGACCCCCTTCGCTCTCCGTGATAGTCGTCTCAAAAGACAAGGTGCTGCTGGTCAAGCAAGGCGACGCCACCCCCCCCGACCGCTCGCCTGCTCTCTCCCTCACTGGCAGCCCCCTCCCTGGCACCTCCTCTCCTTCCATCCCCTCCGCTGGGTCCTCCTCTGGGGAGAGTCGCCGGAACAGCGAGAGCCGGAACGGTGAGAGCCGGGCGGATGCGGTGCAGGTGGCACAGGAGAGTGACGGCGGTGGGAAAGTGAGTGGGAGTGGGAGTGGTAGTTTTGGCAAGGGGAGTTTCATGCGTGCTGGGTCTTCCCTGTCGGATCGTTCTGCGGTTTCGGATGGGAGTAGCAGCAAGGAGACTGGTGATGAGAGCAGTACTAGCAAGATCGCAGCTGATGCGCTGACAGTGGCAGATGGTGTCTTAGAGGAGAGGGGCAGGGGGGACGGACAGGAGGGGAGGGGCAGAGGAGGAGGGGAGGAGAAGGGGGTGGGTAAGGAGTTACAGCAGTTGCGGGAGCAGCAGCAGCAGCGGATGCTGCAGCACCAGCAGCAGCAGCTTCAGGCAGCGACCAAACTCGCTGCTCTTATGGAGGGAGTCAGTGTGGGAGCGGGAGGAGGTGGGGGTGGAGTGTGGGGAGGGGAAGGATTCGGAGGAGGAGTGGGAGGGAGGGGAGGAGGAGGGGAGGGTACTGGTGGGGACGACACAGGGGGCGGCGGTGCGTGGAGCGATGACCATGACTCTGCCTCAGCGGCTCATGCAGTTGCCAGGTCACAGCAGCGCATGGGCATGGTGCATGAGAGCACAGGCATGGGTCATGCTAGTGCGGCAGGCATGGGGTTTCAACCTACCAACAGCGGTGGCAGCGGCGGTATCAGCGGCGGTATCAGCGGTGTCAGCGGTGGTGGCGGTGGCGGCAGTGGCGGGTTGAGCCTGGCGAGCAGCACGGACAGCACGTTCACTGTGGGGAGCAGGAGCAATGCGAGCAGCAGGGCTGGCAGTGGGGGCGAGCCCACCACCTCTCCTATCAGCGGCAGCGGCAGCGGCAGTGGGAACGGGAACGGGATAGCTGGGAGTGCAGTGAAAGAAGCAGGCATGGTGGCAGCTGCAACTGCTGTGGCTGGGGTGGAAGAGGCCGGTGGGGCGGGAGAAACGGGAGGGGCAGTGGCGGCAGAAATGCTGGAAGCGTCCAGTGGGGTGTTCTGCCGTGTGTACTCTTATGAGGAGATCCAGGTATGCCTGTGTGTGTGAGCCTTTAAATTTCTTTCAAGGAGCGATTGAAGCGTCCAGTGGGGTGCACTGCCGTGTGTACTCGTATGAGGAGATCCAGGTATGTTGACTGTGCTTTGAGGCTCTGTTGGAGTTACTTTTAAGAATTCTCAAAAGTAACTCCAGCATTTTTTCCGTGTGTGCTCATATGAGGAGATCCAGGTATGTTGACTGTGCTTGGAGGCTCGAAAAACCAAGCTGAATAATGCCCGACTCGTGTTTTGCTCATGTCGAGAGTCCCCTTATTAGTGTTCTCCGTGTGTACTCATATGAGGAGATCCAGGTACGCGTGGGTTTCTAGACGCATTGAGCTTGTTCTTTATTCCACTCCTTCCCTCTCCCAACCCCACGCTGTCAACTCTCAACTCTCGTCTCCCCCCTCTCACACCAGAGAGCAACGGACAACTTCAGTCCCCAGCTGGTGCTGGGAGAAGACGGGAGTGGTGTGCTGTGCTCTTGCTGTCGTGCGCATTGCTCTTCTGATCGCCATACACTCTCCTCTCTCTCCACTCATTTCCACTTGCCCTTCTTCCGCACACCAGAGAGCAACGGACAACTTCAGCCCGCAGCTGGTGCTGGGAGAGGGCGGCTTCGGCACCGTCTTTTCTGGGCTGCTGGGCGGCGGCAAGGTGGCTGTGAAGGTGATCAAGACGGAAGACGCCGACCGGGCAGCCAAGGAATTCCAAAGAGAGGTGAGCAGGAGAAACTCTAGGTTCAAATCTGCTGCTATGTTGTCTAGGTTCAAATCTGCTGTTACGTTGTCTAGGTTCAAATCTGCTGTTACGTTGTCTAGGTTCAAATCTGCTGTTACGTTGTCTAGGTTCAAATCTGCTGTTACGTTGTCTAGGTTCAAATCTGCTGTTACGTTGTCTAGGTTCAAATCTGCTGTTTCGTTGTCTAGGTTCAAATCTGCTGTTATGTTGTCTAGGTTCAAATCAGATCTGCTGTTACGTTTTCTTCCTTGTTCTGCCGCTTTCCCTTTCTTCCCCCAGCTCCCCCCCCCACCCACCCCTATGTGTGTCTTCCCCTGCTCTCGTCTTTCTTCCTTTGGAGGCCAACGTGCTTTTGCACCCATCGTTGATTTTCCTCTATTGCCCGTTGTAATCCCCTCACCGCACGTCTCCTGTCGCCACCCCTTGAATGGAGCTCTTGAGTTAGATACACCACCCACGTGTCCCCTCCCTGCCCCCGTCTCTCTCTCTCTACTCCCGATCCCTCAATTGGAGCTATTGAGTTAGATACACACCACCCACATGTCCATGTCCTCTCCCTGCTCTGCTCGGGTGGTGCCCCTCCAACCACCGCATTACCAATTCACTCTCTGCCCTGGTCTCTCTCTCTCTACTCCCGATCCCTCAATTGGAGCTATTGGGCCAGATACACCACCCACCCACATGTCCTCTCCCTGCTCGGGTGCTGCCCCTCCCATCGCCGCATTACCAACTCACTCCCTGCCCCCGTCTCTCTCTCTCTACTCCCGATCCCTCAGGTCGAGCTCTTGAGCCAGATACACCATCCACATGTCCTATCGCTGCTTGGGTGCTTCCCCTCCCACTACCGCATTACCAACTCACTCTCTTCCCTGTTCTCTTCCCCTTACCGCACTTCTCCTGTCGCCACCCCTCAGGTCGAGCTCTTGAGCCAGATACACCACCCACATGTCCTATCGCTGCTCGGCTGCTGCCCGTCGCACCACTGCATAGTGTACGAGTTCATGGCCAGCGGCACTCTCGAGGAGCGCCTGCTCTGCGCCAACAACTCGCCGCCCCTCCCCTGGTTCGCCCGCCTCCGCATCGCCGCTGAAATCGCCTCCGCACTCCTCGCGCTACACTCGCAGCCAAAGCCAATCATCCACCTGGATCTAAAACCCGCGAATGTGCTTTTAGACGAGCGGCTTGTAGCGAAGCTGGCAGACGTGGGGGTCGCGAGGCAGATGCCCGGGTGTGGTGGTGGCTCGGACCAGGGCTTTAATGTCACGCATGCGCACACGTCGATGCCGATCGGGACCGTCGCTTATGTCGACCCGGAGTATCAGCGAACGGGCGATTTTAGCCCGAAATCCGATGTGTACGCCCTTGGGATTATCCTGTTTGACTTGCTGACGGGGCGGCAGCCCGCTATGTATGAGAGGATAGAAGATGCGGTGGATGATGGGAACGAGGAGGCGTTGGGGAAGCTGCTGGATGGCAAAGCAGGGAAGTGGCCTGTAGGGTTGGCTATGGAGGTGGCGAGGATTGCAGTGCGGTGCAGTGAGATGAAGAGGAAAAAGAGGCCTGATTTAGGGGAAGTGGTGATGCCCGTGCTGAGGAAAGCACAGAAGGAGGCCGTGATCTTGATGGAGAGGATGATGGCTGGAATGTGATGGGGAGACTTAGAACTCGGTGATGAGAGTGTTTGGTAGATATGGAGAAGAACGACGATTGTGACGGGCGATGAACCAGAGAAAGGAGAACCTGGTGAACAGTTGCTTTCAGGTGCATTTTGTGGGAGAAAATCTAGGCTAGTGCTGGTAGATCTTACCTGTATGTTAGTTGTTAGGCATTGTATTATCTTATGTAAAGATATTTCTCTTCGTGATGTTGTGCTAACGATTACTTTATTGGAGTCATTCTTAAAGAGTAACGATGGTGCTTGCAAGGAAAGTCGGTCGGCTGTGGTTGGCAGTTCGCTCACATCGACGGCTAGATTCCCTACAGCAAATGCCGCGGCAGCATTGTCAGGCGGGGCAGCATTGGGGACCGCGCGTCTCCAATTTCAGGCTTTTCCTCGCAGATTTCGGGCAGAGAACAGCAATGAGCCACTCACGACAATCCTGGCTGTACAAACGCTCGCGTTGACCTCGATAATCAACGCGGAAAGCAGCTTGTATAAAATAAAAACCTGAGGGACTCGGTCCGGGTAAGAACGTATTTCTATTCCGTTGGGCAGCGAAATCGACAGTAAAGTGGCAGGCTGCATCGATTTCAGTTCCCATACGACAAATCAAACATCGAGAAAAGAGGCAGCTTGGCAGGCAGCCCATGGCTGTGTGCGTGACCGCTGCACTACCGGCAGCAGAGGCTGGATTGGTGGACGACAGGAAGCCAAGCCTTCCTTCCTTCCTCCCATACTTGAAAGTTGAAACCAGGCAGCAGAGAAGACACAGCAAGCAGCAATTTTCCATATCTTGGCCCCAACCAGCACACAAGTTGACGACGCTGGACCTCCATTCATGTGATCGTTCTTCTTTGGATTTCTCGTTGTGTAATCAACAACACGGAGGGCCAATCAGCCGCCTAGGAAAGTCAGAAAAAGGCATTGCACGCGTATCATGCTTATCCATTAGGCCAAAGCCCAATATCCTTCGGGATTCTTTTTCCCGACCCGACAACTCTGGCTTCAAAGTCCTTAGACGCCAGCGAAGTCCTTGTGGTCCTTAGGTGATACAAGCGAACCCAGCGCGTACCACGTGACGATCAGTACACCCTGTCTAAGGATCAGGTTCCATTGGCCTAGGTGCGCGCCTCGCAGCCTACGTCAGCAATGAGCAGACTCACAGACTCCCACACTCCACACTAGAGTCAGTGCGCACGAGAGAAGTTTCCCTGGGACCGAGATTCATCCTCTGAACGACTTTCAGCTGCAATCGCGCAATGGCTGAGGCGGGCCATCTCTTGAGAGGCTATTATTAGTCCGAGATGATTTCTCTTGAGATGTATGCGAGTTTTATCTCGAACGGTTCGATGCGCCTCGGAGGCGATTATTAGTCCGAGTATTTTATTCAACAAAGAGTCACGCCATTCGCTAACGTTCTTGTGTTGCAAGTAGACGTGAGAGGAAGCGAGTGGAAGCGAGAAGAAGCGAGAAGTCGCGAGAAGACGTGAGCGGTCGCGAGAGGTCGCGAGCGCGACAAATCTGAATATTTAGAACGAAAGGCTCGAAAGTTTGCTAGGTTTTCACAATGGCTCCCGCCTTTAGCGGGGGGGCCCCGGAGCGGATAGTCGTGGCCGTGAGCAAGGACCCGTCGAGCCGCGACGCCATAAAGTGGGCGGTTCGGAAGAAGATGAAGCGCGCCGATGACATGCTCACCCTCCTCCACATCGTCTCCAGGCTTCCTGCTCCAGGTAGGCTCGGTATGGAGCTCGGTACGGGAGGCACGGAATGGGAGGCACGGTATGGGAGGCTCGGTATGCGGGTCACGGAATGGGAGGCTTGTTGTTTTAGGAACAATTATGAGAAGCTCGTTATGGTAGGCACAGTTTCATGTTAGGTAAAGTAATCGAAAGGCATCGCTGTAGCAGCGAGCAACCGTGCTCAACGTAAAACGCGGCGGTGGCAGGGTTCATTTTTTTCCCGACGTCGTTCCAAAGATTCCGTGTCGCGGTATCCCCTCCTCCTGGTATAACCCTCTCCCCTGGGTTAACCCGTGTCCTTGAAGTGACCTTGTGTGCCGCCAGAAACCCCTCACAGAGTCTGGCAGAGATTGAAAATTCTTGGTTACCTAACGAGCTAAGCGCAAACGAATGCAAAAAAAGATTGGCCAAGTGCTTCATTTTTGTCGTTTTGACGTCCTCGTTATTGCTTCGAGAGTCTATTATGTTATCGCGTCCGACGATTGATTCGTCATTGCGTCCGCCATTTTGCTCACCTCGGTTCGGCCAATGAGTCTTTAGCTCGCCGCGGGTTTTATTGGCTCAATTAAGTGCAACAAACGCCTCGAAATTCGATGAAGTTCCATAGGCGCCTCAAAATCGATTCCGTTTTATAGGCGTCTAAAATATCAACCGCATGCCGCTACGAGATGCTTGTAGTAAGCTCATACACCACTCAGCCAATGCACTTTGTGTCCTCCTCCCACGTTCCCCCCTTCTTCCCCTTTCCCCCCTTCTTCCCCTTTCCCCCCTTCTTCCCCTTTCCCCTCCCTCTCCTCTGGCCCCACCACCACCCTTCTCCCCGCAGGCGGGTATGGCTCCGGGGGGTCGGGTGGGGAGATCTACCAGAGCGAGGCGTCGACGGGGGCGTTTGTGGCGTACCTGCGGGACGTGGTGAAGCCCATGATGCTGCAACTCAAGGCCGCCGTGGATCCCAAGGTGAGGCTTTTGAGAATTCTCAGATGCTGCAACTCAAGGCCGCCGTGGATCCCAAGGTGAGGCTTTTGAGAATTCTCAGATGCTGCAACTCAAGGCCGCCGTGGATCCCAAGGTGAGGCTTTTGAGAATTCTCAGATGCTGCAACTCAAGGCCGCCGTCGACCCCAAGGTGAGGCTCTGGGGATGGGATGGGTGATGGTATGGTGAGGGAATTCGGACACGGATGTCATGCTGCTGCACCCCAAGCAGAGCTCAAGGCGGCCCTGCACCCCAAGGTGAGGCAGTCGGGATCGTGAGCACATTGTGTTGCCCCTCGCAACATCTTTCCCCCCCTCCCTTCTCCCACATACCTACATTCGCCTTCCCCCCTCCCCCTCCCCCTTCCACCACACCACCCTCCCCCCAGGTGCAGGCGCGCGTGGAGCTGAAGGTGGGGCGCAGCAACTGGCCTGCCCCTGCTCTCCTCTTCCACCTCACCCCCCAACCTCCCCGCCCCCTCTCTTCCCCCCCCTCCGCCTTCCCCCAGGTGCAGGCGCGCGTGGAGTTGAAGGTCTGGCCTGCCCTGCTCTCCTCTTCCACCTCACCCCCCAACCTCCCCGCCCCCTCTTCCTCCCCCCGTCCTCCCTCCCCCAGGTGCATTCGCGCGTGGAGCTGAAGGTGGGGCGCAGCAACTGGCGCGTGAGAGGCATTCTAGAGGAAGCCACGCGCCTGCAGGCGTCCATGCTCGTCATCGGCGCGCAGCCCAGCCTGTGAGTCCCTGAGACGGCTGGGAACACACCTATATGCCATCACGCGTGTCCTGTGCCCCTTACTGCGATGTCTCACATGCCATTCTAACTGAGGCCACGCGCCTGCACGCGTCCATGCTCGTCATCGGCGCGCAGCCCAGCCTGTGAGTCCTCATGTGCCATGTCACGCCTATTTTGACTTCCCTCTCCACTCCCCCCCCCTCGTCTCTTCCCTTACGCCCTGCTTCTTCCGTCCCCCTCCTTCTCTTCACCTAGCTGAGTCTTTCGGTTGTTCACCACCCCCTCCCTTCCTCCACCTCTCCTTCACCCCGCAACCTCCTCCGTCCACTTGTGCGTCCAACCCCCCCCACACCTTCCCCTTCCCTCCTTCCCAGCCACAGCGATTCGTTTGGCACAGGAGCCTACTTCATCCGCAACAAGCCGCCGCACATGTCAGTCTACGTCATTCAGGCGGGGAAGCTGCTGCTCAGCCACGAGGCAGACGGGCAGATCACGGGTTCCCCTGCTGCCCTCGACTCCCTTGCTCTAGACGCCGCAGCTGCGGAAGAAGCAGGAGGAGGCGGAGGCGGAGGCGGAGGCGGAGGGGGAGGGGGAGGCGCAGGGGGGTTTGGAGACGGAACGGGGGCGCTGTTAGGCATGTCTCCGGGGCAGTTTGAGGCTGGAGGGCCCTTATTGGTGGATCAGCTGCTGGCTGCCGGCCTGCGATTGGACACGCCGGCTGCTGAGCTGGCGGCGCTGAGGCTGCCTGCTGAAGTGTTGGAGCAATTGCTGGCCGCACAGGTGGCAGCTAGTGGTGAGTCTCAGGTGGAATGCGGTGAGTGCAAGTGGCAGGCAGGTTCAGTAAGCTGATGTAAGATACAACAGAGATTGCTTTGAGGCACATATTTTCTATGTCCCTTTCTGCCATCCCCTTTTCCTTCAATAACCCATGTTTTCTCACGCCCTGTGTGTCCTACGCGTGCCACGTGTCCCCCACACGCCACCCTCCTCACCACATGTCTGGCACGTTTCAGGCAAGTCAGGGAAGAGCAGCCGGAGGAACAAGAGTCCGTTGCCCGCCGCCCCACCCCCGGCGCGCAGCAGCAGCAGCAACAACATCAACATCAGCAGCAGCATGAATATCGGCGGCAGCAGCTATAACAACAGCCGGTCAGAGGAAATACCTCTCTTCAGCAGCAGCCCAGGCGGGGACCCAAACCAGCAGCTGCTGCTCCTGCAGCAACAGCTGCAGCTTCAGCACTTGCAACAGCAGCAGCAGCAGCAGCAACAAGGGACGGAGCAGCAGCAGGAGGGTGAGAAGAGAAAGTCCCGATCCAAGTCTAAGTCTCGCAAGAGCAGCCGAGACCAGCTTGCTTTGTCGTCAGGCCTTCCTTTCGACATGCCTCAGGGCTCATTGGAAAGCACCGGGTTCGACGGCATGGGGTACAGTCACAGTGGGAGTGACATTCCGACTTGTATTCCTGCCACCATCGCCAATGCCCATGACAGCAACGCTGCCAACGCCAATCGGCTTGGTCAGTTCCTCACTCCGCCTCGCTCCCGCAGCGGTATGGATGCTTTCGCGTCTGTACTCGCTAGAGACAGCCTCACTAGTAGCTCTGGCCCGCTGCCGCGCCTCTCCCCTTCGTTTAAGCCCTCCAGAGGGCGATATGAGGGAGGGGGGTATGAGGGAGGGGGATACGAGGGAGGGGGGTATGAGGGAGGGGAGTATGGAAGCACTGGTACCTCTCCTGCTGCGGGGAGAAAGTTGAAGGCGAGCCGCAGCAGCGTTGGCAGGCATAGGAGAGAGAGGAGCGGCGGTGCTGGCAGTGCTGGTGGTGGTGGGGTTGATTTTACTGCCATGGCTGGCGCTGCATCTGGTGTGGGAGACGCGTCTCGAGGGGCAGGGCGTAAGGTATGTCCCTGTGTGCATCTGGTATCATGGTATGACCCGTTGTGCATAAGGACAATCCTTTGTGCGTATTTTTGCACCTGTGAAGCGTATTAGTCGAGCGCATGTGTGTGCCACAGTGCCACACTCAATAGCTTGTTTTCTCAAGTTTCCTCCTCCCTCTACTTCCCTCTTCCCGTTCGTCCCCCCACTCGTCTTGTGCACATCAGAGCGCAGCAGCGATGGAGATAGAGCAGATGCGGGTACAAGCAAAGGAAGCAGAAACAGCAAGGCTGCATGCAGAGAGGCGCCTGCTGCAGATGCGGGTACAGGCCAAGGAGGCGGAAACAGCAAGACTGCATGCAGAGAGGCGCCTGCTGCAGAGTTCTGAGTCGACTCAAAACTATACATCCCTTTTCCCCTCCATCCCCCCTCGTCCCGTACTTATCGGAGCGCAGCAGCAATGGAGATAGAGCAGATGCGGCTACAAGCAAAGGAAGCAGAAACAGCAAGGCTGCATGCAGAGAGGCGCCTGCTGCAGAATTCTGAGTCGACTCACATCTCCACACCCCTTTTCCCCTCCATCCCCCCTCGTCCCGTGCATATCAGAGCGCAGCAGCGATGGAGATAGAGCAGATGCGGGTACAGGCCAAGGAGGCGGAAACAGCAAGACTGCATGCAGAGAGGCGCCTGCTGCAGAGTTCTGAGTCGACTCAAAACTATACATCCCTTTTCCCCTCCATCCCCCCTCGTCCCGTACTTATCGGAGCGCAGCAGCAATGGAGATAGAGCAGATGCGGCTACAAGCAAAGGAAGCAGAAACAGCAAGGCTGCATGCAGAGAGGCGCCTGCTGCAGAATTCTGAGTCGACTCACATCTCCACACCCCTTTTCCCCTCCATCCCCCCTCGTCCCGTGCATATCAGAGCGCAGCAGCGATGGAGATAGAGCAGATGCGGGTACAGGCCAAGGAGGCGGAAACAGCAAGACTGCATGCAGAGAGGCGCCTGCTGCAGATGCGGGTGCAGGCACAGGCAGGACGGGGGGAGGTACCCACTGAGTCAAGCCCATGGGGAGGGAGGGGGGAGGAGGGAGCAGGGCAGGTGAGAGGAGAGGGTGGAGTGGCAAGAGGGGGAGGGGAGGGAGAGGGGGGCGAGCAGCGGTCACAGTACAGCTTTGAGCTGGCGCAGTCACAGAAAGAATTTGAAGCTGCCCGGGTGAAGCTCGCTTCAGTGGAAGCAGCTTTGGCCCGGGCAGCGGGCAGAACGAAACAGGAAGATGGAGATAGAGGAGTAGGAGGAGCAGGGTCAGGAAGGCGAACGGGGCAGTCTGGGTTGTCTGTCAGTGGCAGTAGCGGCAGCAGAGGTGGTCAAGCACGGGCAGCTGAGGCGTCAGTTGCAGCGGCGACGGCAGCGGCAGCAGCAGCGGCGCAGAGATTAGCGCAGAGAGGAGGCAACCCGCACCACAGATTCGAGCAAGGGGCCAGGGAGGGCTTCAGGTGGCAGGAGACAGGGAACGGGAGGGGCGAGGATGAGGGGCAGGAGAGTGGGGAGGAAGAGGAGGAAGAGGAGGAGGAAGAGGAGGAGGAGGAGGAAGGGGAGGAAGAGGTAGGGGAGGAGGAGGTAGGGGAGGAGGATGACGAGTTGCAGATTGATATATTGAGTGCGGCTGGGAGTGGTGTGGTTGGGTTCACAGATGGGTCCTCCTCCACTTTTGACCTTAGCTCCCTATCCCCCCACTCATTCAACGGCCCAGACTCAAACAGCCGTCCAGCCTCTGGCAGCAGCCGTGCCTCAACAAAAAAACATTCCCAAAATAGCAACCTTTCCTTTACTGGAGGGTTTGAGGGTTCTGCCAGCGATCTCCAGGTCGACCTTTTGGGCGGCAGCTCGTTGGGTATGGACAAGGGAGCGGACGGCGCAGAGGGCGGGGAGCAGCCAGATGATGACGTGGATTTGTCTTTTTCCATGTCAGAGCTCCAGATGGACCTGCTCAGCCCTGGAGAGAACACGAGGAGGGGTGATAAGCATGAGAAGGAGCAGAAGGAATGGAAGAGGGAGAGAGAGAGGGGTGGGGGGGAGTTGGGAGAGGTACAGGAAGATGAAGAGGAGAATGGGTGCGACCTTGACCTAGGGCTTAGTCTGGTGGGGGGAAGTTCTGTGAGGGATGGGCGTGGAGATAATGGCAGGGGCAGGGAGAGTGGCGACAGTTATGGTGGCAGTGGCAGCGGCAGCGGCAGCGGCAGCAGGGTTAGTGGCAGTGGCAGCGGCAGCAGGGATGGTGGTAGCAGTGGGAGTGTGGGTGAAATTGTTGAGGAGAGGGAGAGGGAGGGGCAAGGGAAGGGAGAGGCGAAGGAGAAAGGAGGGGAGGGAGAAGGGAAGGGTAAAAGAGCTGGAGCTGTGAAGCATGTGATTGGTCGAGGGCACTACCGCTTGTACAGTTATGAAGAGATTCAGGTGGGTGAACACTTAAAGCAGAAGGGTGATTTGAGGGCAGTAGGGGTAAATCTGATTTCAAAATCCGGGCGCTTCAAATTTCCATGGGCGGGTGTACCTCTTTCAGATTTCAAAATCTGTAAGCACCTTCTTAAGCACAGTTCTTGTTTCTTCCCCATTGCAGGCCGCAACCGACAACTTCAATCCGAAGAACCGTCTGGGGGCGATTGTGGGCAGCTTTTCAGTAACAGGTTGTGATGACTTCATATCGTCTTTCTCTTCTTCCACTCCCTTCCCATGGCAGGCCGCAACGGACAACTTCAACCAGAAGAATCGATTGGGCGAGGGGGCGTTTGGCGCGGTGTATGCACTCACAGGCAGTTTTTCCGAAACAGTTTGTGATTTGTGATTATGTTATACAGCATCTTTCATGTTTCACCCTCATCGCAGGCCGCAACGGACAACTTCAACCAGAAGAATCGATTGGGCGAGGGGGCGTTTGGCACGGTGTATGCACTCACAGGCAGTTTTTCTGAAACAGTTTGTGATTTGTGATTATGTTATACAACATCTTTCATGTTTCACCCTCATCGCAGGCCGCAACGGACAACTTCAACCAGAAGAATCGATTGGGCGAGGGGGCGTTTGGCGCGGTGTATGCATTCACAGGCAGTTTTTCCGAAACAGTTTGTGATTTGTGATTATGTTATACAGCATCTTTCATGTTTCACCCTCATCGCAGGCCGCAACGGACAACTTCAACCAGAAGAATCGATTGGGCGAGGGGGCGTTTGGCACGGTGTATGCACTCACAGGCAGTTTTTCCGAAACAGTTTGTGATTTGTGATTATGTTATACAACATCTTTCATGTTTCACCCTCATCGCAGGCCGCAACGGACAACTTCAACCAGAAGAATCGATTGGGCGAGGGGGCGTTTGGCACGGTGTATGCACTCACAGGCAGTTTTTCCGAAACAGTTTGTGATTTGTGATTATGTTATACAACATCTTTCATGTTTCACCCTCATCGCAGGCCGCAACGGACAACTTCAACCAGAAGAATCGATTGGGCGAGGGGGCTTTTGGCACGGTGTATGGGGGGCGGCTGCACCACACTCGCGTGGCGGTGAAGGTGCTTAAAGCCACAGACGTGGTCAAGGCCACCAACGAGTTCCAGCAGGAGGTGAGATGGAGGGAGGGGGTGGGCTGTTTAAGGGGAAGGGGGGGGGGGGGGGGGGGGGGGTACGGTTAGTGGGGTACGTGCAGTCCGGTCCAGGCTGGTGCCTCTGGTCTGCTGCATTTTACCCTTCTCGTTCCTTCTCGTTTTTTTTTTCAATCCCCGCCTCCCTCATTTCAACCTGCCTTTCTGTGTCCCCCCCCCACGCTCCCGCTCACCCCCACTCTGCAGGAAGAGGTGCTGAGTCAGATCCCGCACCCACACGTGGTGACGCTACTCAGCTGCTGCTTTTCTGACTAATTCCCTCTGCTCGGTCTCCCCCCCTCACCCCCGTTCCTCAGGAAGAGGTGTTGAGTCAGATCCCACGCCCACGTGTGATGATGCTACTTAGCTGCTGCCCCATTCTCCCTCTGACTGGTCTCTCCCTCAACCCACAATCCCTCAGGTGGAGGTGCTGAGTCAGATTCAGCACCCGCATGTGGTGATGCTGCTGGGGTGCTGCCCCTCGCACCACTGCATAGTGTACGAGTTCATGGCCAGCGGCGCTCTCGAGGAGCGCCTGCTCTGCGCCAACACGTGGTGGTGCTACTGGGCTGCTGCCTGGCCCCCCCCACTGCACTACTAGCTCGCTGCTCTGCTCCCTCTCTGACGCTCCTCCTCTCCCTCCTCCCCTCCCCCCAATCCCTCAGGTGGAGGTGCTAAGCCAGATCCAACATCCGCACGTGGTGATGCTGCTGGGCTGCTGTCCGTCGCACCACTGCATAGTGTACGAGTTCATGGCCAGCGGCACTCTCGAGGAGCGCCTGCTATGCGCCAACAACTCGCCCCCCCTCCCCTGGTTCGCCCGCCTCCGCATCGCCGCTGAAATCGCCTCGGCTCTCCTCATCCTGCACGCACGCCCCATTCCCATCGTCCACCGCGACTTAAAGCCCGCCAACATTCTCCTGGATAAGAACCTAGTGGCGAAGCTTGGAGACGTGGGGCTAGCAAAGCTGATGCCAGGAACAGGGTCGCAGGTGCACACGCACGCGCATGATTCGGTGCCTGTGGGGACTCTGGCTTACGTCGACCCGGAGTTTCAGCGAACGGGGGATTACGGGCCGAAATCGGACGTGTATGCGCTCGGGATTATTTTATTTGATATTCTGACGGGGCGCAAGCCGACGACTTATGAGGAGTTAGAGGAGGCTGTGGATGAGGGGGACGAGGAAGCTTTCGGGAAGCTTCTCGATGAGAGGGGGGGGGAGTGGCCGATCGGGCTGGCGATGGAGGTGGCAAGGATGGCAGTGCGGTGCAGTGAGATGCGGAGGAAGAAACGGCCGGATCTGGAGAGTGAGGTGATGCCGCTGCTGGCACGGGCGAGGGATGAGGCGGCAGAGGCAGAGGAAGCTGCCGGGAAGGAGGGTGGGCGGTCTGGAGGGAGCGGGGATGTGCCCAAGGGGTTGCTGTGCCCGATCAACAAGGTGGGTGAAGGCTTTGAGAGGAAGTGTGAATGCAAGATGATTTCTGAGGCAGCTCAAAAGTCGGGAGGGAGCGGGGATGTGCCCAAGGGGTTGCTGTGCCCGATCAACAAGGTGGGTGAAGGCTTTGAGAGGAAGTGTGAATGCAAGATGATTTCTGAGGCAGCTCAAAAGTCGGGAGGGAGCGGGGATGTGCCCAAGGGGTTGCTGTGCCCGATCAACAAGGTGGGTGGGTTGGGAACTTGGGAAGACTCTGGAAGGAAGGGGTTCTGGAAGAGGCTTGAGTGTGCAGGTTGGTTGGGAGGATGAGAGCCTAGGGAGCGGGGATGTGCCCAAGGGGTTGCTATGCCCGATCAACAAGGTGCGTGGGAAAACTCTAGGGAGTGTAGCCTGGTTGGGAACTTGGGAAGACTCTGGAAGAAAGGGGTTCTGGAAGAGGCTTGAGTGTGCAGGTTGGTTGGGAGGATGAGAGCCTAGGGAGTGCAGGCATGGCGTTACATGCCAAGCATGGTTGTGAGTGATGTGGGCATGCGGCATGACTATGTTTCACCACCCCTGCTTGCGCGGCTTGTGCAACACATCCCCATAACAACCCGTCTAATCTTTCCTTGTGCAATTGTCCGTGCAGAAAATAATGGTGGAGCCGGTGCTAGCAGCTGACGGGTACACGTATGAGAAAGCAGCCATTCAAATGTGGTTGGAGCGAGCCGACCTATCCCCGATCACCAATGAGCCTATGCCCCACAAGCACCTCATGCCGAACCTCGTGGTTCGGGATTTGATAGCTGACTGGACCAACAAGAATGTAAAGACTGAAGCTTGAGCTGGGATAAGTGAATCCGGCTAGTGCCCACACTTTCAGATTAGCAGGGTTAAAATAAGAGAGATGAAGGTCTATGTGGGATTTAGCCACAATCTGTCCATACTTCAGTTATTCAAGGTGGCATCTTGGGGCATGCTCTGATTGTTTCTGTAATTAAGTTTTTTTAAACAGGTTAGGTGGAGGTGACTCCTACTGTACTATTATTACCCGAAGGCAAGTAATGACGGAGAAAAACCAGACCGTGTAAAGCCAGCTTCTTAGGCCGCGCGCCAACCTTTGCCAGCCCTCTTCCCCTCTTCGCGCGCAACCCGTCAAACCCCACCAGCTGGCTGCGCAGCTACAGAGATTCCCCCCAAACCTCAGGCCAGCCACAGTCAATTCATTTCCACCCCAGCTCACCGCACCTCATCCCATTCTACCGCACGTCTAGCTCTCCGCCTTCGAATTTTGCAACTCTCGCACGCCAAACCAGGAGGAGGAAGCGATGTCAAACCATGATGACTCGACGTGACCTGTCAAGTATCATTTGAAATTCGTCCCGGCCTCCCGCAAATGTCGGCGCAGTGCGCTCTCTCCTCCATGTCCTCCTAGCCGGCGTATTTATTTCCTGTATTTCACGACGGCGCTGTAGCTACCGCGCTCAGCCAGGTTCTCGTTTCTTAGGCAGGTCCCTCGCAACGTCAGCATTCAGCCATCCTCAAGTGTTTTTTGAGAATTCTAAAAAAACCGCCTCTGCGCGCCCGTATTTGAGCCAGGGCATGGAGCATTTCTCTATATTATTTTAGGCGCACCCAAAAGCGTTTCTGGCGGCCGCGCTCACCTCCCGACCTTCCTTTTAGTGCTGCCCTTTTAGTCCTAGTGCATTATTGCGGCAGGGTTTTGTTGTGCCGGTCGACCAACCAACGGCGAATCTGAACTGTCCAATACGTTGCTGAGGTCTGCATGTCGCGCTTGCCTTGTCTCGCTGTAGCAACCTCGACCAATGGGCGTCAAGCTTCAGATTCAGCTTCTCGAGGCGCGCGGCCTGCCGCCCAAGGACAATGGCGGCGCGAGAGACGCGTTTGTGCGGTTCCAGATGGGCGGCTCGAAGGCCCGCAGCAGGAGTGTAGCTAAGGACAACAATCCGACGTGGCAGGAAGAATTTCTCTTTTCGGTCAGCGACCTGGAAAAAGACGAACTGCTGGTGACGGTGTGGGACAAGAGCGTCTTCCTGGGCGAGGAATTTCTCGGGCAGCTTGTGCTGCCCGTGCGGCAGGTGCTGGCGTGCGACAGCTACGAGCTCCAGGCGATGTGGTTCCCGTTACAGAACAGGCTCACGCGACCGCGCGCGACGGTTACAGGCGACATTTTGATTTCCGCCAGCCTGTGGGGCGTTTCGTCGTTAGTGGCGGAGTCTGTTTCCCCCTCCGCCTTGCCATCCAGCCCCCTCCTTCCGCCCACTCCTCCCCGCTCCGCCCCTTCCCCCGCCCTCATCACCACAGTCAGCCTCGCCTTTCCTAAACCTTCTTCCGCCCCTCCCCCTTCCGCCACTCCCCCTTCCGCCTCTCCCCCTTCCGCCTCTCCCCTTTCCGCCTCTCCCCCTTCCGCACCTCCCCCTTCCGCCCCTTCCCCTTCCGCCCCCGCCCTTTCCTTCCCCCTCAAGCCCGCGCTGCGCCGCCATACAGGCCCCTCCGATACAGTCACACCCACTGCTCTCTCCCCGTGCGGGGAAGCAGACAAGGGGGAAGCGTGGGGCGGAGGGGGAAAGCTGGGACCGGAAGAGGGAGTGGGGGAAGGGGAAGGAGAAGGCGAAGGGAAAGCTGAAAGGAAGGAGGAAGGGGAGGAGAAAAGGGAAGGGGAAGGGGAAGCGGAAAGGGAAGGTCATGATGCGTCCGCCAACCTTCAAGGTAAAGAGAAGGAGGAGGGCGCGGCGGATGGCACAGCAGCAGCAGCAGCCGCCACCGCCACCGCTGCTAAACCGCGGCATCAGATTCTCCAGTCACTCACCGAGTCCTTAAAGCCCAACCCGCAGCAGCTGCAGCAGCTGAAGCAGCGCCTGCATGCCTCCAAGCTGTCAGCAGCATCAGCCATCCGGTCATTCGGGCACGCCGTGGAAAACAGCGTAGCCAAGGCAGGGCAGTCCGTGCGTGCCGCCAACGCCAAGGGCGGTGGGGTTGCACCCGTGGCGACTGATGGGGAGGAGGGGGAGGGGGAGTCGCGGAGAGGGTCGTTGGGGGAGGGTGACGGGGCGAGCGGAGGGGGAGGTGGGGAGGCAGGGGGAGGGGCAGGGGGCACGGGGGAAGCGGGGGAGGTGGAGGTGCCGGGGGTGTGGTGGGAGCAGGATATGAGGGACGTGCCGAGTGCAGGGCCCATGCCCGGGGAGCTAGCTGGAGGCGGTGTGCTGGTGGACCAGGCGTTTGATGCCGCCCCACACGTGCTGTTTGCCACCGTCTTCAAGCCCGGCTCGCCCTTCTTCCAAGAATTTGCTGCAGGTGAGTGTTGAGTTGACTCAAAGCAGGGCCCATGCCCGGGGAGCTAGCTGGTGGTGGTGTGCTGGTGGAGCAGGCCTTTGATGCCGCCCCACACGTGCTCTTTGCTGCCATCTTCAAGCCCGGCTCGCCCTTCTTCCAAGAGTTTGCCTCTGGTGAGTGTTGAGTTGACTCAAAGCAGGGCCCATGCCGGGGGAGGTACCTGGAGGCGGTGTGTTGGTGGAGCAGGCCTTTGATGCCGCCCCACACGTGCTGTTTTCTGCCATCTTCAAGCCCGGCTCGCCCTTCTTCCAGGAATTTGCCAGCGGTGCGTTTTGAGTTGAGTTAAAGGACTTGTGTTGGTGCATTCTGAGTCGACTCAAAATACACCTGCCCCGCACCGCACCGCACCACACGCTTCTCTTTGCTGCTATCTTCAAGCCTCACTCGCCCTTCTTCCATGAGTTTGCCAGCGGTGCGTTTTAAGTTCTGAGCTGATTCAAAAGGCTTGCGTTCCAGGCTTTGCCTCCCACGTCTCTCCACATTATCACATCTCTCCTGTTGTCGCATCTCCCCGCACGTGTATTAGATTGACTCAAGTACCCCAGTCCCCCCCGAACCACCCCCCACCCCTTCCCAACAGAACGCAAGCTGACACAACTCAACATTGGTCCATGGTTTCTCGCCGACAGCAGCAGCAGCAGCAGTCACAGCGGAGCAAAGCTGAATCGCAGCACAGCACACAAGGGCATTAAGCCCCCCGCCACCCTGCCTCCCGCTGCTGCTCCCAAAGGCGGCGCAGGGGCGGAGCAGCAGCAGCAGGAAGACACAGGCACCGTGATGCACCGCACTGTATCGTACATGACCGCACCGTCCTCCCTGGTGAAATCGGTACAGGCAACAGAGGAGGTGCTGTGTGTGCGGGCAGATGCAGGGGGATTCCTGGTGGCTGTGACGGCGAAAACCCCTGACGTTCCGTATGGAGGCACGTTCGAAATTCACCTCCAGTTCTGTATCACTCCGCTTACAGAGGAGGGTGCAGGCGCAGGAGGAGGAGCAGGAGAAGGAGCGAACACAGGCGAGCAGAGCAGCAGCAGTAGAGTCCCGGCCTCTGCAGCAGGTGGTGATGGGAAAGAGACAGGTGCAGAGGGGTCAGGCAGTGGGGTGAAGAGTCGGCTGCGAGTGTCGTATGAGCCGCATTTCCTGCAGAGCACCATGATGAAAAGCATGATAGAGAATGGCGTGCGCACCGGCCTCAAGGAGTCGTATGCCACCTTCCTCTCTGTGAGTGTGACGTGTTCTGAGATCTCTCAAGTGCGGGTGTTGTATGAGCCGCATTTCCTGCAGAATGAAGAGTATGATTGAGAATGGCATGCGCACCGGCCTCAAGGAATCGTATGCTACCTTCGTCTCGGTGAGTGTCCTTTTGAGGCGCCTCGAACCTCGTCGCCTTTATTAGGCGCATGTCTTGCAGAGCCCCATGATGAAGAGCATGATCGAAAATGGCATGCGCACCGGCCTCAAGGATACCTACGCAACCTTCCTCTCTGTGAGTTCTGAGATGCCAAACCTTGTCTCACTTGTTAGCCGCACTTCCTGCAGAGCACCATGATGGAGAGTATGATTGAACTCGGCATGTGCACTGGCCTCAAGGAATCGTATGTCACCTTCCTCTCTGTAAGTTCTGAGACGCCAAACCTCGTCTCGACTTTCACTTGTTAGCCGCATTTCCTGCAGAGCACCATGATGTGCACTGGCCTCAAGGAATCGTATGCCAACTTCCTCTCTGTGAGTGTGACATAGGGTGTGTGCTTCCGGGTTCAGCCTTCAACACCTGCTCGCCCTTTCACAAGGTTGCTCTGTTTCTGGAAACCCCACATTCTGCCCCTCTCCCGACAATCTCTCTCCCATCTGTTCCTTGTGTTGACTTTCCATTTACTCCCTCTTCCCTGCATCCCCTCACTCCCCCCCAACTCTCTCTCAGGTACTCACAAAGGATGTCCCTCCCCTCGTCTCCACCCCACTGGTGTTTGAAGTTTTCCTCTAATCATTCTTTCCGGAATCCCTCCACTCCCCCGCAACACTCTCTCAGGTTCTCACAAAGCACGTCCCTCCCTTCGTCTCCACTGCACCATCCACCTCCCTCTGGTTGATTTTTTCATCCACTCTCTTCTCCTCTCCCCTACATCCCCCGCAACTCTCTCTCAGGTACTCACAAAGCACGTGCCTCCCTTCGTCTCCACTGCACCATCCACCTCCCTCTCCCAACCCTCAACCTCCCCTCCTCCCTCCACCCCACTCGCCCGCCTCCTCTCCCTCCTCGGCGTCCCCCCCCACCTCCACCCCTCGGAAACGGCAATCGCCGAGGCTGCACTCCGGGCGGCAGGCCCACTTGCGCTCTTTGTCTTTTTCCTCGCACTGGTGCTGCTGCCGACGCACCTGGTGCTAGTGGCACGGGGCGGGGCGGGGGTGGTGCTGCCGCTACTAGACCTACCGGATAGCCTGTTGGAGCTGATATGGTGTGCCGTGATTCTGCTTTCCACCAACCACGTGGTTGCAATGGCACGAGGCATCATTGTATCGAAATACATCAAGAGTGAGTGGTGGGGTAGCAAGGGTGGGGGGGCGCGACTGGAGTGATGGGGTAGAGTGGCGAGTGGCGCTTTGGAGTGGCCAACTTGGTATCAAGCCGTTGGGCCATTGAGATGATCAGAAGCCAGAGGTGAGGGAGGGAGGCAAGGCTGCTAACAGTGTCACTGGTATACGGGGGGAGTAACATGCAGCCATATCAAAGCAGGCTCTATCATAGCAGTTGTCTCAATCTCGCTCCTCTTCCTTGTCCCTGTTCCCCCCTGCTACCTTCCCTCTGTATAACCAGAGGGCGACCATGGGAAGAAGGCGGTAGGGGAGGGGTGGCTGCTGACGGTGTCGCTGGTGGAAGGGGAGTAACATCAAAACATCAAAGCAGGCTCATTTTGACGCCCTTGTCTCAGTCTCCTTTGTATGCTTATCCTTTGCTGCCATTCCAAAGGGCGACCATGGGAAGAAGGCGGTGGGGGACGGGTGGCTGCTGACGGTGTCACTGGTGGAAGGGGGAGCAACTGAAGCCATTCAAGCAGGCTCACGCAACGCACTTGTTTCAATCTCCCTCTTCTCTGTTTCCCCCTGCTGTCATTCCTCCGTCAAAACAGAGGGCGACCACGGGAAGAAGGCGGTGGGGGAGGGTTGGCTGCTGATGGTGTCGCTGGTGGAGTGGGGGAGAGCTCAACCAATGCACTTGACTCATTCTCCCTCGTCTCCCTCAATTCTCCTCAACCCCCCCTTCCGTCTCTGTCCCCCTGGCGCCACCCCTTTTACTGAGCAGAGGGCGACCACGGGAAGAAGGTGGTGGGGGAGGGGTGGTTGCTGACAGTGTCGCTGGTGGAGGGGGAGAGTAACATCAACCCATCAGTGCAGGCTCAATCAGCACGTTTCTCTCAATCACCCTCCTCTCCCTTTCCCCCTGCTGCCACTCCTCTGTACAAACAGAGGGCGACCATGGGAAGAAGGCGGTGGGGGAGGGGTGGTTGCTGACAGTGTCGCTGGTGGAGGGGGAGAGCATAGGGGACGCGGGCGTGGTGGTGAAGGCGGACCCCTTCGTGGTCTTTGCCTGCAGCGGCAAGACTCGCACCAGCTCTGTCAAGCTGCAGACCAACATGCCCAAGTGGAATGGTGCGTGCAAACCAGGACAGTAGAGAGGGAGAAGGGGTGAGCTAGCAACAGTGTCGCTGGTAGAAGGGGAGAGCATAGGGGACGCGGGCGTGGTGCTGAAGGCGGACCCCTTCGTGGTCTTTGCTTGCAGCGGCAAGACTCGCACCAGCTCTGTCAAGCTCCAGACCAACATGCCCAAGTGGAATGGTAAGAGCAGAGCAGGTCGGTGGGGGCAGGGGAACGAAGTGACTTCTGATTCAATCCCTCCAGCTGCACCACCCCAATCCTTCCCCACCCACACCTCACCACCAGAGGTGCTCGAGTTCGATGCAATGGAGGACTCCCCGTCCATCCTCGAAGTCGAGGTCTTTGTGAGAACACACCTTTCTGATTCCAACATTGTCTTTTCGCCCAACTCCACTTTCAATCCCCTCCTCCCCACCAAGGATGAAAAATACGGAAGTCGTATTATACGGTCCGTTTAATACGATGGTATTTTACGGCAGTTTTTGGTAAAATACGGCGTTTTTTTATTAAAGGTTTTTTTCCAGTTTTTTCTTTTTTGCGAAATCCTTGAAACGATTTCAGCCGGGTATGGAGGGTGCACATTAGCCTAAAAAACAATAGATATCAGCTCCCACTACTACTACAGTCTACAGATCATCCCCTCCCCTCCCCCCCCACCACTAATACTCCCCTTCCCAACTTCTTTCCACTACCCCTACGTATTACCACCACTAATATCCTCCACTACTCATCATCCCCCTCCTCCCCCTCGTCATCCTCCTCCTCCGATTCTTCCCCGCTCGATCCATCACTAATGTCCCACGGATCCTCGCCCCCCCGAGTCCTCCTGGTGGTGGGCACATGCTCTTCCACATTGCCACTGCTGTCCGCCGCCTCCTCCTCCTCGTCCCCACTGCTGTCCGCCGCCTCCTCCTCCTCATCCTCACGCGCAGCCGCTGACCTCCCCTTACCTTTGCAAGGCTTGGTCGCCTTGCCCTTCCTCTTCCTTTTGGTGCTCTCACCCACCCTCTTCTTCTTCTTGCCAATCTGCCCGAAATGCTCCCAGTCAACGGTGCATCCCACATTCACCTCTCCCTCCTCCTCAGCATCCCCCTCTTCCTCCGCCTCTTCCTCTGCCGGAGCGACGACACACCCTTCCTTGAGGGCACCGTTGGTCAGATCGGCGTAGAGCTTCTCCCTCACCTTCTGCTTTCTGTCAAAGGTGGCCCGAGCCCTCCTCGTGAACGCGACATAGGTCACGTCCGTCATCTTCTTGGCGGAGATGCGGTTACGGTCACGCCGTTGCACACGAGCAATCGCGGACCAGTAACGCTCCACCTCGGATGACGTTACCGGCTGTGACAGGTTCATCACTGCCAGCGACTGCAGCGCCTTCACCTCCCCGCCGTACATCCACCACCATTCAGCATCCGTCAGGCGCCCCCCCTCCACCAAAACCTTAGCAGCCCACCGTGCGTCGGGGGACCCCAACCGCCCCTCGCCCTTGTGGAACTGAGCCAACTGCGCCTGGATGAGGGTGCGCTGGGCGACATCCTTCACCCGTGCTTGGATGACCGCCTCCGCCCCAGTCCTCACCTCCTCATCCTCCCGCACTTCCCCCACGTACTGATTGCGGGGGTTGAGGAGCCACCCGAGAGCGTGCAGTGGGTTATGCATCTGTTTGTCCCACCTCTTGGCTAGGATAGCCTTGATTTCCGCCAGGAATGCGGGCTTGTCCTTTGCCAGCAGCAATTCTGTGCGCTTGACAAACATGGTGGCTGTCAATGGGAAGTACAAACACGATAACGGGCGGTAAGTATGGGCAGGAATGGGGTATGCATGCAATCACGACTCTCAATGGCGTTCATGCTAGGAAATGTATGTCTTACCTCCAGCCTGGGCCGCCTCGTTGGTCTTCACCGTGGCCTCTAGCATTAGGCCATACACTTGCCCCATGACTAGAGCCCGCGTGTCGACGACCCGAAGGACGTCATACACGGGCTGCATGATGCGGAGCACCGCGGTTGCGCAATCCCAAAACACCTCATCCAAGAGGAGGTGTCGGACCGCCTTCCCCTCCGGCTGCTTTGCCACCGCAATGTCCTCCCACTCCTCACTTATGACCATCTGCCGCAGCGACTTCTTTACTTCGAGGAATCGGGCGAGCATGATGACGTTCGTGCCAAACCGCGTTGCACCAGGCCGCACCAATGCAAGCTCGTTAAAGACCTCATGGAAGAGGGTGACGGCGGAGGCGCTTGCCTTCACCATCATGACCACGCGGTTCACCTGGCTAATGACCCGCTTCACCGCACGAATTTTCCCGAAGTCGTGAAGCATGAGGTCGAGTACATGCGCGGCGCAGTTGTTGAAGAAGATGCCCGGGTATTCGTCGCGCAAAATGTCTGCCGCCTTTCGATTATTAGACGCGTTGTCCATGACAACCTGGACGACAGTCTTGTCCCCCACCTTGACAATGGCGTTGCGGAGGAGCTTGGCAAGATACCCGCCTGTTTTCTTGGCGGTTTTCGAGTCAATTGTTTCCACAATCACCGGAGCCGTGTCGTTGAGGGCGATAACGCAAACAAGCCCTCGGCTTTTCAAACAAGTCCATCCGTCGCACGTCAGGGTGCAGCCGCGCTTGAGCCAACTCTCCATCATCGGCTTCGCTAGCTCCTCCGTATCCGCCCGTAATTTCAGCAGAAGCGGGCCTCCAACCTTGTAGGGGGACGGGAGGGTGTATGGCTTCGCGAAGGCGAGAGCCGCATCAACAAATTCCTGCACCGCCCTCGACTTCGACGACTGGAAGGCCCAATCGTTCTCCGCAACAGCCGCGGCCCAGAGGTAGTCCAGACGAGTGCGCGCAGTCGTATCCGCCATGTCGCGGATGTCGCGCTGCCTAGCGCGACGAGGGGCAACTATCTCAACCGTAGTAGATGTGGAGGCTCGGTTTGACCCACCGAATGATGAGCGTGCCTGTTCCTCTGCTTCTTCGCGAAGCTTCTTTGCGACATCAGAATTGCAGGGAGTCACGTTCTTATCCTTCTTCGTCTCTGGCGTCCCGAAGACATGCTCGCCTATGCGCGTCGCGTTGGCAGTCACGGTTTCACCACAATGTTTGCATTTCGCAGTGAGGTTTCCGTCCTTCGATGAACCCTCCGTCACAACATGAACCCATAGTGGCGACTTCGGTCGAACCATGGCGTCTGAATGCCTGCTCTAAACGAGAGGTGAGAAGATTTGAGAGATGTAGTGCTGAAGTGAGTGAATGGTGCTTCTATTAGTACTTAGCTAGGGCTTTGGTGTTTGCTGTGTCGAGAGAATTGTGTGAGAGGGATGAGTTGAGGAAATGTAAGGCGATTGGCTGGCTTGGATGCGCCGCGTGAAGGTTGGGGTTTGTGTAGGATTTGGGCGAAAAATAGCTATTGGGCGCGAGATTTCGAAACGGGCATAGCGAAACGGGTGAACTAGTTTCAACCGTTCGCCAAATGTTGAAATTTCACGACTCGGTATAACATTCTCGTTGCGCTTCGACGAAACAAATTTCGCTGTAGCGAAACAGGTAATCCCTGGTTTCGCCATCGTAATGTCGCGACTCGAATGTGTGGTGGAATTCGCGACCCAGGCCGAAATTGATTCTGCCACGATAAATTCGTGCGCAATTTCACCCTGAGATTGTATGGGGGACAAATTGACAATCTCACTATAGTGTTTCACGGTTTCAAAAAATCGGTCGTTTAAAACAACCGTATTTTTAATCGAAACAGAAAAACACAAATTAACCGTATTTTACCGTTTAAAACGACCGTTTAATACGATACCGTATAATACGGTAAAAAGGCAAAAAAACGGTCGTATTTTTTATCCTTGCTCCCCACCCTACTACCACCAGAGGTGCTCTAATGCGATGCCACGGAAGATGCCCCTTCCATCCTTGAGATCTCATCCAAGGAATCCTATGTAACTTTCCCCCCAACACCCGCTCCCCCCCTCCCTTCCCTCCTTCCCTCACATCCTCCCACCCTGCCCTCTCCATCCCATTTCCCCCCCCGCCCACTCAACCAGAGGTACTCGAATTCGACGCAATGGAAGATGCACCTTCCATACTCGAGATCGAGGTCTTCAACTACGATGGACCCTTCTCAGAACCTTCCCTGCTCGGCCGGGCAGAAATAAACTTCCTCCGCCAGTCGGCGCAGGACCTCGCGGACCTCTGGGTGCCGCTGGAGGGCAGGCGGGCAAAAGTTCAAGCTGCCCGGATCCATGTTCGAGTGCTTCTGACCAATACCTCAGAGGCTGCGGCCCCTCTGGTGCTTCAGAAGATCAGCAAGGAAGTGGGCAGCAAGGTGAGGAAGGCAAGGGAAGGGAAGCAAGGTGAGGTACATTGGAGTTGAGGTGTTTTGAGTGAACATGTGGGTTAAAGTATTCTCCCTCTGGTGCTTCAGACTATCGGCAAGGAAAAGGGCGTGAGGGAAAGTAGCAATATCAGATGTCCACCCGCCCCTTCGTCCCACCAGGGGGGTGTGCGGGAGTTTTCATTGCAGAATAACCTGGCCTTCCAGCGGCTGTTCGACCTGCCAGAGAGCGAGTGCCATGCCTTACAGCCAACCATGCCACTCCATGTATCCCCCCTTCCCCTCCCCCTCCCCTTCGTCCCACCAGGGGGGTGTGCGGGAGTTTTCATTGCAGAAGAACTTGGCCTTCCGGCGCCTATTCGACCTACCGGACAGCGAGTGCCTCATAAACGACTTCTCCTGCATCCTCAAGAAAGGGCTGCTCTCTCAAGGCCGCCTCTTCCTCTCCCCACGCCTCCTCGCCTTCTACTCCTCTGTCTTTGGCACACGCATCAAATTCACCCTCCTCTGGGAAGATATAGATGAGATTGACGACAGCGTGCCGTCTCTCTTCGACCAAAAGGAGTCCCAAAAGGATGCCAAGTCTCAAACCGCCCAGTCTTCATTGACTAGGTCGCAACCGATCAAGGATCAGACGGCCGCCGCCGCCCAGAAACCGCCCGCCGCTGCCGCCCAGAAATCGTCCATGACGACCTTCAAGCGCATGCTCAACCCGGCCATCACCGTCTTTGTCAAAAAGGACAAAGGGACGGCGGAAACCCGGGCGGCGGCGCATGGCGTGGACTCGCAGGGGCGGCTGAAGATCCGATTCCAGTCGTTTGTCCGCCCGGGAGTGGCCTTCCGCCTCGTCCTTGCCTTATGGCGCAATCGCAATCTCCCCACCGACCAGCAGCTAGCTCGAGCCAAGGAGGAGGGGGATGCGAGCGTCAGTGGTGGGGAGAGAGGCGAGGGTACCAATGTGGGGAGGGACGGGGGGGCTGGGGCAGCAGCAGGAGTATCCAGCAGCAGAGGCGATTTTGGGGGGGCGAGAGGAGGGATGGGAGGGTATCGGGAGGTGATCGATTCGAGAAGGGAGTCTATAGCAGTGGAGGACGGTGGAGGGGTGTTTATGGGAGTGGAGACGCGGGAGATGATAGACGAGCAGCTAGTAGGCGTACCCATCACAGTGCAGCAGTTTCTGGCATCGTTTGACGACCCAGCAGCCACTGCTGCCATGATGGAGAAGGCAGGGCAGATGGGGGCGGAGATCGGCGAGTGGGAGGCGGTGGAAGTTGGTATTGGGGACGGGGTGGGGCAGCTGGACGGCCGGGCGGCGGGAGGCAGAGTGGGCGGCGTTCTTCGGCGCCAGCGCAGCGTCAAGTACCGATTCTCTCGGCAGGTGAGGGGAAGTGAAGTGGGCCACTGGTCAGGGGCAGGTGAGGAAAGCTCATGGGGATTTCCCTTCCACCAAGCTCATGGGGATTCCCCTTCCCCATCCAAGCACCGCCATGTTTGCATTTCAAACAATGTGGGCCACCGATCAGGGGCCGTGCCTGCGAGCGTATATTCTTCTTCCACCAACAAATCGCCTCCCTGCCTCTCCCATTGCTCCTCTGGATAGGTCCCTGTCCTCTCCCCAACCGTGACCGCGGTGCAGCAGATGACTCAGGAAGCCAGCACCCCGGGCGGCACCCCGGGCGGCATCTCGGGCGGCAGCCAGGACGGCGGTATCCAGTGGGCGTGTTTGGAGCAGGTGCTCACTCTCCACAGAGTCCCCTTCGGCGACAGCTTTCAGGTGAAAACAACAGAAGCTTTCAGGGGGATTAGCAGAATTTTGTCAGGTGGGTGGGAGAGAACGAGTAGTCTGGCGAAACAATCAGGTAGCTTACCAGGTGGCAGGAGCAAGGAGTTGCAGCTGAGGTGTGGATTTGAGCCTGCTCTATTAACAACTCAAACCCTCTCCCTCTCACCTCCTCAGAACACTCGTCCTCTTCCCTCACCCCTTGCCTCCCCTCGAGTAACCCTGTCAGTTGGAGTTTGTTCAAGAGATCAAGGCCAAGGAGACATTCTCCCTGCCAGGAGCAACCGCAAGCACGGCAGCAGGTGCAGCAGCAGCAGACGTGGGAGCAGGCAAGAGCAGCGCAGCAGATACGGCCTACTCGTCCTCTACCCCAGCAGAAGCTGCTGCTAGCGCGGCCAGGGGAGCAGCCGCTGTCGCCTCCGCACTGGTTGCCGCTGCAGGCGCACTCAAACTCACATCACGTGGGGGGGCAGCAGCAGCAAGCGGAACGGCCGCAGGTGAGAACGGATCCGGTGAGGAGAGAGGAACAGCAGGCGGTACAGCAGGAGCAGGAGCAGCAGGGGGGGTGGCATTGGGAGCGAGTGGGTTACAAGAGGGGGTGTTGCAGGATGACAGGGTGCGATCGGTGCTGCACGTGCGAATGGCGATTGCATGGCACAAGGAGCTCAGTGAGGCCACTCGCACCAAGATCAAGAGCAGCATCGGGCGATTCTACAAGCAGCAGGCACGCCGTGTGGTAGAACTTATGGCGGCTCAGGGGACCTAAAGAGGGGACGTGCTAGCTGCTGTATGGAGACTTCTTTTGAGATGTCTCAAAAGTCGACACGGGCCAAGATCAAGAGCAGCATCGGGCGATTCTACAAGCAGCAGGCACGCCGCGTGGTTGAACTCATGGCTGCTCAGGGGACCTGAAAAAGGGACGTGCTAGCTGTTGTATTGAGACATTCTTTTGAGATGTCTCAAAGTTGACACGGGCCAAGATCTAGAGCAGCATTGGCCACTGTGATCGTGCAAGTCTTCTCAGGGACATGCAGAGTGCGATCATACCAAGGGAGGGATGATGCAGAGTCTTCAGAATGCTTTGTTCAGGCTCCTACAAAATGCTTTCTCAGACCTTAATAGAGCTGGGTCATACCAAGGCATGGTGCTGGGAATGGTTGGGTGGGGTGGGGAGCCCATGGACAGACCAAAAGAATCCTCTCCAGGTTGTAAGTAGCAGAAAAGCGGCAGGTTGCCTCACAACCAGATGCATAAACGTTGAACCAAGCTTATATTTATGACATTTTGGCTTCTTAAAGCCGGCGTCTACAGCACCGTAGGCATACAAGGGTATATTGAGGAAGTCTATTGCGCAGTTAGACCAACTCTCAAGACCGGGTGAGGGCGTTCTTTTAGGATTCTCGGAATAAAACGCCCCGACCCAGTCTCAAGACCAGGTGAGAGGGCGGGGAAGAGTTGTGCCGTGGCCCGCATGAGAAGGCAAGGGAGAGTCAAGGAGAGGAAGCAGAAGACCCACAGCAGAAGCTGCCAGTAAAGACATAGAGGAGTATGGAACTTACACTTCAAACTGAACTTCCCGAGACAGTCTCTCCCGTAGCGCTGCAATTGACAGCCATGCTGCCGTGCTCCTCCCACTTCAGTGCACGCACCTGCACAGGCAGGGGCGAGGGGTAAGGGTGGGGCTGGAGGCAATGAATCGCCTAGTGTGAGAAACAAGTGGAATAACTTCTGATAAAGCCCAAATCATACCTGTGGGGGTCCTTGACGGGGCACCTGAGAGGGTACCTGAACTGTTACCTGAAGGGGCACCTCGGAAGCACCTGAGGGTGACCGGAATGGGGTACCTGAGGGGCCACCTGAGGGCGTACCTTTGGAGACCGTTTGAGGCACGTGCTCCAATTTGCTTCCATTGGCCAGCATGCATGCTGCTGATGCATTGATGTGCGTTTGCATGCACGCAAGTGTGCATGTGTGCACGCGTCAGGCATGGCTCATCATGGGCACGCACGCACGTGCCCGAGAGCATGCATGCAAGGCCGAGGAGAGGATACGCTCACCTATGCGAGCCCTGCCTGTACTGCCTTGTGCCCTCTGGTTGCCAGCGAACACCCACGCCACACCAGTGTGTCCCTGGGACGCGCCACCCCAGTGCTGGTGCTGCTGGTGCTGCTGGTGCTGCTGGTGCTGCTGGTGCTGCTGGTGCTGCTGGTGCTGCTGGTGCTGCTGGTGCTGCTGGTGCTGCTGGTGCTGCTGGTGCTGCTGGTGCTGCTGGTGCTGCTGGTGCTGCTGGTGCTGCTGGTGCTGCTGGTGCTGCTGCTGCTGCTGCTGCTGCTGCTGGTGCTGCTGGTGCTGCTGGTGCTGCTGGTGCTGCTGGTGCTGCTGGTGCTGCTGGTGCTGCTGCTGCTGCTGGTGCTGCTGCTCCTGCTGGTGCTCCTGCTGCTGCTCCTGCTGCTGGTCCGCCTCCCAGCACCACGCCTCTGGTTGCCAGCGAACACCCACGGCACACCAGTGTGTTTTTTTTAGGCGCCTCAAAAGTCGCCACACCAGTGTGTCCCCTGGGGATGCGCCACCCCTGGGATGAGAGCAAGACGTTCAGTGACAGTTCCCGGGATGGTATGCAGCACCCCTGGGAGCAACAATTCAAGTCCCTGGGACGTTCATTCCTTGCCTCTCAGCCCACGAGGCACCCACCCGCACCAGAGCACAGACCACAGGAACACACACACAGGAGCGTGCATCAGAAGCAGCAGAGGAAACGGACTTGGACGAAACAAGAATAGATCCTAAGACCTGCCGCACGGCGACCTAGACTGCCCTTAACCCCACAGAATAGACCCGCCCAACCACCTACCATGCGGAAGCTGTGAGCCATGCTCTGAGATGGCTCAGAATGCGGATGCTCCCTCGCACAGCACCTCTCTGAGAAGCACTACCCCTTGGCAGGACTGTTGACGCTTCCACTGGCTTCAGTGGAGGAGGCATAGGAACCACATCAGCGACCACAGCACAGAAACGACGAGCACAAAGGAGAGTGCGTCAGAAACAGCAGAGAAAGTGGGCTCGAAAGAAAACAAACTCGATCTAAGACTTGCCGCACGGCGACCTAGACTGCTCTGCCCCCCCTATAATCCTCCCAAATTACTCACCATGCTGCCGTGCCGAGCCAGTGTCTGGGACGGCTCAGAAGGTGGGTCCCTTGCACAGCATCTCTCTGGGACTTACTGTCAACGTGTCCCTGGGTCTCAGTCAAGGAGACCCCCGAACCAGAGCATCACGCACAGAGGAGATTTCGTCAGCAGCAGCAGTGGAAGCAGACTCAGAAGAAACAAAACCAGTTCTAAGACTTGCCGCACGGCGACCTAGACTTCTGTTATCATGCTGCCAATACCCCCAATAGACCCGCACAATCACTTACCATGCTGCCATGGTGAGGCAGTTTCTGAGACGACTCCTCACTCGCACCAAAATTTGGGAAGCGCCAACCCTGAGAAGCGCCAACCCTGAGGAGCGCCAACCCTGAGAAGCGCCAACCCTGAGAAGCACAGATCTTCACTCGCACAGCACCGCTCTGAGAAGCACCAACCCTTGGCAGGACTCAGTGAATGGGCCTCAGTGCAGGAGGCACCACCGGAGCCACATCAGCAAACACAGCACAGTAACGAGCACAGAGGAGAGAGAGTCAGGAGCAGCAGCGGAAACGGACTCAGACGAAACAAGAATCGATTCCAAGACTTGCCGCGTGGCGACATAGACTGCTCATATCCCCCCTTAATATACTCGCCCAATCACTTACCATGCTGCTGCAGTGAGCCAGCTTCTGAGAAGCACCAACCCTGAGAAGCACGGATCCTCACTCCCACAGCACCGCTCTGAAGCGCCAAGCCTTGGCAGGACTCAGTGCACGGTCGTCAGTGCAGGAGGCACCACCACAGAGGCACCACCGGAGCCACAGCAGCAAACACAACGGAGAACGCGTCAGCAGTAGCAGCGGAAACGGACTCAAAAATAACAAGAATTGACTCTAAGACGTGCCGCACGGCGACCTAGACTGCCTTACCCCCCTGATAGACCCGCCCAGCCACTCACCGTTCTGCTGCACTGAGAAGGCGGATATCCTGGCGCCTAAAAAGGCGGATCCTCACTCCTAACTCGCACCGCACCTTCCTGAAATGCACTTCAGCGTGTCCCTTCCCTGGGCCTCAGTCAGGGAGACACACCGACACATAACAGCGAACACGGCACGGCGACAAGCACAGAAGAGAGTGCGTCAGCAGCAGGAGCAGCGGAAACTGACTCGGAAGAAACAAAACTTGATTCTAAGACTTGCCGCACGGCGACCTAAACTTCCTCACCCCCCCAGATAAATTCGGCGAACGACTTACCATACCGCACAGTGACATGGCGAACCAGTATGCTGCCTTGTAGCGCCTGCATTCCCGCAGCTGATCCCTCTCCTGCCTCCACCTATCGATCCCATAGTCGTGTCCATGCGCCTCAGTCAAGGAGGGACCGAACCAGAGCAGAGGACTCAACCAGAGCAGAGAACTCAAACGAAGCAGAAGAACAAGCACATGGGAAAAGCATACAGGAGAGTGCGTGAGAATCAGCAGCGGAAACGGACCGAGAAGAAATCAAATTCAGGTCTATGACTTGCCGCACGGCGACCTAGACTGCTCTGACCCCCCAATAGACCCACCTAATGACTTACTGAAATACTGCCGTGGTGAGAGTGCGTCTGAGACGGCTCAAAAGGTGGTCCCTTGCTCCTCACTCGCACAGCACCTTCCTGGGACCCACTGTCAGCACGTGCCTGGGTCTCAGTCAGGGAGATCTCAGCCAGTCAAGGAGCAGCCAATACAACACAACAACACAACAAGCACAGAGGAGAGTTCGTCAGAAGCAGCAATGGAAACAGACTCAGGAAAACACATAACCGTTTCTAAGACTTGCCGCACGGCGACCTAGACTGCTCTGCCCCCCCAATGGTTCAGCCAACGACTTACCATCTTGCCACCATGAGCCTGTTTCTGAGACGGCTCAGAAGGCGGATCCTCCCTCGCATAGCCCCTCCCTTCGAGGCACCACCCTTGGCAGGCAGGAGTGTTGGGGCGCCTCACTCCTCACTCGCACCGCTCCTCCTTGGAACGCGCATCAGCGCGTCCCTGGGCCTCAGGCAGGGAGAGACCCGACCCAGAGCAGCCAACACAGGCCGGGAGCAAGCACAGAGGAGAGAGCGTCAGCGGCAGCAGAGGAAACGGACTCGGAAGAAACAAAACTCGAATCTAAGACTTGCCGCACGGCGACCTAGACTTCTTTACCCCCCAGATAAATTCGGCGAACGACTTACCATACTGCACAGTGACACAGCGAACCAGTATACTGCCTTGTAGCGCCCGCATTCCCGCTGCTGATCCCTCTCCTGCCTCCACCCATCGATCCCGTAGTCGTGTCCATGCGATGATGCGATGATGCGCCTCAGTCAAGGAGGCACCGGAGACAGGGCAGAGAACACATAGAAGTAGAAGAAGCACACGGGAGACTGCGTGAGAAGAAGCAACGGAAACGGACTGAGAAGAAATAACATTCACATCTACGACTTGCCGCACGGCGACCTAGACTGCCTTGTCCTCCCCCATAGAACCGGCCAAGCACTTACCGTTTTGCCTGGTGGATCAAATCCCGAAAAGTCAGAAAGAGAGGAGCCTCACTCACTCGTAGAACCCCTCACTGGGACGCACCACCCCGTGGGGGGAAGACTTGCTGCCTCGTGCATGGCCCTCAGTCAACACCCCACAGCAACACGCACAGGGAAGCGAGCGTTAGAAGCAGCACAGAAAGCAGACTCGGAAGAAGCAAAAACCGATTCGATGACTTGCCGCACGGCGACCTAGACTGCTCTGCCCCCCCAATATCTCCGCCGGAAAGCTTACCATACTGCGACTTTATGGTGAGCCAGTGTCTGAGACGCTTCAAGGGTGCATCCTCACTGGCAGAGCCCCTCCCTGGGACGAACCACCCTGGGGCACCACCACGAAAGTGATTCTGAGAGCCACCTTCGAAAGTGATGCACCACCACGCCTTGGCGGGCAGGACTGTCGGGGCTGCCTGAGAGCCTCAGTTCAGGAGGCACCGGATCTAGAGCAGTGCACAGAGCACAACACAGGAGGAGGCACAGAGGAGAAGGCGTCAGAAGCAGCAGAGCAAACGGACTCAAAAGAAGCTAAAGCCGATTCTACGACTTGCCGCGTGGCGACCTAGACTGTTCTGTCCCCCGTGATACATCCGCCGAGTAGCTTACCATAATACGATGGTGAGCCGGCTTCTGAAGCCAGCTCAGAAGGCGGATTCTCCCTCACAGAGCCCCACTCCTGAGACGAACCACCCGTTGGCAGGCAGGACTGTTGGGGCGTGCATGGGCCTCAGGGAAGCAGGCACCGGAACCAGAACAGCAGCAACGCAGGAAAAGAACAGAGGCACGAGCGTCAGAAGCAGCATAGAAAGTGGACTCGGGATAAGCAAAACCGGATTCTAAGACTTGCCGCACGGCGACCTAGACTGCTCTGCCACCCCCATAGATCCACCCAGCGACTTACCAGCTACGATGGTGAGCCAGTTTCTGAAGCCAGCTCAGAAGGCGGATCCTCCCTCGCAGAGCCCCCCCCTTTGAGGCACCACCCGCAGAGCCCCTCCCCTGGGACGAACCACCCGTTGGCAGGCAGGGTTGTTGGGGCGTCCCTGGGCCAGATTCTGAGACCCCTCCGCAGGCTGATGGTGGCAGCCAGCGCACCTCCCAGGCACGCAACGCACCACCACGCATTGGCAGGCAGGACTGTTGTCTCGCCCATGGGGCAGTTTCTGAGACGCCTCAGCAGTCGGGTCGTCACTGGCAGAGCCGCTCCCTGGCAAGCGATGGACCACCAGGCCTTGGCGGGCAGAGTGTTGAGGCGTGCATGGGCCTCAGTCAAGTGAGCATTGGAACCAGAGCAGCGCACATAACACAACACAGGGGGGAGCACAGAGGAGAGAGCGTCAGAAGCAGCAGAGCAAGTGGACTCGAAAACAGCAAAGCTAGATTCTATGACTTGCCGCACGGCGACCTAGACTGCTGTGCCCCCCTAATTGATCCGCCCAGCAACTCACCACACTGCAGTGGTGAGGCAGTTTCTGCAACGGGTCAGAAGGCGGATGATCACTCCTCACTGGCAGAGCCCCTCAGTGAGGCGAACCACCCTTGACAGGCACAAGTGTTGCGGCGCCCATGGGGCTGATTCGGAGACGAATCCGCAGTCGGGTCGTCACGCGACGCACGGTCACGCCTTGGCAGGGCTGTTGAGGCGTGCATGGGCCTCTCAGTCAAGGAGGCACCGGAATCACAGCAGCGCATACAACACAGGAGGAAGCACAGAGGAGAGAGCGTCAGAAGAAGCAGAGCAAACGGACTCAGAAAAATCTAGACCTGATTCTATGACTTGCCGCACGGCGACCTAGACTGCTCTGCCCCCCTGAATAGGTCCGCCCAGCAACGTACCATGCCGCGGCGGTGAGGCAGTTTCTGCGGCGCCTCAGAAGGCGGATCCTCACTCCTCACTCGCAGAGCCCCTCCCAGGGCGAGGCACCCCTCGTATTCTCGTATAGGGTGGCATGGCAGGACTGTATTCTCGTGCATGGGCCTCAGCCAACACATCACAGCAACAAGCGCAGGGGAGTGAGCGTCAGAAGCAGAAAAGAGAGCGGATTCGGAAGAAGCAAAAACTGATTCTAAGACTCGCCGCACGGCGACCTAACCTGCTCTACCCACCCGATATCTCCGCCCAACGACTTAACATGAAGCGGTGATGAGCCTGTTTCTGAGGCGGATCCTCACTCGCAGAGCTCCTCTCTGGACGAACCACCCGTTGGCAGGCAGGAGAGTTGGCGTGCTTGCGCCTCAGTGAAGAGGCACCGGAAACAGAGCAGCGAACACAGCACAGCACAGCACAGGAACAGGCACAGAGGAGAGCGCGTTAAAGCAAGGGTGCACATCCAAGGGGGGGAGGCAAAGGTTTATCACTTGCCTCCTGATGGTTACTGCGCTTGGGAGGAAACAACCCCCTAACGATTTTGTTTGGGTTCGCCAGCACGTTCTCCAACCCTCGCTCCTGTGTTTCAGAAGGTTGGACTCTTCGCCAACCAATTATAGCACCCGAAAGGGTGTGCATAACCAATGCCCCCAAAAACCACCCCTAGGAATGTGCACCCTTGCTTTAAAAGCATCAGAGAAAATGGATTCGGGAGAAACAAGAATTGATTCTAAGACTTGCCGCGCGGCGACCTAAACTGATCGACCCCCCCAATAAATTCGACCAAGAACTTACCATACTTTTCCCGCTCCTGATTGTCCTGCTTCTGGTCCTGCCGCTACTGCTCCTGCAGGCTTACGTGTGTCGACCAAGACAGTTCGCTGCACCACCAATGCTCCATCGCTCCTCCCTCCCTGCACGCACACAGAGAGGGCAGAAGAGGTACAGATGCGTGAGAGCAGCACGCAAACACTCGACTCAAGACACTTACGAACCTTTTCAAAGCCGCGCTGCCGGCCACCCAGTGTCCGCGCAATCCGCGTTTGCCCGCGCAATCCGCGTTTGCCAGCGCAATACGTGTTTCTCCCCGCAATTCGCGTTTCCTCCGTGCAATCCGCCAGCGCATTCCGCATTTCTCCTCGCAATCCGCGTATCTCCTCGCGATCCAGGTTTCTCCACGCGATCCAGGTTTCTCCTCGCAACAGCACAGGGACAAGCACAGAGGAGAGAGCGTCAGAAGCAGCAGGGGGAAAGGGACTCGAAGAAACAAATTTTGATTCTAAGACTTGCCGCGCGGCGACCTAGACTGCTCGACCCCCCCCAATACATTCGGTCAAGAGCTTACCATACTGCACAGCAACACAGTCCCATTTCCGCCTCCCGCTTTCTCCCCCCTGGATCCTTGTTTTTGTTGCTGCTGCTGCTCGGAGGTCGTTCGCCTGACCCTCCTTGCCTCCTCTCCTGTGTTCCTCCTCCTCCACACCCCACACACGCAACAGGAGAGGGAGAACACACACGTGGATTAAACCGAGATCTTTGGGAGAAACGACCCTGGAGAGCAAAAATAGCGGACTCAAGACACCTACGCGGCGGACTCCAACGTCCTACGCGCCCCCCCATACATCCCTTCCACGCACACGCACCTTCGCATGTCGCTCTGCTGCCGTCAGCATGTATCGAATCTTCTTCGAATCCGTGTTGCTCTCCGTTCCGCCGTGCTTCTGTATCCTTCGCCGTCATTCCTCGAATCAAAACTCGCGAACGGCTGCGAAAGTCGGCGAAACCATCGAAACGTGACGAACGGTGCAGAAACTCGGCGCGCAACAGTATCGGCGAACGGCAGGAAATTTAGCGAAGACTTGGCGAACGGCAACGCCTTTGCGAAAGGCAGCGACACTCGGCGATCGGCACCGAAAGTCGGCAAACGGAAGCGGAACTCAGAAAATGGTAGAGAATCTTAGCGAACGCCGGGAACGAACTTGACGAACATTGGCGAAGGGCAGAGAAACACCGCGAACGGCGGCAGCGAACCCGGATAACCGCAGCGACTCTCCACGAAGCGCAGACAAACTCGACAAACGGCAGCGAAAGCCGACGACGACGAAATGGGAGGGCTGAATGACAGGTCTCGAGGATAGACGGGACCGAGCAGCACGCTGGAAGTGACCAGCCGGACTGCGTGGTGGTTCAGGTTGTCTAGGGCCGCATCAGGAAGGTTAGTATTTGAGTGTACTACCTAACAACGCATTTTAGAAGTCGCTAGTCCATTATTCAGCTTAGCACCGCTTAATGTCGTTAATCAATCCTGCGTCAGCCGCGTACTACGGTCGTTCGCCCATCCTGAATGTTAGAACCGCGTACTATGGTCGCGAATCCCTCCTGCGCTTTAGGTAGCATGATTGCTATTCTATCCTTCGTTCTAGGACCGCATTTCTGTATCGGAAGGATGGCTTCAAAATAGAACCAGGATAGACGCGACTCAAACTCGAATTTATGACCGCAATAGAAGAGTCAGCTGTCCCACATAAGGCGGAATCGGAAAAAAATCATCTCCTACCGAGAAGACTGCGAGCTAGCGTCGTTTCAGGCGGAATCTTCTCTACCAACCAAAGTCCTCTTTGGTTGCTGGGCCGACAATGGGACTAAGAGCGAATGGACAAGCTGCGAGAGCTGGGAAAGAGCGAGTGTTGCTGGTCGGAAACAAGAATCGCTGGCCTGAAGCACGCGAAGGAAAGATGTTGGGAGAGCGAAGATAAGGTTGTGGCTGGGTCCAATTTTTGGCGTCAGGGACGGCGGCACCTCTGACAACCTCGATGGAATTTGGCGGCAGAATCGAGGCGCAAAGTGGTGGAAAGCTGAAAGCATTCCCACAGGCGATCCCGTTTACGTATTTCACTACAATTAATAATATAACAGAAACAATAATTTTGCATCCCCTTTATGCCAAACTTATTGGTATAGAGGCCAGAAACGTTACATTAGCTGCTGATGGAAAGATCCCGAGCTCTCAGATTTCAAATAAAACTTTGTTTGTTTCAATGTCTGTTCAAGCGTACGCCAAATACAAAGTAGCATAACTTTGTTTGTATTCTATTTTTCCTCCTTCCCCACCCCTTTTTCACTATTTCTCGTTTTTTTTCGAGCTAATTTTGTATATATATTTTATGATACTATGTCGAAGATTTCTGTTGTCGTACATCAAGGCTCTAACAAGAAATTTTTTTGGTAGTCCAAGATATAATTGTAGCTTAGATTCTTATATACAGAAATGACACTTATTTTGAAAAAATAACTGGGTATCAGGCATGACCCAGTGGTGGCGAGCTTGTCGCGACAAAGAATGTTTGCCGTTGAATGCATACGACCGCGATTCCGCCGTACCTGATTCCATTTGTTACGCTCTCGTCGGACTCTTACTCCTCGTGGAAAAGCGAGCTCTTCGCCATGGCTGTCGCTGTCTCAGCTCGATCTCACCAAGTCAGTAGCAGCCTTCCCGCTGATTCAGCAGCTACTGCCTCGAATGTGTCAACGTCACAATCGTCCAATCCCAGCCGTTCCTTACACGATGCTGCATCCTCATTCGCGGATCTTGTTCTCGGCGCTTCCAGCAATCGCGCTGTACAAGAAGCACGGCCTGACGGACACTCCGCATCTCAAGCCGGGATTTCCGGACAAACCTTGGCTCGTGAAGTAGCTTCTCCCAAAGCTGACCTGTCAGCACAGCTGTCCGTCGCGGACCTGCTGACGTGTCTCTCGCGGATTGAAGAGCGGTCCGAGCAGGTAAAGGCGGAGATCATACAGGAGGTGGAAGGCAGACACGAGGAGCTTCGGCAGCTGATGTGGCACGCGTGCCAGGCTGGCGATGACGTGGCGGTTCTGCTAGCTGAGGTGGATGCCCTGGCTGCCAGCGTGTCACCAGCAGAAGCTACCGAATCCGGACCTAGCGGAAGGGGGGGGGGAGGGAATCATGATCCTGGCTCGGGACCAGCTTCGGTAACAGGCTCGGGGATAGGTCTAGGCTCGGGAGCAGCACTAGGGTTTGTGGAGGAGGTGGTAAGGGCCACCAATGAGGTGCGAGCATTGAATCAAGCAGCCAATGAGAAAGCAGAGATTCGGAAAGCAGTGGAGGAGATTGTTCATCTCCAAAGGAAGCAGGCAGAGATGCAGGTGCTGCTGGGAAGAGGAAGGCTCCTGGAAGCTGCGACTCTTGCTCGGGCTCTTAAAGCCTCCTTCGTGGAGGGTGATAAGGGTGATGTGGGGAGGCCAAAGGAGGGGAGGGACGGGGAGGGAGAGGGGGATAAGCAGGGCGAGGCAGAGGGGAAGGGCGGAGAGGAGGAGCAGGGGGAGGAGCCTGTGGCGGTGACTCTGCTGCGGCAGCAAGTGGACGCCAGCTGTAAGCAGGTCTGTGTGGTTTTGGTTGCTACGTAAAACTCTAGGAGTCATGTGGTAGTATTCTGAAAAAAGACTTGTAAGGGGCGAAGCCTGTGGCGGTGACTGCTGCGGCAGCAAGTGGACGCCAGCTGTACGCAGGTCTGTGTGTGGCCCACCAGTTGCCCTACATACATGAAAGGTGTGGAACCATTTTCTGGAATCCTGATGGGTCCGGAGGGGCTTGTCTCCGGCTGCCCTGGACCGGCCGCGTGAACTGGCCGCACTTCCCACCCCCTGTGAACCGGCCCCAGTTCCCACCCCCTGTGAACCGGCCCCAGTACCCACCCCCTGTGAACCGGCCCCAGTTCCCAACCCCCTGTGAACCGGCCCCAGTTCCCAACCCCCTGTGAACCGGCCCCAGTTCCCAACCCCCTGTGAACCGGCCCCAGTTCCCACCCCCTGTGAACCGGCCCCAGTACCCACCCCCTGTGAACCGGCCCCAGTTCCCAACCCCCTGTGAACCGGCCCCAGTTCCCAACCCCCTGTGAACCGGCCCCAGTTCCCAACCCCCTGTGAACCGGCCCCAGTTCCCACCCCCTGTGAACCGGCCCCAGTTCCCACCCCCTGTGAACCGGCCCCAGTTCCCAACCCCCTGTGAACCGGCCCCAGTTCCCAACCCCCTGTGAACCGGCCCCAGTTCCCATCCCCTGTGAACCGGCCCCAGTACCCACCCCCTGTGAACCGGCCCCAGTTCCCAACCCCCTGTGAACCGGCCCCAGTTCCCAACCCCCTGTGAACCGGCCCCAGTTCCCAACCCCCTGCGAACCGGCCCCAGTTCCCACCCCCTGTGAACCGGCCCCAGTTCCCACCCCCTGTGAACCGGCCCCAGTACCCACCCCCTGTGAACCGGCCCCAGTTCCCAACCCCCTGTGAACCGGCCCCAGTTCCCACCCCCTGTGAACCGGCCCCAGTTCCCACCCCCTGTGAACCGGCCCCAGTTCCCAACCCCCTGCGAACCGGCCCCAGTTCCCACCCCCTGTGAACCGGCCCCAGTTCCCACCCCCTGTGAACCGGCCCCAGTACCCACCCCCTGTGAACCGGCCCCAGTTCCCAACCCCCTGTGAACCGGCCCCAGTTCCCACCCCCTGTGAACCGGCCCCAGTTCCCACCCCCTGTGAACCGGCCCCAGTTCCCACCCCCCTGTGAACCGGCCCCAGTTCCCACCCCCCTGTGAACCGGCCCAGTTCCCACCCCCCTGTGAACCGGCCCCAGTTCCCAACCCCCTGTGAACCGGCCCCAGTTCCCAACCCCCTGTGAACCGGCCCCAGTTCACACCCCCTGTGAACTGGCCCCAGTTCTCACCCCCTGTGAACCGGCCCCAGTTCACGCGCCCTGTGAACCGGCTTGGGAACTGGAGCTGCAGTCCCGGGTTGGGGACTGGAGCTGCAGTCCCGGGTGCGGGACTGGAGCTGCAGTCCCGGCTTGGGGACTGGAGCTGCAGTCCCGGCTTGGGGACTGAGCTGCAGTCCCGGCTGCGGGACTGGAGCTGCAGTCCTGGCTGCGGGACTGGAGCTGCAGTCCCAGGTGCGGGACTGGAGCTGCAGTCCCAGGTGCGGGACTGGAGCTGCAGTCCCAGGTGCGGGACTGGAGCTGCAGTCCCAGGTGCGGGACTGGAGCTGCATTCCCAGGTGCGGGACTGGAGCTGCAGTCCCAGGTGCGGGACTGGAGCTGCAGTCCCAGGTGCGGGACTGGAGCTGCAGTCCCAGGTGCGGGACTGGAGCTGCAGTCCCAGGTGCGGGACTGGAACTGCAGTCCCAGCTGCGGGACTGGAGCTGCAGTCCCAGGTGCGGGACTGGAGCTGCAGTCCCAGGTGCGGGACTGGAGCTGCAGTCCCAGGTGCGGGACTGGAGCTGCAGTCCCAGGTGCGGGGCTGGAGCTGCAGTCCCAGGTGCGGGACTGGAGCTGCAGTCCCAGGTGCGGGACTGGAGCTGCAGTCCCAGGTGCGGGACTGGAGCTGCAGTCCCAGGTGCGGGACTGGAGCTGCAGTCCCAGGTGCGGGACTGGAGCTGCAGTCCCATCTTGGGGACTGGAGCTGCAGTCCCAGCTTGGGGACTGGAGCTGCAGTCCCGGAGCTGCAGTCCCGGCTTGGGGACGGGAGCTGCAGTCCCGGCTTCGGGACGGGAGCTGCAGTTCCAGCTCACACTCCCTGTGAACCGGCCCCAGTTGCTTCATGTCCTTCCTGCTAGTACATCTGCAGATCCGCCTTCCCATGTTTGCAGTGTGAAACAATCTGAGTTGACTTTGAGTCGACTCAAAAGTCGGCTCTTTCTCGTGCCTTGTTTCATGTCCTTCCTGCTAGCACATCTGCAGATCCGCCTTCCCATGTTTGCTGATTTAGACAATTTGTTTGAGTTGAAGCGGAATTTCCTCGCCTTCCCTCTAACTCCGTCACACCCTTCCACCCCTCTCTATACCCCTCTCCACCCCTCTGCACCCCTTCAGCTGCAGCACAGCCTGGAGCAGCAGCTGTGGCAGATGCTGGTGATCGACCCTTCCAGCCACTCCATCCGTATAGTCACCCTTCTACCCCTCTCTGCCCCTCTCCACCCCTCTCCACCCCTCTTAACCGCTTCAGATGCAGCACAGTCTGGAGCAGCAGCTGTGGCAGATGTTGGTGATCGACCCTTCTAGCCACTCCATCCGTATAGTCACATCCGCTGCACTCACACCTGCCATCACCAGTGCTGCTGGTACTGCTGCTTCTGCTCCTGTTGTGCAATTACCAGAGGTGCTATCTGCACTAGAAGTGCTGACATTGCCAGTGCTCCCACCACCATCAGCACCATCAACATCAGCAGCAGCACCAACAGCATCAGCACCATCAGCCTCACTGCCAGTAGCAGCAGGGCCGCTATGGTCCAGAATAGCAGCATCCATCCATTCAGCCATCGTGCTGCCTCTGCTCTCCTCCTCATCCGCCTCCCTCATCGCCTCACAACCTGCTGACTCTGGCCCGGCTTCCCCAAGGGACGCTGCCTCTCCTGCTGTCGCGCTTATCCATGTCCAAATCGAAAACACCACACCACCAGCAACACATGCGGCATCAACTGCAGCACATTCAGAATCTTCAGGAGCAACAGCAGCAGGAGCAGCAGCGCAAGCACCAGTGACGCCCTTCCATCTGTACCCGCTCCTTCTCGACCTCATCCGCTTCCTCAGTCGCCATCTCACCTGCATCAGCAGCACCAGCAGCACCAGCAGCACCAGAAGCACCAGCGGTGGGGAGGGCAGCACCATTAGTGGCGGTGGCAGTGGCAGCACCATTCGACTGCAGCGACTGGCGGCGGCCCTCTGGCCTCGCATGGCGGACAGTATCATCGAGAGATGCCTTGCACTGGTGAGCTGACTGGAAGTCCGCTGGTAAGGTGCTTAGAGTTCATTCATATGTTCCATTTCACCATACAGCTGCCTGCTGCCCTCTGGCCTCGCATGGCCGACAGCATCATCGAGAGGTGCCTTGCACTGGTGAGCTGCTAGGTTCCGCAGTGGTGCATGTTTCAGTCGCCATCTCACATGCTACAGGAGGGTGACTCGGCAAGTGACTTCTCTGCCTTTCTTAAATCAAGCCATTTGCTCATTCCTCAGCTATTGAGGCGCCTCAGATCTAAAAAACGTCCTCAGTGCACAGTTGTTTGTTTGTTTTTTCTATCTCACGCCCCAATCAGGCCGTGCCCCAGGAAACGAGGGAACTGGCTCGCTTCCAGGAGGTGGTGGAGGTCACTCGGGCATTTGAAGCAGCCCTCAGAGCGGAGGGGTTCCTTGCGCCACTGCCTAAAGGTATGCTTCACTCTCTCTTAGACTCTACCTCTTGTGTTCTAAAGCAGCGCACAGCACTGTTATCAGAGCGTTTCTTGCGGCACCTCAAGGAAAGTCTGTCCTGTCTCTGAAGGGTACCTCTTGTGCTCTGAAGCAGCTCAGAGCACTCTTATCAGGGCGTTTGAAGCAGCGCTCGTCGTGTGATTCTTTCGCGCATCACTGCATACTGGAGGGTTTGGAGCAGAGGAGCAGAGGCAGCTCCTCTGCTCCTTATGCAGGGTTAAGGGAGCTGCAAGCAGCCACCGTGCAACCCCCCCAAGGGAAGCGGCTGCTCCTCTGCAAAGGATTTTTCTGTGTCGACTAAAAACAGTTGACTATCTGTACACTGCAGCAGTTCCCTCCCCCAGCAGGGTTTGACGCACATTCCTCCTCTATTGCCCTGCCCTGTTCCTTCCGCCCAGCTTCTGCAGCACTCAAGGACGTGAAGCTGCGGGCAGGGGGAGCAGTGAAACGAGCAGCAGCAGTGGTGGGCGACAGGCTGATGGCGTATGCTGCTGACAAGTACCCCCGATTCCTTCTTTCTCCCTCCTGCCGCCCACCCAGCCTCTACAGCACTCAGGGACATGAAGCTAAGGGCAGGGGTAGCAGTGAAGAGAGCAGCGGCAGCAGTGGGCGACAGGCTGATGGCGTATGCTGCCGATGTAGATGTGCATTTCGCAGAGAAGAAACGAGTGGCTGCTCTGGCGGCTGTGAGGCAGCTTCTTTTGAAGGGAGACTTTTCGGTTTCACGGCTCGTGGTGAGTGGTTGTCCTCCTGGTGGGGGCTTTTGAGGCGCCTCATGAGGCGACTTTTGAGGCCTCCTGGTGGGTGTAACTGGTCATGCCATCCCTTTCACTTGGGAAGTTTCTAAACGTGAGATTTGGTGAGTTTCAGAAGTTTCTTCCCTTTCACCCCACTCCCTCCCTACCCCCTTCACCCCCATGCCCCACCCCTTTGACTCCCACGCCTCGCAGGTGACTCCTGTGAGTCCACATGTGAGAAATGCAGCGCTACAGCCGGCAGTGTTTGGTCAACAGCTAACCCCATGCTGTTTGCACCCATGCTGACCCCCTTCGGCCACGCCCCACCCCACCCCCACGTCCCACCCTGTCACCTGCAGGTCACTCCTGTGAGTCCACATGTGAGCAACCCAGCGCTACAGCCGGCAGTGTTTGGTCAGAAGCTGCTACAGCTCGTGGTGGGAGAGGCAGGCACTGCTGCTGCTGCTGCTGCTGCTGCTGCTGCTGCTGCTGCTGCTGCTGCTGCTGCTGCTGCTGCTGCTGCTGCTGCTGCTGCTGCTGCTGCTGCTGCTGCTGCTGCTGCTGCTGCTGCTGCTGCTGCTTCTCCTGCTGATGTGACGTCTGACATGGTGAGGATAACCTAATGCAAGAGATTCTTGTCGCATTATTAACCCTTTTACTCTGTGAAATCTGATTTTCGATCACCTTTGTCCATGCAGTGTCGCATTGGCATTGCTTGGGTGTTCTATCTAACGCGAAATGAATTATCACGAACTTCATGCGCATGCCACGTCATCATCATCCTCTCTTCAGGACAACTCGGTATTCTTCTGGGAGCCGTGCCACGTCAGCGAGCCAGTTTGCAAGATCCTCGAAATCGTTCACAACACCATGGAGGTATAATTCCGTTTGAGTTTGCTTGAGAGCTCGTCTGGGAGCTTGCTTTTTTTCCATTTTGAGTTTTGCAGAGTTTGAGACGTCGCATAATATTCTTCATACCATTTCGTCTGATGCATGTCCAATGCTCGTTTGCTCGACAGACGTGAACTGGCAAGCCTACGCCGCGTGGTCTGACCTTGGTTTATTCCTTGTTTGCATTGCTGCTTTCCGTATTCCATCTGCCTTCCAGGAAGCTTCCCAGTCTACGGATCGTACGGCCATGGAACTGTATCGGGCAGCACGAGACATCTTCACCCTCTACCGTGCTCTGCCATCCTCTGCTGTGAGTCTTATATACCGGTCTGTACCACTTTGCACTCCTCTGTACCACTTTGTACTCCTCTGTACCACTTTGTACTCCTCTGTACCACTTTGTACCGCTCTGTACCACTTTGTACCGTTCTGTACCACTGTACCCCTGTATGACTGCCTCTCCAAGGCGCCCCTGCACTGGCTCGAGTCATCGTCACTCCTCCCTCCTCCATCTCCCGTTTGGTCCACGCACGCACCTTGGTCCGCGCGCGCGCCTTGGTCCGCGCGCGCGCGCCTTGGTCCGCGCGCGCGCGCCTTGGTCCGCGCGCGCGCGCCTTGGTCCGCGCGCGCGCGCCTTGGTCCGCGCGCGCGCCTTGGTCCACGCGCGCGAGCCTTGGTCCGCGCGCGCACCTTCCCAAATTTATGCTCAACCTCCCAAACAGCCAGTCGACATGGCACTAGCAATCGTAGCAGTCAACCACCGCCTACTGCTGAGCCACCTCTGCCTCTCCTATTGCTCAGATCATCTCTGCTCCTTTCCTCGCTCTCCACTGTTCCCTCGTTCCCACTCGTTTTTTCTGAAAACAGCCTGTGGACGTGGCACAGCTGGCCATGATAGCAGTGAACGACCGACCGCCTGTTGCTCAGCCACGTGTGCCCCTACAGGGGTTTGACCCTTTGCGCTCCTTCCCTCCCTCGCTCTCTCCCTCCCTCCCTCCCTTGTGTTCCCTCGTTCCCAGCCTGTTGACGTGGCACAGCTGGCAATGATAGCAGTGAATGACCGCCTGCTGCTCAGCCACGTGTGCCCCTACAGGGGTTTGACCCTTTGCGCTCCTTCCCTCCCTCGCTCTCTCCCTCCCTCCCTCCCTTGTGTTCCCTCGTTCCCAGCCTGTTGACGTGGCACAGCTGGCAATGATAGCAGTGAACGACCGCCTGCTGCTCAGCCACGTGTGCCTCTCCCTCGCGCTGCAGTACCGCGCGCGCCTGCCAGTTGGCGTGCGCCACGTGGCCACCTTTGCTGACGTGGCGCCGTTCCTGCGCCAGCTGGCGGAGGAGCAGATGCAGCGCGTGCTGGAGCGGCACCACGGGTACCTCATGGAAGCTTTGGACGGGGCGCAGGGGTTCAGAAACACGGATGAGGAGGAGGTTTATCGCTGTGCGCTGCGGGCTCTCAAGCAGGTACGCTTGCCGCTGCTGTATAAGAATGATGCAGCGCGTGCTGGAGCGGCACCACGGGTACCTCATGGAGGCATTGGATGGGGCGCAGGGGTTCAGAAACACGGACGAGGAGGAGGTGTATCGCTGTGCGCTGCGATCTTTGAAGCAGGTACGCTTGCTGCTCACTCAAGCAGGTTAGTCCGACCGTGTATATCCACAAGTTTGCTCAATGCTGCTGCATGGGAGTGCTGGAGAGGCACCACGGGTACCTCATGGAGGCGTTGGACGGGGCGCAGGGGTTTAGAAACACAGATGAGGAGGAAGTGTATCGCTGTGCACTGCGGGCTCTCAAACAGGTACGCGGGGTGTTGCATGCGGTGCAGAGCAGTACACCCGTTGTCTGCTGCATCCACACGACACCACGGGTGCGGCAAGCAGGTACGCTCATTGCAGATGCAGCGCGTGCTGGAGAGGCACCACGGGTACCTCATGGAGGCTTTGGACGGGGCGCAGGGGTTCAGGAACACAGACGAAGAAGAAGTTTACCGTTGCGCGTTGCGATCTTTGAAGCAGGTCACTCACACAGGTCAGTCAAGCAGCCACACTACACTTACAGCTGCTGCATGGGAATGCTGGAGCGGCACCACGGATATCTCATGGAAGTGTTGGATGGGGAACAGGGGTTCAGGAACACTGCTGAAGAAGAGGTGTATCGCTGCGCCTTGCGATCACTCAAGGAGGTGCAACACTGCGATCTTGCATCTCAAGCATCTCCCCCACCTCTCCTCTGCCTGGCGGCAAGTCTCACCGCCCTTGCGCTACCTCCTTCCTCATGTCACATCAATCCCTTTCCCCACCTCTCCCGTATCTCCTTCACCCCGTCCCCCCCCCGCAGGTGGTGCACCACCTGGCCCACCTCTCATCTGTCTGGCGGCCAGGCTCACCGCCCTTCTTCTACCCCCCGCACCACCCCACCCCTCGCCCCCGCCCCCCAGGTGGTGCATCATCTCGCCCACCTCTCCTCTGTGTGGCGCCCAGTCTCACCGCCCTCCCGCTACCTCCGAGCCATGAGTCGCCTCGTCTCTGCTGTGCTCTCCCGCTGCTGTGCGCACGTGCTCGCCCTGCCAGATATATCCGTGGACGAAACTGAGCAAGTGAGTGGGGGGACTGAGCAGATACATAAACCCTGTGTTGGTCTGAGGCTGAGTTGTCTAAGCTCGTGCTACCCCCCATGCCTCGTCTACTGTACTCTCCCGCTGCTGTGCACACGTGCTCGCCCTGCCAGACATCTCAAATTGATGAAACCGAGCAGGTGGGTGCATTGGGGCAGGAGGTTGCTGGGGCACCATGAGCAGATGAGTGTGGGAGCCCTGTGGTGGCCTGAGATTGTGCTGTGTAGCTCGTGCTGCCTCCGTGCCTCGTCTCTGCTGTGCTCTCGCGCACGCACGTGCTCGCCCTGCCAGATGTATCTGTCGATGCCTCCTCTCATCCACCACATCCCTATTTATCTCCCCCCCTCTCCCCTCGCACCCTCCTCCTCCTCCCTCCCCCCCCCCCCACCCCCGGTTATCAGCTTCGCAAGCTCTTTACAGGGATGCTGACTCGTTTGCTTCCTCTCATCCCTCCCATTCCTTGCACCCCACACCTCCCTCTCCCTCTCTTGCGCTCCCCCGCCCCACCACCCCCTTCCCTCCTTCCCCCCTCTCCTCCTGTCAGCTTCGCAAGCTCTTTGCAGGGATGCTGACACGTCTACCTCCTCTATTCCACGTGGACCTCTCAGGAGCCATTGGCACCGCCCATGGCGCTACGTCAGCATCTGTAGCTGCAGCTGCTGACCTGGATGCTGACGTGTCAGATGCCGTTGCTGACACAGCAACGCTTGAGTCTCTTGTTCCGGTGTATCGCAAGCTGAAAAGACTAACAGGTATTTGCTGCCTTTTCCCCATGGGTTCGAATCTGAAGGTACTGGTAAGTTATTTCCTGGTCGGCATAAGACTCAACTGATGGGTTTTTTTGTTTCTTTCACTTCATCTCCATTGATATGCACCAAAACCCGTGTTTAGGAAGAGAATCAGAGGCATGTGTTCTCCTCAATCCCCCTCTGTCTTCCTGTTTCTCGTCCTTCCACTGTACCATCCCTCCAGATTTGCTAGACATGCCACTAGTGGCAATCACACAGGCGTGGGAGAGTGGGGACCTGTGCCGCTGTGGTTTCACCTCTGATGAGGTAACTCCCGAGCTCTTCCCATTGTGTTCCCAGTTGCGTACTTCCATGGGTACACTCCTTCGTTCCCATGGTCCCCTATCTCTTTTCTCTTCTCACAGGTTGATGTCACCCAAGCATTATGCATTGAGTTGAGGCTGGTTCTTGTTTGTTTACTTCTACCGTATCTTCCTTCTCAGTAATCACACCCAGACCCACCACCCTCTACCAATACCGTACTTTCCTTCCGTCCAGGTGCAACGAACCATTCGAGCCATATTCTCGGACACCCCTCTCCGGCGGAACTGTATTGCCAGGGTGGCAGCAACAATGCCTCCCACTGCCTTTCAGTAGGAGTCCAATGCAAAACAGAGGTAACCCTGCTCTCCTCTCAATGTTAATCCAGTGGCAGTGCCATGATGGCACCTTACGGTACCGTACCGTAATAGCAAATATGGTTCGCAGTGCAGTGGTTCGAACAACATTCACAATGGTGATAAGCACATCGTTCCAGTTACACCGATACGGTTGTCAAATAGCAGCACAATTTTCAGTGGCCGTCCACACCCCCACACATCCAGTACCATAGTCAACTCCCGTATAACAAAATCTGTGCCTCTAACGGTAACTCATGACACAAGACATCTGCGAAAACCAGGACGCGAGATGTTCAGACGAGATATACTGAAAGAGGGCCCATGATATATACTTGCCACCGTGTCAAAGCCTGCAAAATGAACATGAACTACGCTTGCCATCCCCACGCCCCCAAAATGGTACAATGAGCTTCAATAGCTGCAAATGGCACTGCCGATTCACATCAAACTGAAATACACGAATCAGAGCGAGCCAACCAAAAAGAACTCCGAGCCTATCTAGAATTAGACATCTACGAGAAAGATCGTGTCTTATCCAAACAAATCACTTGGCGGAGGAGTAACCATAAAGCTTTCCCACAACGTGCAAGGCGGTGACGAATCCAATGAAGCAGAGGCTCATCACGAGAACGACGGTCGGGGTGATCTTAAGGCCTGGAGCGTCATCCGTGTAAAATCGGAGCATGTTATTCGCAGCGCTTGAAGTTGCTGCCGCTGTTGGCCGTCTCCTGCGGAGACCTGCTGATCCTACTCCCTTGGGTGCTCCTCCGGCAGCCGCTCCTCTACTCACAGCACCACTCCCGCCGCGTGCAACCGATGTGGACGCCTGGCTGACTGAACCCTTAGCCATGGTGTCTAATGGAGAATCGACTAAAATTGGTAGTAGACCCAAGGGAACTTACTAACAGAAACAATGGATCTTGATCAATGGCCTAGGCAAGAATATCGTAATTGCTAAGGACGAAAGAAGGTACCGTAAGTGAGATTTCTCAACTAACTTGGAAGTCAGGCAGATCCGAGATGAAGAAAATGCAATCAGAGAGATGTGGAAGAAAGTGGTTTACCAACTGCAATACCGAGGTTACACTGGTGGACATCGGCTGTTGGATCAGTTTGGGATGGGTAAGTTTGGGTTGGTCTTGGTTAAAGACCTCATGCATTCGTTGGAGAGTAGATCTGGAACTGGTGCTGCTTTCTGCACATGCTTCGCCAGGGTCTGACAGCGCGAACCCTGAAGTTGCCGTGGTAACCACGCCTCCGTTTCGCCGGTGGAACGCGAATCAGCATTTACCTTTTCCCTCACGAGCGTCTTCGATATATTCCGGGAGTCAACTGCGAAACATTTTAGCGAGGAGGTGTAGTTGAAGTGTATCGTTCAATGATCGCTCCAATACCACGCTGCGGAACACCGAAACCGTACTTGACCATACAAATAGAAGATCTGACAACTTGCACCTTTCAAAGGTCAATCTACTTCTGTTCTGACAGATGACACCTTCCCTGCTTTTCATTTTGCTGCGATTTTTTTGGCAATGACAGCCGACACTGACGGGCAGAGAACTGGAGACCACTGACTGAAAACGATCTTTCTGATGTTACAGTCCAGATTCTAGCCTCTTTGTCTGTGAGGCACGGATTGTGCATTACGCTAGCGTTGCCTCGCGATTTCATATTTTGTTGAATAGTGCTTCCTGCTGTTCTTCGTGGGACGCTAAACCATAAGCGGAATTCACGCTTGTTTTACTTGTTTCTCTTTATACGACTGATATTCAACAATGCCAGAGAGCGGAGATGACGCATCCAAAGACACAGCATGGCCGAACGCCATTCCCTACGTCCTCAAGCTCGGAACCTTCATGGAAACCTCATGGAAGCACTCAGTATCCGTCCAAGCGTCTACCCTCTACCTCACCATCTTAGTAGGCCCGTTCTGCCTGGCCGTATCCATCTTCCTCTGCCTCCTCCTCTCCCTCCTGCACCTCCAAGCGAACCACACCGGCTTCCCCTCCTCTCCGTCTTGCAACTTCCCAAGTTTCACCTCCCTCGTTGCTTCAGTCTTCAATCAATGCTCCACGATCCCACCCACCCCGAAGCCATGGACGCCGGACGGCTTTCTCGATGATCCCGAGGTGGCCTCGCGGAGGCCGGAAATGGACGCTACCTGCGATCTGTGGGAGGGGAAGTGGGTGTACGAACCGGAAATATATCCGTTGTGGAAGACGGGGTCTTGTCCGTGGGTTGAGACTGGGTTTGAATGTGAAGCACTGGGTCGGCATGACACGGATTACATGAAGTTCAGATGGCAACCGCATGGCTGCAATCTACCAAGGTGAGCTGCAATGCTGGGTTTCTTTCTCAGACCTCTCTGTCCGTGCTTCCGGTGCCTTTTCGTCTTTCGTCTGGTTTCTCGCTCTTTTCCGTATGATGACCTTTGTACATGTCCAGGTCCAACGAATCCGGCTTCTCGGATGGTCTCCGCTTGTTATGTCCAGGTTCAATGCATCGGACATCCGGAGGCGGCTCAACGGGCGCCGGCTGGTGTTCGTGGGTGACTCGTTGTGCCGCAACCAGTTTGAGAGCGCTCTGTGCCTCCTTGGCATTGATCTTCCCGATGTCTCTGCTGTTTTCGAGGTGCGGCTTCTGCTGCTCCTCTGTAGTGAATAGTCATATCGTGCCATATGGTTACAGCTCACTCCTCCCACGAGACACTCACTTGAAACCTGCCCTTTTTCATGGCTTCTGAGCTAAGCTAACTCGATTCCAGTCTCTTGCACTCCTCGTGTACTCTCTCTCTCCCCTCTTGCACTCCTCGTGTACTCTCTCTCTCCCCTCTTGCACTCCTCGTGTACTCTCTCTCTCCCCTCTTGCACTCCACCCCACCGCACGACAGCGCACAGGCAACAATCTGACCAGGAAGGTGGACACGATGGTGTATGACTTCACTGAGTTCAACTTCACTGTGGAGTACCACCTCTCACACTTCCTCGTGGGATTCCACAGGGCTCCCCCGGATGCGCCACCTCACGTGAGTGAGTCACAAACAGTCTATAAGGCTCCTTTGGATTCCGTTTGAGAAGGTGGACACGATGGTGTATGGCTTCACTCAGTTCAACTTCACTGCGGAGTAACACCTCTCGCACTTCCTTGTTGGCTTCCACCTCGCTCCCCCTGACGCGCCGCCTCACGTGAGTGAGTCACAAACAAGCTATTAGGCTCCCTGGGATCATGCTTGAGATGAGAAGGTGGTCATGATGCCGTTGATGGTGTATGTTTTCACTCGGTTCAACTTCACTGCAGAGTACCACCTCTCGCACTTCCTTGGATTCCACCGCGCTCTCCCTGGTGCACCAGGACCTGTGTGTGCGCGTGGTTTGCTCGCGATTTTTTTGAATTCTCAAAAGTTTTCTCTCTGCCACGATGACCACGCTTCAGAGTCCCGCACCAGCTCTCGTCAGCACATGTCAGTCCCCTTGACATACCCCTAGTTCTTATTGCCTGGTTCTTGTCTGCGGATTGGAGCAGAGTCAACTCAGTCACAGTGGACCCTTTGGTTGCAGGTTCTTTGAGGATTGGCCGGAAGGGTCGATTCTCATGCTCAACGCAGCCCACTGGTTGACTCATTTGCCCTCTTCCTCTTCCTTCAAGTTCTGCATTCCCATCTTCTGCTGCCACCGTTCTTGCCTGCAGATTGGAGCAGTGGTCAACACAGACACGGTTGACCCTCTCTTTGCTCGGAGGCTCTTTGACGATCGGCCAGAGGGATTGATTCTCGTGCTTAATGCAGGCCACTGGTTTACCCCATCAAAGATATCACATCAGTGAGTTATTTGTTCAGGATAGAGTTGTAAAACAATCCTCAAGACTCCTTGTTTTGTCATACCTGTAGAAAGGTTGGCTTTTTGCATTTGGGGAGATGTGCGGATATACCCATTTGGATTTTCAATGTGCAGAAAGGTTTCGTTCTGGGTGAATTACATGTTTTGCTTTTAAGGTTGGCCTGCGTTCAGGGTTGAGTGAAGTGGGAGCGGGGTGAGGGGGAAAAGGGGGGTTGTGGGGGCCTTTGACGTCTCAAATGGAGTGTGAGCTGAAGTTGTGATCGCACTGCAAAACTAAGAAACCCATGTGTTTGCTCTGTTCCCGTGCAGGAACGTCTCATTCCTGGTGAACAACCAGACTCGCCCAGACATCGATGAGACCGAGGGATTCCGCCTCGCCATGCTGCGAGTGTTTGTGTGAGGTGCCTTACAACCAAATCCCTTGTGTTCGCCCTGTTCCCATGCAGGAATGTTCCTTTTCTGGTGAACAACCAGACTTGCCCTGACATCGATGCGACCAAGAGATTCCGCCTGGCCATGCTGCGAGTGTATTGTTGAGGGGCCTCAAAATCCAATCCGTTGTATTGTATCCACACTGTTCCCGTGCAGGAACGTCTCTTTCCTGGTGAACAACCAGACTCGCCCGGACATCGATGAGACCGAGGGATTCCGCCTGGCCATGCTGCGAGTGTATTGTTGAGGGGCCTCAAAATCCAATCCGTTGTATTGTATCCACACTGTTCCCGTGCAGGAACGTCTCTTTCCTGGTGAACAACCAGACTCGCCCGGACATCGATGAGACCGAGGGATTCCGCCTGGCCATGCTGCGCGTGTCAGACTGGCTCCAGCAGTGGCCGCCTCAGGCTGCCAATGCCACAGCTGTCTTCCGCACCTATGCACCCGCCCACTTCGCGTAAGTCTGGAACCCGCCCAGCTGTTCGGGCTTGCTCCTCTATCTCACACACACCCGCACCCATGGTGTGGGTGGGAGGCTGGTTCCAGCAGTGGCCGCCTCAGGCTGCCAACGCCGCAGCTGTCTTCCGCACCTATGCACCCGCCCACTTTACGTAAGGCTAGAACTGTCCTGATCGCGATTAGATTCTTTTTGTCATTTTTCTAGCTCCTTGCTCCTCTGTGGTCTGACTGCTGGTGCTGCTTGCAGGAATGATAGTTGGTATGGCAGGGTGTGGTAATTGGGATGGCAGGGGTGATAGCCCAGAAAATAACTTCATGCTTTCTTTCTTCCAGTTTACCCATTGACCATCTTCAATTGTCTCCTTCATCCCACTTCTCACATCCGTTGACCAGTGCTCCTAACTCAACCACGTGAGTCATGACATTCCTGAATGTTCCTGCCTCATCAGATTTGCCGCATTCTCCTTGTCATGCCTACTATATGTCCTGCAGGGGTGGCAGTTGGGATCACAGTGGTGGCTGCTCAGAAACACATCCCACACTCTCTATTGATCCGCCAATCTCAAACGATATTTTGCAAGATCCTTCCGAGTTATTCGCTCGATTAAGCCGAGAGGCAATGACGCGACCGGAGCAAGTCAGAAAGCCAATTATAAATGATATTACAAGAATGTCGTATTCCAGGAGTGATGCCCACATTGCACGTTATTGGACTGGAGCGACTGGCTCGGACTGCAGGTGAGTCAGTGCTAGGCCTTTTGGCCAGCTACTATTTTGTCGCTTGTCTCGCATTCTGTTTCCTTTGAAACTCCCTAAGGGTTGTGAAGAATTACTTACCGTATGTGCTTCTTTTGGTGCAGCCACTGGTGTCTACCTGGAGTGCCTGACACATGGAACGAGATGCTGTTTGCTTCTCTGGTGGCAAATTCTGTCTTATGAATAATATTGATAAGGCATAGAGCCTAGTGAAAGCTTCGGTGCTGAAGGAAATACGTAAATAAAGAACAAGAGACACGTGCATCCTCTGCCAGGGTCTTTGTGGGCTGGGAAAGGGGCACATGCATGAAACTGGAAAGCAGGAAACCTGTTGTGATGACTTACTGGTAGGGAATGTAGATGTAACCGTGTAAATTCATTGGTGTTCCGTTTAGACAAACAGCATGTTTGGGATGGAGATCCCCGTTATGCCAGCGTACAGTGTGATCTTGGATATTACGTGGGATCAATGATTTCTTCGGTCCATCCTACGTGGAGTAGAGCTGCACCAATCGCGTTTACCTCCCAAATGCCGGATACCTGGTCGTGACCGTCGTGGACTTTCGACCGTGCATATCAGCCTCAGAACTTGGATGGGATTTGCGGCGTGGGACGTCTGGTTCACACCGAAGCGGGATTTCAGGGAAGATTGCCCAATAGCCCTCTAGCCGCAAAACGGCGTCCTTAGCTGCGCAAGTTCAGTCGTCCAACTTCGTGGAGCCACTTACCCTTTCGCAGACTGAATTATGTAACCGCTTCTCCGCAACATCTACTTCGCGCCGAGGGAGCCCTGACAGGTACGCGGAACATATGAATGTTTTTGGCGCAGAGGTTCCTACCTGCCCGAGTATCCGCTTGTTCCCATGCACCTTTCTTGGAGAGGTGCGGAAACAGATTGGGGAGGAAGGGAGGGACCTGTGTTTTGCGGTGCCGCCAGCTTCTGCGTTCTGGTTTGTTGGGATTGCTCGAAGCGCCTATAATGAGCCCCTGGGAATTGCCTGGGGGAGTTCGATGAAAAAATGGAGGCGCCTCTCGGGAATGTCGAACGGGACCAAGCACTCTTCTTCGAATTGTTTTCATTTCTTTCCCGTCTCGGACTAAGCATTGTTTAGAAAACAAACCCCCCTCTAAAGATATTCCACCCTAACTGGACAGTACTAACTCTCCTAACGACTGAACTTGGCTGGCTGAAGGAACAGAAGCGCATGGGCAGGTTCACGCGTGGTTTCAATGGTTGAGGATGGATTGAGTTGATTGAACACATGGCGCAAGCAAGGGGTGGATGGAATTCGACAGCCGCATGCATGACGAGACTGACCTATGTCCAGTTCTTCATCAGCAGTCTCATTTCATAACGTGAAGCTGCTGTCTTGGCGTGCAAATTGAGCTCCTGATTGTTTCGCCATTCCGACGCGGCCTATTCCAGTACAGGTAGAGTTAGGCCGAGCTCAGAGCCTTCGCAGTCGTCGCCTCTTACTTCAAGCTACGCACCGAAAAGAAGAAGCATGGACGGCTCAAAGCTCGGAGGGGCTAAGAAGATGGGACTCGCATCGTATGGTCGCAGCGTGAGTGCAAAAGAAAGCACGGTTATCCTTGCGGCGTCTGCGACAACCCCGCCGCCCGCAACAACTCCCACGAAAACTCCTCCCATGCGTCGGAATCATACTTACGGCGAACTGAACGACACCCCTGAGACAATTTCTCCCATGCGTCGCAATCGTAAATCCGGCGGTCTGAACGACGCGCCTGCGACAGCTCCTCAAATGCGTCGGACTCGCACTTTCAGCGACGTCAACGACGCCTCTGCGACAAATCCTAACATGCGTCGCAATCATACCTACGGCGACCTGAACGATGCCTCTGCGACAAATCCCACCATTCGTCGCAACCTAACCTTCAGCAACCTGAACGACGCATACGGCAGTGTGGCTCCCACTGCCGCCGTTGACTTCCGAGCCTGGCTCGTGGACCAGGTCCGGTTCAGCCAGAGCCTACGGATCCCCGAGCCTCCGCAGAAGGTCTGGTTAATCGACAAGCTGGGACCGCTTAAGGCATTGGCCCGAGTGGGAATGAAAAAGGCCACGTGTACATTCGCGATGCACGTTCACGGCGTCGACGACCTTCCGACAACCATGGAGGGAAAAGAGCTCATCGTGCAATGGCAACGACGCGGAATGTCTATCGGCAGTAGCTCCATGACGGTCCGTCGAGGCGTGGCGAAACTGGAGCAAACGTTAACGATAAAGTCTTCCGTCTACTACACCGCTGGATCCCAGCAGTCCGTTAAGTTTCAGTCGAAGAAGTCGACGATTGCGGTTCAGCTGTTGAAATCCGTCGGATTTGGATATGACGCTGAGATTGCAAGCCATTCTGTTAATCTGGCGAGTTTCTTACCGTCGAAGCTTCGTCCGCTGACGGAAGGGGAACCGCAGACGCTAACGTTTAAACTTACCGGCCCGGCTGACGGAGGCGTTTTAGTGGCGACGTTTGGGTATGAGTTGAATCTCGGCAAGGGACAGCCGATTGTCGCACGGGTGGATACCAAATCATTTCGTCAATTCGCCGCTAGCGTCGCAGAAGCGTCGCCCGCTCCGAGCGTGGCGTTGTTCTCAAGCAGCCCCCCTGACAGCCCGTCGTCGTACGGCTCCAGCCCGTCGCACAGCTTAGCTGACGAATTTTCGCCACGGCCGCGCGAAATCTCGCTGGCGTTACCGGATTCGCCCATGGGTCACGCGCGGAGCGCGAGTTACGGTTACGGCTTTAAGCCCACCACTCCGAGCACCATGCGACCTGTGATAGAAGAGGAATGCGAAGGAATCGAATCGAAAGAAGAACCAAGCCCTGAAGATGCGGAGGTTAACGGATACTTGGGAGAAAGTGCCAATCAGTGGGATGCAGGAAAGGAAGGAGGCAATGGACAGGAGGCCGAGGAAGCGGCAGAGGAGGAGGAGGGACAGGAGGAAGAGGAGGAGGAAGAAGATGAGGAGGAGGATGATGAGGAGGAAGAGGAGGAAGAAGAGGAGGAGCAGGTGAAAGAGGTGGTTGCAATGGAGGGTGATAGTAGCGCGGGAGCGGCGCGACTGGGGTCTGTGGTTGCTATTGGGGAAAGGGGAGAAGGGACGTGGGGCGGCGACGTGGGGACAGAGGCGGGATACCTGTGGGTGGCAGAGGGCGGGAGGACGGAAGTGGGGGAAATCAACGTTGGGGATAGTGATGAGAGGAGCGAGGAAATTGCGAGGGAGAGGGTGGAAGGGACGGAGGAGGAAGGGGGTTCGGTGGTTGAGGGGAGTGGGTCTTGCAGTGGGAGGTCTGAGAGTGAGGGCGGGTCTGAGAGTGCGAAGGAGTCTGAGAGTGAGGGCGGGTCTGAGAGTGCGAAGGAGTCTGAGAGTGAGGGCGGGTCTGAGAGTGAGAAGAGGTCTGAGAGTGAGGGGAGGACGCACACCGCTGGCGGTCTTTCGCGTATGGCGGAAGCAATTTTGGAGTTCGAGCGGACCGTTAGCGAACAGGAGAAGCAGCTCTTAGCGGAGCAAGAGGCAAGAGCGAACAGTGAATCAGTATTGGACGGTCGGATTGAATCCGAGGAGGAAAGGATCAACGGTGCTGCTTTGCCAGAGGAAATCCACCCTGTGGATGCGGCTCCTGCGAAGGAGCAAGCGACTGGAGATGCGGTTACCGGGTTAGCAGCTGCTGTTCTGAACTCGCCTGCGTCCGTTCTTCTAGAGCCCCAAGACTCGGTCTCGGGCAGCGATAGCGCCCGCAGCTTCTTGCTTGATGATACTAGCTCGGATAGCATGGATGGGGGAGGGGAGAGGAGTGAAGGGAGGAGCGAGAGAGAGGAGGTTAGGGTGGGGAAGGAAGGGGAAGTGGAGGAAGAAGAGGAGGTGAGTAGTGAGCGGAGGGATGGGGAGAGGGAGGACGAAGGGGGAAGAGATGCTGCTGCTCGGGAGCGAAAGAGCGAGGGAGTGGTGGAGAGCGGTGTTGATGGGGAGGGTGTGGTCGCGGAGGAGGGAGCGGAAGAGGTAAGAGTTGTTGGGGAATGCGATTCATTGACAGAAGATGAGGGAGAGGATGAAGAGGAGGAGGAGGAAGCAGAGGAGGAGGACGAGGAAGAGGAAGAGGAGGAGGAGGATCACTTAGCTCACGCTAAGAGGGAAAGGGAGCAAGAGGAGAGGAAGGCGGAGGCGGAAAAGAGGAGGGTGGAGGTGGAGGAGAGGAGCAGGCGGAGGGCGCTTCAGTTGCAGGAGGAGGAAGAGGCAGAGCTGCGAAAGCACTTCTTAGGCAAGCGATCCCACTTTGCCGACACCGCTCGTGCCTTTTCTGCTGAAACTACGAATGGAGTTTCTGCGACTGCTGCCACTGCTACCAATGCCGCTGCTGCTGCGGCTGGTGCTGCTGGTGCTGATGCTGCTGGTGCTTCTGGTGCTGCTGCTGCTGCTCCTGCAGAAACCGCGTTGGCTCTTGTTGTGAGAGGACAGACTTCTGGTGTTAACTCCTTAGGCGCACTAGCTGTTGTGAGTCCGGTCAGTGGTGCAGGGACAGCTGAAGGGGGCTCAGAGGAAGACAACGAGCAGCTTCCACGAAAGCGCGCCTCCTTTAGCAGCAGCAGCTGCAGTCCAGCGGTCGCTGCCGCCGCAGTGGCTGCTGCGGTTGCGGTTGCTGCAGCTGCTAATGCACGCGAGGGGGAGCTGGCAGTAGCGGCGGCTGCAGCAAAGGGAGGGTTCAGAATAGGAGCAGTCCGAGGAGGAGGAGGAGGAGGAGGAGGAGGAGGAGGAGGAGGAGGAGGAGGAGGAGGAGGAGGAGGAGGAGGAGGAGGAGGAGGAGGAGGAGGAGGAGGAGGGGAAGGGGTCGTGGTTGGTTGTGGGCATCACCACCACACCAGCTTGATTCCAGTGGGCAGCAGGCGACGAAGCAGCAGCAGCAGCAACTGCATCAGCACCAGCAGCGGCGGCAGGAAGGGAGGTGACGAGAGTCTGACGCGCATTGAGAGTCCTGTGGCGCGCATTCCCCAGTGCGTTCTCAGGGACTTGTCTCTTCCTGACAGCCTTGTCTTCTCTGCCATGCCTGCCGCTGCTACTGCCAAGCCTGCAACTGCCAAACCTGCTAGCGATTGCGCCATAGGTACATTCCAGAAGAAATCAGCTGCGGGCCCAACCCTCACCCCCCCTGCTGCTGCGGCTGCTGCTGCTGCTTCTGCTGCTCTACCCCCCCTGGTACCATCTCCCGTTCCCTCTTTCGCCTCGTCGCTCCTCGCACCAGATTCCATCCCCCCTCCCATCCCACACCCCACCACCATCCCACCCCACCTCCTACCCCGACCCACCCCCTCTCCCTCCTCCATCCCCTCCCCCCTCGCCCACCTTAAAGCCACGGACCCTCTCCTTCTCGCCCTCCCGGATTCCGACGCCCCTCCGCCGCTCCTAGACGGGATGGGGTCAGCTATAGCGCTGCAGGGAGGGGGGTTCCTGGCTTCCATGTCCGGGCATCACTTTGGCGAGGGGGCCACGCGGCTGGTGATGCAATTCTCCCGCCCCATGGTCATCCCATCGGAGTTAGCATTGGGAGGAGGATCGGCTGGAGACGCCTCGTCTAAGCTGCTCCCGCTCCCTTCTGGAGGAAACGCGTCTGGTGTTGCTACTAGTGCCACTGCCGCTGCTGCTGCTGCTGCTGCTGATCCCTCCTCTGTACTCCCGCTCTTGCAGCGGCTAGCAGCGGCCTCTGCTGCGGATCCCTCCGCCCCGTCCCTCACTGACCAAGTCCTGGCGCTCATGCCCCTCCCAGACATCAGCGGCAAGCCTCTAGAGCAGATTGCAGCTGAAGGGCTGGCTTATCTTGAGGGAGGGTGGAACTGGGAGGGAGGAGTGGGAGGTTTGGGAGGTTCGGGAGGAGTTGGAGGGTTGGGGGGAGGGGTTAGAGGGAGTTTGGAGGGGCAGGAGGGGGGACAGGCAGGAGGATATCTGCAAGGGAGTCAGGGAGGCTACCTGGAGGGACACCTGGGAGGATACCTGGAGGGCGGTTCAGGTGGTTCTTCAGGTGCTATCATCAGCCATAACAGTTCCTCCGCAGTCTCAGTCTCCCACTCTTCCACTGCCATCTCCTCCTCTGCCTCCGCTGCTCTGGCTGTGAGGCGGGCACAGGCAGCAGCAGCATTGGCTCGCCTGCGGCGCCGAGGGCAGCACCTACTGGGCAGCAGCGGAGGAAGTGGAGGAGGAGGAGGAGCAGGAGGAGAAGGGGAAAAGGATCGGTCTCTAGGGGAGTCTGAGGAGGAGGAGGAGGTGGATAGGGAACTCAGGCAGGCACTTGCACTGATGGGCAGGAGCGCAGGGAACATGGTTCTAGCTGGTTCGGCTGGTACGGCTGGTAGAGGTGATGGCACAGGTAGGGCTCTAGCTATGGGCAAGGGTGCAGCAGGGAACATGGTTCCTGGTACGGCTGGGTTGGGAATTGGAACTCTGGCTGGTGCCTCAGAGGGAGAGGGAGAGGGAGAGGAGGAGGAAGAGGATGAGTATGTGGGTTTGGGTGAACTGGGGGCGTTGGCAGTGGAGCAGATCGAAGCTCTGCTGGTGGAGGGGTTGAGAGTGCAGAACGGTCAGAGCGAGCTGCACGCGCCAGGGGCTATTACCCTCGGGGAATCCGGGCAGTTGGGGTATTCTGCGGGTTACCCTTCAGGTTACGTGACTGATGGGTCGAGGGGTAGCCAGGGCGGTGCTGGTTACCAGTCTAGTGGTAACCAGATTGCTGGTAACCAGACTGGTGGTTACATTGGGGGAAGTGGGCCGAGAGGGCTGCTTGGGGCAGCGCTGACAGTGGAGGAGTGGCAGCAGGTAGATGCAGGGGTGTGGGATGCGGTGGAGTCCGATAGAGATGCTCTGGAGGTGCTGCGAGCACACTGCAAGGCTCATGGCATTGCAGGGCTGCTGGAGGGGAGTGAGGGAAATGAGGGAAAAGAGATGGTGCTGCGCGGTGCAGATGAGTTCGGAGGGCAGCTGGTGCCTGCAGGGGGTGTGGAGGCAGGGTGTATGACCGTAGGAGGCTGGGGGGATGAATCTAGGCAGATGGTGGGTGGCTTTGGAAGGGGAATGGGGCTGACAGTAGGCCAAGGGAACACTGTAACAGGGGGTGCCGTGGGTAACGGTGTAACTGGGGGTGTGGTGGGTAACCCTGTAACAGGGGGTGTGCTGGGCGACAGTGTGACGGTAGCCATGCTGGTGCAGCTAAGGGACCCTCTGCGCAACTTTGAGCCGGTGGGAGCACCGATGATGGCGCTGCTGCAAGCTGAGAGAGCACCAACGCCAGCACCTGCACCAGCACCAGGTGCTACTGCTGGTAGTATTGCTGGTCGTGTTGCTGCTGGTTTGAGTGGTTCAACCACTGCTGCTCTTGGCACCACGGCCCATGCCTTTACTGCCAATCACAAGAGCCAGGCCCTCTTGGGAAGTTACCGTGCTCAGGGTCTTTTGGAGCAAGCTCCCCCGCCTATTCCTGGGTCTGTCACCCGTACGGATGATACCACCAGGGCCCAGCTTTCCTTGGAATATTCTGCAGTTGATGCAGCCAGCCCTGCAGAAGCGGCGCTACAGCCGTGGCATGGTGCCAGCTCAGCACAGCCGGCGCTACAGCCGTGGATTGACGGCACAGCCACAGGCCGTCGCAGCCATATCACCTCCGCTGCTGCCTCTCATCCATCTGCTGCTCCACACCCAACATTCCCCTCCACCGCCCCGCCCCGATTCAAGCTCAAAGCAGTGCATGTGGCCGGCCTAAAGGCAGAAGAGGCACCAGGGAGGGGGTGGGGGTCGCAGAAGCAAGCACAGGCAGGGGGAAGGTGGCTGGCTGCGAACGGCATGGGGAAGAAGCAGCAGGGGAAGGGCGGTGGGAGTGGGGTGTTCGGGAAGCATGCGAAGCCAGCTAAGGTGACGGTTCAGCCTGGGGATACGCTGTGGAGTCTTTCCCAGAAGGTTCATGGGAATGGGATGAAGTGGACGGAGGTGGTGAGATTGAACCCGCAGATTCGGAACCCGGACCTGATCCTGCCGAGCCAGAAGATTCGGATGAGGAGATGATTCGGAACCCGGACCTGATCCTGCCGAGCCAGAAGATTCAGATGAGGAGATGATTCGGAACCCGGACCTGATCCTGCCGAGCCGGAAGATAAGGATGAGGAGGTGATCCCGAACCCGTACCTACCTAGTCCTGCCTGTTAGAAGTGATGGATTGTATGGGCAGTGTAGGTTCTTGTTTTATGTAGCGCGTGTGTGTACTTGCGTGCCTGTTTGTTGATTTCGCTTCACCGTATTTCCTCTTTGGGCAGCGTAAGTTGCTTGCTGTTTTATGTAGTGTGCGTGCATGCATGCATGTGTGTATAGGGTTTGCCTTTTTGTTAATTTGCTCTACTTTCACAATTGCCGACTCATACTGGTAGACTACCTGGTGCCTCTAACTATAGATTAGAGGCATGTTCTATGCGAAGCGAAATGAAACAGATTGGAGAATGGTTGGAAGAGCAGAATGAGAATAACATTGACAAGAGCAGACAGACAGCAAAACACTTCACACTTTCTGCACTCAGTAGCCCAAGCATTCCAATAACAGGAATGACACTACAGTACATTTTCATTTCAAGTCACCATGCTCGACGCCAGAGATCCACCGTTTCAACTTCCCCACAACAGTACCCCCGGACCCCCCTCCAGCACCACCACCCCCCACCCCTTTCCCACTCATAGACCCCGCATTGCTGCTCGTCCTCCTCAGCCCGGACCCTCCTATACCGCTCCCCAAACCACTCAACCCTTTTCCACCACTACTGCTGCTGCCACCACCACTGCCTCCTCCCAAAGGGGAAGCAGTACTGCTGGATCGAGAAAAGCCCCCTCCCCCACTCGTAGACTTGCTCGCAGGCAAACCAAATCCACCTCCCCCAAACCCGCCTCCACCAGTAGAGCCTGCTTCCTTTGCCGCACTGCTGCTTGTCCGAACCAGCCCCAATCCAACCCCACCGCCAACACTGCTGCCACCGCTGCCGGCATTGCTGCTGGTTCGCATCAGCCCGCCAAGGCCCATGCCCTTCCTCCCTCCCCCACCCCCCCCCCTCCCCCCGACGCCGCATCACTACTGCCACCGCTGCTGCTGCTGATGCTGCCGGCGTTGCTGCTTGTTCGCATCAGCCCACCCAACCCCATGCCCTTCATCCCTCCCCCTCCCCCGCCACCTCCTCCGCCCGATGCCGCATTACTGCTTGTTCGCATGAGCCCTGCAAATCCCCCAGCCTTCTTCCTACTCCCATCACCACCACCACCCCCTATCCCACTCGCACCCCCACCCCCCGCACCACCAGCACCACCCTCACTGCCCGCTCCCTTCCCGCCTCCCCCCTTCTCCGCCTTCCCAGTGCCACCTCCCCCAGAAGCAGCCTTCTCTCCGACAGTGGTAGACACGCTGTGCATGCCCAGGCGCGTCTGAGCCTCTAGCACCTCCTGTGCCGCCACCATGAGACGCGTGCGAGCACTGCTCATCTCCAACATGCCCTCTAATGAGCCCGGCTTGGCGTTGCCAGCACCAGACGCGCCTGAGGGGGAAGGAGGGAGGGCAGCGGCATGAAGCGAGGGGAATAAGTCTCCTCTGAGCCTCCAGCACCTCCTGTGCCGCCACCATGAGGAGCGTGCGAGCACTGCTCATATCCAACATGCCTTCTAACGATCCGGGCTTAGCACTCGCTGCACCAGATGCTCCTGGGACAGAGGGAGGGAGGGGAGGAAGGAGGGAAGTGGAGAGAGATAGAGGGGACAAGCCTCGTTTGAGCCTCCAGCACCTCCTGTGCCGCCACCATGAGACGCGTGCGAGCACTGCTCATCTCCAACATGCCCTCTAATGAGCCCGGCTTGGCGTTGCCAGCACCAGACGCGCCTGAGGGGGAAGGAGGGAGGGCAGCGGCATGAAGCGAGGGGAATAAGTCTCCTCTGAGCCTCCAGCACCTCCTGTGCCGCCACCATGAGGAGCGTGCGAGCACTGCTCATATCCAACATGCCCCCCAGTGACCCAGGCTTGGCACTAGCAGCACCAGGAGTGCCTCGGAGGAAGGGAGGGAAGGAAGGAGGGACGGATGGACGGACGAACGGACGGACGGACGGACGGAGGGAGGAAGGGAAGGAGGATGGGAAGCGGCAAGGGGCGAGAAAAATAAACGTCTTCTGAACCTCCGACCGACCCAGTTCTCAGAAATGCACACACTCCCCTCTCTCCGCATTCCCCCACTCTCCTCTCTCCTCACCCCCCCATCCTCTCTCCTCATCCCCCCACTCCACTCTCTTTTCCCTCTCCATCTCCCTCTCCCTTTCTCTCGCGCTCACCCGCGTCTCTCTTAGAGCGAGGGCATGACGACCGATGAATCTCCTGCCCAGTAGCGCCATACAGAGCAATCAGCTTGCACGCAGAACAATCCGTCTCCCCTCCAAACCCGCGCCTGGCCCCCACTCCCCCGCCCCCTCCGCCTCCCCCCCCCCCTCCCCCGCCGCCTCCCCCCGCCGAACCCCCCCGCATCTGCGCCATGACGTCACTGGTAGTGCGCATGCCCGCGTGCAACCCGCTTCCCGTCCGCCGCAGCCCCACACTCCCCTCCCTCCGCACTCCCCCCACCACCCCGCTTCCCTGCCTCCTCAACCCTCCTCCGCCCACCCCCTTTCCCTCTCCGAACCCTCTCAATCCACTCCCCTCTCCCGACCTTCCCGCTCTTCCCCCGCTTCCGAATGCGGCCACTCCCAACCCTGCCTCTGCTGGTCTTCCTCCGTTCGTTTCAAGGTCTGTTGGCCTCGAACCTGCCCCTGCTCCTCCTACTTCTGCCACAGTTCCTTCTCTTGCTGCTCCTGCTTCTCCTGCTGCTCCCGCTGCTGCTGCTCCTGCTCCTGCCGCCCCTACTGCTCCTCCTGCTTCCGCCGTCGCTCCTGAGAGACCCACGGCTGCAGCATTGCAGCTGCTGCTGCCGGCGCGGGTGTTATCATCGCCGCGGATTAAATCCACACAGCAAGTACTCCCTCCTGTCGCTTCCGCTGCTCTTGCTCCTCCTGCTGGCCGTTCCCTTGCTCCTTCCGCCGCCCCTTCCGCTCCTTCCGAGCCTGCTGCTATGCTAGCTTCGGCACCCGCTACTGCTCCTGCTCCGGCAGCATTTCCCGCGTCCTCGCCGGTCGAATCCGAGAGTCCCTCGTTGTTGTCACCTTCAGCCCTGACGGAACCCCTATTTGTCATGAACCCTTCGGGATCCGCGGAAAGGGGGCCAGCGGAAGGAGGTCCAGCGGAAAGGGTTGCGCAAGGAGGTCCCGCGGAAAGTGTCGCGGAAGGGGGAACTGCGGAATTGGCGGATTTGCTGGAAATGCTGCGCGGAGGAAGGCCGGGGGAGCGCAATGGGGAAGGCGCAAGGGGAGACCTATCCCCCGAATCATGGAGAAGCGGGGAGGTTGGAAACGGGGACCTCTCCCCGTGATTATAAAGAGGGGATCTTGATCCCTTTGAGGAAAGTGAACTTCTGACGTTCGGCGAAATAGGGGGCAAACCTGCCGATTTCTCAGAAGTTATGTCAGCATCCGCGTTATTAACAGTCTCAGGTCCTGGTAAATGATCAGACACGGCGGATATAAATCCAAAAGTTTCGGTAGCGCGACTCGAGTGTTCCTCAAAGACCTCTTCGATTTCCGTGAGTCTCGGCGACATTGCGTGTTTCCAGGATCGAGGTGGCGTGCGGTGACAGGCTGTGCTGACGTCACTGGTGGAAGCATCGAAAATGTCGTCAGATGTAACGGTGTTTCCGTTACAAGACGAAAATTCCTCGTAAGACGGAACGCAGTCGGACGAGTTATCTGTTAGTCGAGCCGCGATAATGTCGTCTTCCATGATAATCCACAGACACTGACGGAAACACGGAGGTGACAGAAATCACTGAAACGGAAATGCACTGGCGAGTCCGAGGAACGAAACAAGGAGCTACCACCAGGATATGCTGCTAATGCGGCATTATAGACGGGTCGTCCTAGCTAGGACCACTCTCAATCACTTCACTTCATTTCAAGGAAAGCAGCTTCGTTCAGCAGGGTGCGATTCTCGCTACAGTAAAGGAGGGAGATCATTCCTGACGAGGACCTTGCAAGTGGTTAACAACGCACGAAAACCCTGAAACAAAAAAACTATCGATGCAGTTTGTACCTGATTCGTTTGATGTTTGCGGAGAAGATTATACAGAATAACTAAGATCAAGAGCGTGCCTGCTTCGTTTGCCTTCACTTCGTGTGCCTGATTTGCTAACTTCAAATTGTAGACGAATACCTTTTGCAGATTTCAAAAGGGTGTTTCACTTCAACGAAACCCACAGTTTTAGTTGACGTACAGTTTCAATTAAATTGGGCTTGTAAACGCGGTTTGCAACAAGTTGCACGACATTACGATTTGTTTCCCCTGCATGTCCAGCATTTACACGTCTTGACGTGTCACCATTATCTAGTCTGGATACATCTTCACGATTGAAACGTCCATCTCATTTGTTGTACTGTATGGGCAGTACCGCCCATCTCAACAGCGGTTTTGGGCAGTAGGCAAAACATATGGACGAGTGGAACAAAGCACCCCCTTCTACCGCCCTAAACCAAGAAGCATCGCGAGTAAGTTCCCAATGTTTCACTAAGGCTCCAAAGCGAGTACAGCGCGAACTAGTCAAACACATCTGATGTATACCGTATGTACAAACTAATATAGTGAAACAAGCACCCAGCCAATCTACAAAGCACTGGAAAATCAAAGAGCCAGCAATCTATGCTAGCAGCAAAAGATCTGCACCCTGCAAAATCTCAAATCTAGTGCATGGCATGCTCTCAATCCTCGGATGAGAGCAAGCCCACAATGCCATCAGCTGCTGTGCGAGCACGCTTGGTGGGTGGCTGCATGTGCACCGACATGCGCTCAGTCATTGAATCAAGCACCTGGAAAAAAAACAGGGGATGGAAGGGAGCACAATATTTAGTGACAAAACAAAAATACCAACTGAGCCGTACAACCAGGTGTACAGACAAAAAAACGAACAATAAGTGCATATGAATTGTAAGTCCTGACCTGTCCCACGGTGAGTTCTCCAACGTCCACACCCATGAGCATGTGATGATCAAACTGGTACTCCCCTGCATCAGAAAAGGGTCCAAATTACTCGTAAGTCAATCAGACCTGTGACTTCTTCCATGTCTCCCAGTACATGGAGGGGCAAAAAACAGATAACAATGGCGAACACTGGCAAAAGTGCAAGCGAAAGGGCTCAACTGACCTGTTCCCTTGCCCACGCGCCTGATCTGAGTCACATAGCGCGCACAGCGCTGCAGCGCCAGCACCTGCCACAGGAGCAGCATGGAACCTCACACAACATGAATGTGCTTGCCACTCACTGCCCATAACTGAAAGAAACGGTCGTGACTAGCGTGAGAATGCCTGAAACGGGTGAATCAGTTTCACCGGAGTAAAAAGGTGATCTAATAAGGTAAAAAGGCCGAGCAGGAGTGCTAAGAGAGTCTACCGCTGGCTTGAGCAGGCGATTCTCAATGAAGTTCTGCGCTCCAGCATCCCCCGAAATCTCTGCTGCCTGCATGCACGGGATGAGTTGAGAGGAACGGGAGGGCCATCATTGCCAAGCAAGGGTAAATACACACAAACACCAACTTAGAGACACCAACACAAAATCACAGCATAGGCAGATCGATAGGGTGTGCTGCCCTGACATGGAATTAGGCTGCATTCACAACCCTTTATCTCCTCCCGAATGCACACCTTGTGAAGGTTTAGGTCCTTCTCATACGCCACCTTGCCCAGAGACAGGTCAAACCCCTTTTCAGGTGGCTCAGTATTCTCCACACACAGGAACCCTCTGAACACCCACCTTGTGGAGATTGAGGTCCTTCTCATACGCCACCTTGCCCAGAGCCAGGTCATACTCGGCAACTGCCACAGAAACAGAGAATCCATTAGCTTCCGCCACCATAATATTCAGACGCCCTTGGGTTTCCACGTGGCAAGGAGGCACATACCCGTTAAAGCATCACCCCTTTCAGGGTCATGGAAGGACTGCGGCGGGGCCTTAATGTCTCGCAGCATGAGGCCACCTCCACGGCCACTCTGACATCACCAGCAGGCAAGACAGCAATGGGTAACACTCTCAGCTCAGCCAGATGAAAACAGACAACGAGGTGACTTTTGAGTCGACTCAAAAGTCACTCTGACATCACCAGCAGGCAAGACAGCAATGGGTAACACTCTCAGCTCAGCCAGATGAAAACAGACAACGAGGTGCCTTTTGAGTCGACTCAAAAGTCACTCTGACATCACCAGCAGGCAAGACAGCAATGGGTAACACTCTCAGCTCAGCCAGATGAACACAGACATAACACTTAACTGAGTGTAGAACGAACTGTGAGCGCGGAGAGAGGATGAGGAGAGGGAGAGTGGGAGAGAAGGGGCGAGGGGAGGGGGAGGGGGGTATAAGACGTGCGTACCACAAAGGATGAAATGTCCTTGAACGTCATTTGCTCCTCCAGAGAGCGCTTCCAGAAGAACTTGCCGAACCCTCGAAGGGCCACCGAGTCCTTGCCACAGTACAGGGCGAGGGCTTGATAGGCGTACGATGTTGACAGGTGTACACTGTAGCATGGGACAGATTCACATCAGGAAATTGGTTACACACGCAAAAGAAAGAAAGAATATACTAGCCACTCATTGTTGAGTAATATACAATATTTTGTAAAAGCTACACCCACTTGGACGCGCAGTTGAAGGCCTTGAGGAGCGACTCGTCCAGATGCTGGCGAATCAGCGTCGGCTCCAACTTCCCCGGAACCAGCACCTCCAGCCCCCCCAGGGCTTTAATCTCCGCCTGCCGTGGGGAAAAAACGCAGAGCAAATCGAGGATCGGATATTGTCCAGGTCCTTACTTTGCCAAGACCAATGCCACGGATTCTGTAGTGCAAACTTGAATAGCCGAAGCGAAGCTTCCATGATGTAGGTACCTCGATGTTAACGGAGGTTTCATCGGGGATTACTTTCAACGGATTGAGTTTCGAAAGACTTGCTATAACGAGGATACCTCGATGTTGAAGGAGGTTTCATCGGGAATGACGGTGCCGGTGAGGCTCTTGCTCAGCGGCTCGGTCTCGAGCTTCGTCTTCAGCTGCTGCGCGTCAGTCTCGGCCGCCTTCGCGTGCGTCTTCGGAGCCATGCTTGCGCGCGTACTATCTTCGCCCTAATAAAGGACTTTATCGAGAGAATATTTGGAAGTAAGAAGCCCTAGGACGACCTCCCAAACAAGCAAGACCAGACACCTTAATGTACTATAGATGCCGTAGTATTAAGTGGAATCCACAACGGGAACCCGTGCCGAGCACCCCACCACCCTCGCGTTTCCGCGTACACCGTCCTCGACCTACACACCTCGATGCCTCGAACCGCATGACGAATTTGCGGTTCGCCGAGGTTATCGCCGCAGCACGCATGTTGCTGCGGAGTCTGGGATATGCGTCTCGAAAAGCGAAGCGACACGTGCACGCTGCCGCTCTCTCACGTCGCACCACCTGTTATTGCAATCTCCCTCCTAAAGATACGTGTCGGCTCTGATGGTACTTCGCAAAATAGGTAGGCGATGGAAAACACACGCACAGTTGAAAAATACATCCTACAGCACCGCCCGATATTCGCGAACAAGTGGGTACAAAACTGCTAACTTCCTAGCCTTCCTATTTAGGAGAACATATCAGTAAAATGTGAACTCAAGCCCTCAAACGAAAAACACCAGCAGCAAGCAACAAGTGTATATACTCCATTGCATTTTCAGCCTATTATACTCTAAGCAAAAACAATGTGCGTACATTTTCTTCAGTACCGTATTACGGTACAATCACTGCACAAGCTTTCCTAGGCCAGTGATTTCAATCGTCTTCACATCAGGCTCGCCATCCACCTTCACAATCCCCTCTGCAGCATCCACTCCCATCAACTTCCCCACAGCGCCTCTTAACGGGCCCCGCAGAATCTTCACGCGGTCGTGCGAACGCGGTAACACAATATCCATTTCCGAGGGTCCCACTATAAAGAGCTCTGACTCTGACGCATTGCTTGCTCCAACACGGCATGAACCGTCCTGTGGGACAAAGACAAGAAGAGAGATGGTGAACCGCAGACAGATTGCAGACAGTGGGATGGTCGTTCAAGACACAACGTGGAAGGAAGCAAAAAACGGAAACTCATCAACCTCTGCCAACGCTAACAGGATAAGGAAAAGCAGGTATACTAAATTAAACCCAATAATAGCGCAAGGAGCTACTCACCGGCAGAACTTCTCGAATCACCACCGTGGTCATTCCAGGCCCTCCCAGTCATCGCACCATCACAGCACTCCAGGCAGCAACACTCGCTTGTGGCAACGTCCACTTGCAGTGCCTCTCAAGATGAGTGTTGCTACAAGCAAACAGCAGACTCACCGGCAGCACTTCTCGAATCACCACTGTGGTCATTCCAGGCCCTCCCGGTCGTCGCACCATCACCAGCACTCCAGGCAGCCCCAGCGACCCCCCCTCCCCTCCGTTGCTGAACCCTCCTCCCATGCCTGTGAGCGACAGGTTCGGTGAATAAAAAAATACCGGTAGCTTCGGGAAACATGAAAAAAAAAAGTGTTTAGGATGGCAAGGAAGGGAACACCCACCAGAAGGGAACACGTTAATGTGTAGGAAATTCACAGCTGTGGAATGTCAGGGCTTGGGACAGGAACGGGAGGAGAAACGGAGCGAATGGGAGGAGACAAGAATGGGTGGGAAGGGTAGAAACTGACCAATGGCGGGCGAGTTGGGGTCAGCAGGGGTCATGGGCAGCGAAGAGTCAGCAGGCGTGGCGGGAATGTAGGCAGCCGAGGGCGTGAGAGGCTGGCCTGTGGGCGTCTGCGCCGCGTACGGGCTCGGTGCCTCGCCTGGTGGTAACCGGGTAACACACAGACAGGGAGACACAGCGAACGTGAGAAAAAAGTAAAGAGGGGAACGGTGCAGAGACAAGGCTATTGGAACAGGGAGGTAGCGGAGGTGGATGTGCCATGAGAAAGCTATCGGGGGAGAGGAAAGAAGCAGGACGAAAGCTATCGAGGGGGATGGACCATCGCAAGGCACGGGGGCGGGGGGAGGGGAGGGAGGGTGGAGGGGAGAGGGGTGGTGGGGGAGGTGGGGGAGGAGGGGTGTGGGGGGGGGGTACCGTAGGGCGTGGAGGGGTTGTAGTTGGGCCCGGCTTGGCTGCCAGGCGTGGGAATATCAAAGGCCGAACGCAGATCCCCTGGCGTACCCGGCTGGGAATTATCAGGTTGGGAAGGGCAGGAGGGAGGATGGGGGAAGGCACAATGGAGAGGACAGGTAGGAGAGAAAGATAGGAGGGCAGGCACAGGGCAGCGCACATGGGAGGGGAGGCACAAGAGCACATGGTGCAGTGGAAGAGAGGCCAGGTGGGCGACACTAGGTGTGGACGACCCATGATGGGTGCAATTAGTCATGCAAGCAAGCACCTGCGATGCTATTTCTTGCTGAATGCATTTCTTTAGAATTCTAAAAAAAACGCATTCAGTATGTGAAGCCATGGCGCTTACATTATGCACAGTGTTTGAGTCGACTCAAAAACAGACTCATCACATGCGGCTTACATCATGAACAGGGAGCGGCGGCGAGGCGGCAATGTCGGCGGGCGAGAAGGCAGGAGTGTAGGGCAGGAAGGGAGCATCACTGCCCGATGAGCCCCATGTGGACGGATTCGCCTCGTCGAACGAATCGGGCCTGATAACGAGCAGAGCACACATGGGGAAGGGAGAGGGTAGGTAGTTTTCGCAGCGCGCAACACAGTGCCCAACTGTGAAGCATGTCTAAGGTCGCTCCCCGATGAACCCCATGTGGACGGATTCGCCTCGTCGAACGAGTCGGGCCTGATAACGAGGAGAGCACACGGAGAGGGACGGCAAGACATTGAAAGGGATGGCGAGACATTGAAAGGGATGGCGAGACATTGAAAGGGATGGCGAGACATTGAAAGGCACAACAGAAAAAAAAAACCTTCCGACACCGCAGAACTGAGCACGAGGTGTATAAAAGTGACTAAAGAGCATGGAAAATATGAATGTAAAAAGCACCTGAGAGGAGTGGTGGGCACATGGGGGTTCCAGGCTCTGTCTCGCATGGGCGTGCGCATGCCCTCATGCACTGGTGTGGCTGCAAGGCGCACATAGGGAGGAGAGGCGAGGAGGAAGGGGGGAAGGGGTGTGGTGTAACTGATTAGCTAGGGGCATCAGAGGCACATGGGGGTTCCAGGCTCTGTCTCGCATGGGCGTGCGCATGCCCTCATGCACTGGCGTGGCTGCAAGGCGCACATAGGGAGGAGAGGCGAGGAGGAAGGGGGGAAGGGGTGTGGTGTAACTGATTAGCTAGGGGCATCAGAGGCACATGGGGGTTCCAGGCTCTGTCTCGCATGGGCGTGCGCATGCCCTCATGCACTGGCGTGGCTGCATGGTGCACACAGGGAGGAGAGGCGAGGAGGAAGGGGTGCGGTGTAACTGATTAGCTAGGGGCATCAGAGGCACATGGGGGTTCCATGCCCTGTCTCGCATGGGCGTGCGCATGCCCTCATGCACTGGTGTGGCTGTATGATGCACTCAGGGAGGAGAGGGGAAGACAAGGCATGACAGGAAGGCAATGTAGGGCAATTTCCACTCCAGTCATGCCTTCCTACAGACTCCATTCCTTTGGAAAAATGGACTTGAGGCTTGACTTGAGTCTTGACCCCTTTGGGACAATGGTGGAAGATAAACAGGAGTCAATATAAGAGCGGTAAAAAAAACGAGAACAATATAATAGTACAAAAGACATGCAAATTCTAAAGAACCTGGAAAACACCGAACGGGTCGAAGGCATGGCGTACCAGAGGGGTCGAAGCCCCGGCCGCCAAAGCCTGGGTGCATGGGCGTGCGCGACGGATGAACAGGCGTCTCGCTGCCCAGCGAACCCCTGAAACGCGGCGACTCCCTGGAGGAGGCGAAAGCGAAGGTGAGGAAGAGAGAAAACGAGAGAGCAGTAGGTCAGACGACAAGAAGTAAGGCTTTTGGGGTGAAGAAGGTCAGAGAGAGATGGATGGACGGGTATATGGGTATGTTACTGCCAGGTGACTTGGGGAAGGAGGGGTGACTTGGGGGAGGAGGGTGGTGCCGATGATCCGCGTACATGCACGATGCATCCCTCCCCTCCCCCTACCAACTACCCCCCGTTCCTCCCCTCCCCCCCAACCAAGACACATGCCTGTACGGTGCAGGTGATTGCTGCTGCTGTCCTGCTGCTGGTGCTCCATCAGGTAGTTGATCCCTCCGCACTGCACCACCACACACCACCACGCACCACCATCCACCACCACCATCCACCACCGCGCACCACCATACACACACAGAACACAGAACCACGGAGCGACAAACCAGCATGCATGCATCCACACATCCCAGAGGCACAAACGGACAACCGAGGTTGATCGAGCAGGCCCGACACAGGACTCCAGCCACTAAGCAGCACTCTGGTGACCAACAAGTACGTCCATTTCTTTAGACCCGTCAAAAAGCCGTAGCCTGGTGTCCGGGAAAATCATGTCTGGCAAGGCAACACACATGGGTCATTTCACATAATTATCTGGAAATACCCCTAATTGCACTGAGGAAAAATATAACATACTTGTAGTAACCAATCCTGCAACAAGGTGTAGTGTACCTGTAACGACTTTCATCTGCAACTCGAGCTCGATTCTTGCCGTGGTGTGGCATCAAGCACCTCGATAAAGCTCTGTCTGTACCCCTTATAAGCATCCCCCATTATAGCGTACCTGTGACGACTTTCATCTGGGACTCGAGCTCGATCCGCGCCGTGGTGTCAGTGGCATCTAGCACCCGGCCTCTGTACCCCTTATAAGGCCCCGCTCGTATCTTCACAATGCGCCCCACCATGCCACTCTCCCGCCTGTTCCCCATCCGCCCTCCCCCATACGCGCCTGAGGGGGACGGGGAGGGGGGAGGGGAGGGGAGAGGGAAGTAAGGAAGAGAAAGGGAGAAAGTGAAGAGCAGGTATGGGAGACAGAGACAGGAAAAAAAGGGGGAAGAGTTGCGTACGGAGAAAACGTGGGCAGGAGACGGGTGGCAGGGAGAATGCAAGACAAGGGGGAACATAAGGCAGGGGTGAAGTAAAAAAAAACAAAACTAAAAAAGGATCCTGAATTCGTTAAGCTTAACTGCTGCTTAGAGTCACCTCCAATTTATCCCAACAAAACCCAATCCAAACCAAAAACAACAACGCAACCCAACCCAACCCAACCCAACCCAACCCAACCAAGCCCAGCCCAGCCCAGCCCAGCCCAGCCCAACCCAGCCCAACCAGGTGAACAACTCACCAGGAGGGGGGCTGCCTCCTCCTCTGCCGCCGCCTTGTCTGCTGGGACTACCAGGGAAGTTCCTCGGTGACTGCAGGAAGCGCGACGGTGACTGCATCACTCCACCGAACCGCCGGTCGAACGGTGCCATGGCTCCTCCTCCGCCGCCGCCACCTGCCGAGTTGCGCTGTGGGAAGGGGGGATGAGCCAATGGGGAGCAGAAGGGTGTAGAAAATGTAAGTCGACTCAAAAGCGACTCCACCAAACCGCCGTTCGAACAGTGCCATGGCTCCTCCTCCTCCGCCACCACTACCCGAATTGCGCTCTGGGGAAGAGGGGATGGGTTTGAGAAAAGATGGGGAAAGCGGAATGAGCCACGCATATAACAGAAGGAAGCGCGAGGGCAACTGCACCACTCCACCAAACCGCCGTTCGAACAGTGCCATGGCTCCTCCTCCTCCTGCACCATCACCAGCCGAATTGCGCTACGGGAAGGGGGGATGCGTGTGAGAAAAGATGGAAAAAGGGGGATGGGCGACTGCATATAACAGCAGGAAGCACGCCGGCGACTGCATCACTTCACCAAACCGCCGGTCAAACAGTGCCGGCGACTGCCATGGTGCCTCCTCCCTCCTCCACCACTTGCTGCTGAATTGCGCTGCGAGAACGGGAATGAGCCGCCAATGCAGCGAAGGATGGGAAAGATTGAGTCAACCTACAAGTAAGCCGCCTAACGGAACACTTTCACCCAGCTCCTTCCCCACTCACCCCGGTGGCGGCGGCTTTAGCAGTGAGGCATCGCACGGACCGCGCCCGGACACAGAAGAACCCGCCGTTCTCCACGTGGTGGCGGTCGAACACAAACAGCACCCCGCGGTGAATGTGCTCCACCGTGCCGCGCCGGTCCCTGTAGGTCCCCTCCACCACGCGCACGGGGTCCTTGGCCACCACTGGCAGGCCCTCCCAAGTCAATCAACCCTAGCAACCAGCCCTGCCCCACCATCCCCACTCACCCCAGGTGCAGCAGCAGCCTTAGCAGTGAGGCATCTGACAGACCGAGCGCGAACGCAGAAGAACCCGCCGTTCTCCACGTGGTGGCGGTCGAACACAAACAGCACCCTGCGGTGAATGTGCTCCACCGTGCCTCGCCGGTCCCTGTAAGTGCCCTCCACCACGCGCACTGGGTCCTTTGCCACCACCGGCAGCCCCTCTGCATCGTGTGCCGACACGTGCCGGTTATTCATCTTGCGCCGGATCTCTCGGAGTTTCACCGCCACGGTTTCGCTGCGCTCGGGAGTGGCCTTCAGCACCACACAGCCGGTTTTCTCCACCTTCACTATCACACCTGCCGTGGTTTGGCTGGGGAGGGATGGATGGGGAGGTGGAGTGGAGGGATGGTTCAGGAAGAAAATTTGATTACAATAGAGTGATCCCTTCCTCCGCTGTGCTCCATTGTGCCACCTGGTCCCCCGTACAGCAGTCCATGTAAGTGCCCTCCACCACGCGCACTGGGTCCTTTGCCACCACTGGGAGGCCCTCTGCATCGTGTGCCGACACGTGCCGGTTATTCATCTTGCGCCGGATCTCTCGGAGTTTCACCGCCACTGTCTCACTGCGCTCAGGTGTGGCCTTGAGGACCACGCAGCCGGTTTTCTCGACCTTCACTATCACGCCTGCCGTGGTTTGGCTGCGAGGGGGTGGATGGACGGATGGGACAGACAGAGGGTTGAAGGGGCAGCACTGAGAGGGGCAGCACTGAGAGGGGCAGCATGGACAGGCGCCTACACGGGACCTGCTGCCATGATTTCACCGGCACACACCCTCCCTTCCCCCACTCCTTCCCCCCCCCTCCCCAACTCACTCGAGCAGCACCAGGTCGTGCAGCTCGTAGTCTCCAATCTGAGAGGGACTGGCTGACCCCCTACTCGCCACCCTTTCCCTGCTCCCCCACCCCTTCCCCCAGCCCCCCCCCCCCCCCTCGTTTACTCACTCGAGCAGCACCAGGTCGTGCAGCTCGTAGTCTCCAATCTGACAGGGACTGGCTGACCCCCTACTCGCCACCCTTTCCCTGCTCCCCCACCCCTTCCCCCAGCCCCCCCCCCCCCCTCCTTTACTCACTCGAGCAGCACCAGGTCGTGCAGCTCGTAGTCTCCAATCTGAGAGGGACCCGCAGTCACCTCTGAACTAGACATAAGGTCACGAGTGAATACCCGCACCTGCGATAGAAACAGGCGAAGCAGTGAGGAAGAAACGGAGAGAGAAGGCAAGGGAAAAAGGGAGGGGATAGAGGCATGGAAGGAATGAGAGGTGCAACAGGCAGAACAACCCTAATTCACCTCTGCAGGCGGCACCTTGCTCTGGCTCGCCAATAGCTGCGCTGCACAGCTTTTGCAGATCAAGTACACACACACACACGCACACACGCACGTGCACGCACACACGCACGCACGTGCACGCACACGCGCACGCACGCACGTGCACGCACACGCACGTGCACGCACACGCACCCGCGCGCGCACGCACGCACACGCACGCACGCACGCACGCGCACACGCTCGCACACGCACACGCACATGCATAGTGCCGTACAACTGCATACCATCAGTCACCACATCCACCACACTCACTCGTTCTTTGTACGAGTGGTTTATGAAATTTTCTCAAAAACCAAAACCCATGCTCTCGAGACGTGTCTGACAGCACGATGGCGATGTGTCCCTCCACCTTCACAATCATGCCCGTCACCCCATCGTTCTGCATCACCTTGCCACCTTGTAATCACCGCGCAACACTCAACAACCACCCTACAACTACACTAACCACCCTACAACCACACTAACCACCATACTCACATGCTCTCGAGACGTGTCTGACAGCACGATGGCAATGTGCCCCTCCACCTTCACGATCATGCCCGTCACCCCGTCGTTCTGCCCCGCCACCACCTTCACATGGTCGCCTGTCTGGAAGAACTTGCGCAGCTGCGACTCCTTCACTGGCAGCAGGTCCTGTGAGAGTGAGGGAGTGGAGGGGGGAGAGTGGATTGGGCAGTGGATGAGAGAAAATGTTTAGAAGGAGAATGGCTTGTGAGCGACACTTGTTCTGAACCGCCACCACCTTCACGTGGTCCCCTGTCTGGAAGAACTTGCGCAGCTGCGACTCCTTCACTGGCAGCAGGTCCTGTGAGATGCGAGAGTGAATGCAAGAGGGAGAATGGATTTGTGGGCCACAGTTGCGCGCGCAGCTGTCAGTCACCCCGTCATTCTGCCCCGCCCCGCCACCACCTTCACGTGATCACTTGTCTGGACGAAATTGCATGATACCATACCGCTCACCGTTGTTCTGCCCCCTTCTGCATCACACAGGGAGCTTGTGATCGCCCTTTCAATCCCTTCCCTCAGGCACCTCCTATGGCTAAGTGAACCGCATTGAAGCTTACAGAACCGCATAGTACCGCACTGCACCGCACCTTGAGCTCGTCATGGTGCGGCCGAATGATAACCTCATCGTCATCCACCTTCTCCACGCGCCCTTTCAACCCCTTCAAATCGCCCTCAACCACTTCAACCACGTCCCCCTTCACCAGCCGCCCCCTCTGCCGATTCGCCTGCTCTGCAGACAGCCCCATCGGCCCCACCCCACTCCCCAACCCCCCTCCTCCTGCACCATACTCCCCCCGCTCCCCGTCCCCTGCTGCGCGCTGGAAGCGCTGAAGCTCGTCTAGAGTTGGGACGACCCCGCGGGTGTCGAGGGATTTAATGGAGACCACTTTGAGGAGATAGCCGTCGACGAACTGCATGCCTTCTATGGATTGGATGTGCTCTCCCGTGGTGCGATGGCGCGTCACCATGGGTCGGAGGCCGTAATTTCTGCGGGATAAGTACAAGAGAGAGGGGGAAGCAGAGGTAGGAAAAGGGAACGGAGAGGTTATCGGACAGCAGGTACCCATCGACGAATTGCATGCCTTCAATGGACTGGATGTGCTCTCCCGTGGTGCGATGGCGCGTCACCATGGGGCGCAGCCCGTAGTTCCTGTGGTGGAATAAGCACGGGGGAGGCGGGAAGGGAGGACAGCATTCTAGAAAGTCGACCACAAGCGTGTTGTCCTGCACATATGAATGGGAGCATTTCCCCCATAGACATACACGCCTTCCCCCCCACATACACATGCACATGCACATGCACATGCACATGCACGTGCACATACACATACACATACACATACACATACACATACACGCCTCCCACGTGCACTCACTTGGCCTCGTCCACACTGAAGAACCGTGGGGCAGGGCGGGCCTTGTGCTTATCCCTCCTCCCACTACCCTCCCAGACAAATACACATCCCGTCCCACCCTTCCAACCTCACTCACTTGGCCTCGTCCACACTGAAGAACCGTGGGGCAGGGCGGGCCTTGCGCTTGACCACAGGCTTGTTGTCCTGCTCACATTGGTGGGTGCATTTGCCCCCATTTCTCCAACACACATACACGCCCTCCACACCTCGCCCACCCTTCCACGTGCACTCACTTGGCCTCATCAACACTGAAGAACCGTGGGGCAGGGCGAGCCTTGCGCTTGACCACAGGCTTGTTGTCCTGCTCACGTGCATGCATCCACGGGGAGGGAAGGGCGATAGTGAAGGAGTAGGAAGGGGGAGAGGGGGGACTGAGGGGTACGCAGACGGACTAGGAGCGGGCCGGGCCTTGCGCTTGACCACAGGCTTGTTGTCCTGCTCACGTGCATGCATCCACGGGGAGGGAAGGACAACAGGGTGCAGGTTAGAAAGAAGATAATCACGAAGGGGAGGAGGGAGGAATGAGGGGTAGGCAGAAGGACTGGGGGCGCAGGGAGGCGAGACTTGGTTCGTTTCGAGCATTACAGGACAATCGATACAAGGTCGCCTGCTGCTGAGTGTGTATGAGTGAGTGAGTGTCTCTGAGAAGGTGGTTAAGTGCAAGCAATCACACAGCACACTCTCACAGCATGGCACTCTCTCACATGCAGCTGGGCACGGATTAAAGGAAGCAAGAACCCACCTGCCGCTGCGCTAGAGCCTGGAGGTCGATACGGGGAATGAGCTTGATGGTGGCCCCCTCTGCTTCACTGACTGTGCCTGAGTGTGCTAGCAACTATGTACAACACAAGCACTCACACAGACCAACCCACCTGCCGCTGAGCCAGGGCCTGGAGGTCGATTCGGGGAATGAGCTTGATGGTGGCCCTCTGCTTCACTGTGTCCACGTCCGTCACCTGCTCATGTGACGTGGAACGGGGTGGCACGGGGTGGCACGGGATGGCATGGGTTGGTATGGGCGTGTTGTGTGGCATGAAAAGGCGTGGTGCATTGTGCAACGGCACTTGGGGTGGCACAATGACATTTTGTGGTGATGGTGCTAGCACGGGGCAGCACAGGGCAGCACGGCACGGGGCACTCACCAGAGCCAGATCGCCCTTGTACAGCCCAATCTTGACCCAGCTGTTCTCCTCCAAGCGATAAAGGGCGCTCACCACACTAGCTCTCTCTCCCAATCCCCTCCTCTTCTTCACACACCCACCCTTTAAGACACTCACCAGAGCCAGGTCGCCCTTGTAGAGCCCGATCTTGACGCGCACCCAGCTCTTCTCCTCATCGTACTCGCTCCCTCTCCCAATCCCCTCCTCCTCCTCATACACACACCCACCCTGATCGGGGCACTCACCAGAGCGAGGTCGCCCTTGTAGAGCCCGATCTTGACGCGCACCCAGCTGTTCTCCTCCAAATCAACCGACTTCTGCTCCACCGTCAGCCCTGTCCCAGAGTCCCAGACCCCTGCGTACAACCACTCTGAACCGCACACCATTCCTCTGAACTGCACTTACCAGAGCCAGGTCGCCCTTGTACAGCCCGATCTTGACGCGCACCCAGCTGTTCTCCTCCAGGTCCACCAACTTCTGCTCCACCGTCAGCCCTGCCCCAGACCCCTGCGCACAACCCCTCTGAACCGCACACCACCCCTCTGAACCGCACACCACTTCTCTGAACCGGACTCAACCACTCTGAACCGCACTCACCAGCGCGAGGTCGCCCTTGTACAGCCCGATCTTGACGCGCACCCAGCTGTTCTCCTCCAGGTCGACCGACTTCTGCTCCACCGTCAGCACGCCTGCCATCTCCTTTATCGGCACCAGCGCCGGCAGGCACTCTGAGCTGCACACAACCGCACTGAACCGCACAGAACCGCTCTGAATCGCACAGAATCACTCTGAACCGCACTCACCAGCGCGAGGTCGCCCTTGTAGAGCCCGATCTTGACGCGCACCCAGCTGTTCTCCTCCAGGTCGACCGACTTCTGCTCCACCGTCAGCACGCCCGCCATCTCCTTTATCGGCACCAGCGCCGGCTTCCACGCCCTCAGCAGCCGCAGCCCTGCACACGCCTGGGGGGAAAGGTGGGGGAGGGTGGGGGTGGGAGGTGACTTTTGAGTCGATCCAAAGTCTCCTTTATCGGCACCAGAGCCGGCTTCCACGCTCTCAACAACCGCAGCCCCGCACATGCCTGGGGGGGAAGGCCGGGGGTTGGGAGGGGCTAAAGAGTTTAGAGTCGACTTAAAACTCAACACCAGTGGCGGCTTCCACGAGTACAGCAGTCGCAGCCCCGCACACGCCTGGGGGGGAAAGTCGGGGAGGGTGGGGGGGGGGGGGGCTAAGGATCCACGCCAAGCGTACTACTACACAGTGCTTCCTGTATATGCCTTGCTTAGCCTCGCAGATAAAAACAGCCAGATTTAGGCGCTGGGATTGACTCACCTGCTTGACGAATGCCTCCTCGTACACCTCCACGTACACCTTATAAGACGTTTCACATACATAGTAATCATATTTAACACGCCTACAAACTGCCTAGAACCAATCGTCTCTCGCAACGCACCTCCTTGACGTAGGCCTCCTTGTACGCCTCCACGTACACGCACCCCTTGAGGTTGTCCAGGGCTATGGCGGATTTGATCTGCAGGTTCTGCCCCAGTGCCTCCAGGTTCACACACTTCTGCATCAGCGATACCACCGCTTCGCGCTCGTGGCCCAGCTGCGGGGGGAGAGGTGGGGGGAGGGGATGGGGATGGGGAAACGGAAAGATGCTTCAATCTGCAGCGTCTGCCCCTGTGCCTCCAGGTTCACGCACTTCTGCATCAGCGCTTGGCACAGCCAGCCAAGCCCAGCCCAGCCCAACTCAGCACCGCACAGCACGCACTGCACCGCGCCGTACCTCGCACTTGATCATCCAGAGCTTGGGGTCGCGCACGGACGGCAGCAGCGCCTGCTGCTCGACCTCCGTGGCCTCCCCCTCGCCCAGCTCGGGCACCTCGTTGCGCGCATACCGCTCCTCCAGGAACCGCTGGTAGTCCTCCTCGTTCACCTCCTCCTCCTCCTCGTTGCGCCGCAGCAGCGTGCGGTGGTGCGCGGATGGCCGCTCGTTGCCCAGCTCCTCGCCCAGATCTGCGTCCCGGTCGATGAAGCCTGAGGGGGGGGGGGGGATGGCAAGAAGGAGGTACAACGGGGGGTTGATAAGGCAACGGATGCGGTGGTGCGCCGACGGCCGCTCGTTGCCCAGCTCCTCGCCCAGATCCGCGTCCCGGTCGATGAAGCAAGAGGGAGGATGCAAGAAGGGAGGTACACACAGATAAAAAGGGTGGGGCCATGCCATGGTTGCGGAAGACGAGATCAGTTCATGCATTTAAGTCTATTCCACTTGTCGACTTTACCAGAATGCGAAGCGACGTCGAAGAAGCATCTACGCGCAACCCTAATTTGACCATACTCCGCCTCGCGAGAAGCAGGCGTAGCCGATTCGGCTATCCCATTGCGGAACCGTAGTAACGGTTGTAATGCCTCCACCCTGCATAAAGCACTCGACCCACCGTCCTCCCCTTCCTCCTCCTCCTCCCCCTCGTTATCACTTGCCACTGCTGCTTTTTCCTTAATGAACATCTACCGAACCCACCAGCCGTCTAGCCCTTCTTCTCCCTTGGAGAATCAAAACCCTAAACGACGCTCTACGCGCCTAATAGAACCGACGTACCGTCCTCCTCTTCCTCCTCCTCCTCCTCGTCATCACTCGCCACCGCCGCTTCCTCCTCGATGAACATCGACCGGCCGGTCGTCGAACCCTTCTTCTTCCTCGGCGCTTCGTCCTCCTCGTCCTCGTCATCGTCCTCCTCCGCCGCGTCGTCGATGAACTGCGATCCGCGCCCTCGCTTCTTCCCGCGTTCCTCCTCGTAATCCTCCTCTTCCTCCTCCTCCTCCTCGTACTCCTCGTCCTCCTCCTCTGCCTCGTCATCGTAATCGTCGCCACGCGCCATTTCGTTTCTCTAAGAAAAACCACACGAAATGAACACAAAATACGAGGATAGGATTCCGCAGATGAACTGGCCTACGCGATTGACGATAGGGCCTTCGAGATTCTTTAAGGGAATTCTAGGCGATCAAAAATCGGTATACTGAGAATGGCGGAAGGGTTACGCTCGGTAGTTGAAGCTTGCCGGTCACCAAACGGAAAGGAGAACGCTGGAAAGTGTACCCTAAGAACGAGCAGTGCTTCTTCCACGAATCGGAAAGTAATGAGAAAGCGACTATGTCGAGGACGACTAGGGTTGACGAGAGGGAGAGAGAGACGAGAAGGCTGTGGTGGTGAGGCGATCTTCTCGTGGGGAGTCCAACTTCTTGACTAAACGGTGGCGAGGAAAATGGATGACGAGACGGAAGAAAAGGAAGCGAGGCAGCGACTGTTTATTTAGTCTTCTGGCGGGAATTTGGAGTAATCGAGGGTGTGGATGACAGGTGCAAGCAGGGATGCGACTGCAAAAATATTGTTCTACTGTACATTGAAAGCAATCATTTGCAAAGGGCGTGGAACATTTCGGAAATTTTCCAAACGAACCGTACCGTCTGAACGGTTGAAAATGGTTCATTTGTCAAACGCTTTGTTCAAGTATGTTCCAATACGATTCAGAGCGGTACTTTTTCGAACCGTACGTTCGTTCGAAAAAAAAGCCCAAATGTTCCACGCCCTAACCAAGTTTTTTTCCAGACAACCATATACCAGTACGTGTGCTTAATTTCTCCCACGGCTAGGAAAACCAGGAGTAAGGTGTCAGAGTCCTACATAATATTAGCACATTGAATGCACATGTATAATAAATCACGTTCAAGTATCTGAAATTCTCCACAATCCAGCCATCTTGAACCTTGCTAACTTATTATCCTTCCCAGTCATCCAATTATTGTGGATCGTCACGACTGCATCACGGCTAGGGAGCAACCTTATCCCGCCCGGAGGCATGGAGGAAGACTCAGGAAAATAGAGCCACCCCGGAGGAAAGAGAGTTTGCGGGAGAACCCCTATTAACGGAGCATGGCTGGTATTCAACAACTCGAAAATTGCCATGCCAAGATAAAGCTGGTCATTCTCCCGCCCTGTGACTTTAGGCGCTTTGTAAATCTTCAATATAAGCAGCTCCAGTATAAGCCTTCCTCCTGGCGTATTATGGAAGAGAACAAAGCCTCCACAGAGCTTGGCATGGTCAAGCTGCACGGGCCGAGGATCCATGAGGTATGTGGAAGTCGCGTAGAAATTGTATGTATCCGGAAACTCCCGCACTCCCACCACATCATACTCAATAGGAGGTGCCCCCAAATTGGGAAAAGCTTGCAAATCCGCGTCGGGAACAACAAACTGTTTTCTCTTGTTGTTGTACAATCCCGAAGCCGTGGATCTCCTTAAAATCTCCGAGCCGCTTGGCCTTGCAAAGAGGTAAGGAAAGGGATCCTTGACCCAGATGAAATCCGAGTCGCATATGAGGACGTTAAATCCCAAGTTAAGAAGTGTGCGGATGTAGGCCACTCTTCGGTACATGAGCTTCTTAAAGCCCAACGTGAGGAAAGAAAAGGCCTCTTTGCTGCTGCTGCTGCTGCTGCTGCTGCTGCTCCTGCCATTCCCGCTCTCACCACTGGCGCCAGTGCTCCCCGCACTGCCACCACTGGCACTATCTCTCTCCTCCACCAGTCCTGCTGCCTTCAGCTCTTCCTCCCCCGCCTGCTCTATCTCTGGCACATGCCATCGCACCACCTGAAGCCCCGCCGTTGGGAAAGAGAGTTGGGGTTTGGGATAAATTAGTTGGGTAAAAGGGGTTGGAAAAAATGGGTTGGGAAAAATGGGATGCTTTGAGGCATCTAGAATATTCTCCACCCGACCTGCTCTATCCCCGGGACATGCCATCGCACCACCTGATGTGGCAATGGGGAAAAATCCAGTTGGGAGAAAAAATAATGATGAAAAAAAAGTGTCACATGCACTAAGGAATCGGAAAGTGTTGCTTTTCCCGCCAGTCATGGGAACCGGTGTGTCGCACCTGTCTTGGAAATCTCTCTATCAGCAGATTGAAGCTCTCCCAGTCTTCAGCGAACACAAGGAAATGTCGCCCATAGCCCAGCTCGCCCGCATACACCGCCCAGTTGAGCAGAAAATCCGCATAGCCTTGGATAGAGCGAGGGAGGAGCGGTGGGGAAGGGAGTGGGAGGGGGTGGATCGGTGGGGGAAGAAAATTTAACAGAGGAGAGTGGAGCACGGAGGCAGGGTCAAATGGGAGAGGTTGGATAGTGAGAATGTATTTCAAATCACAGTGAAATTTCCAGCATTTCATACAATCACATGACTGTTGCCAGGACTTATTTATACCCGATACAAGCACCTTAGTACTGCGTCTTATTAGTAGTACTGCATCTTACCATAGCTGCACACGAGGATTACTACAGGGCCGTTTATTGAAGCTTCTTGTGCTAGCTGCCTAAGTGTACTGGCCGACACATATCCCTCTGAATCCCACTCTGGCTCCCTCAACATCTGTTCCCGCTGCCCGTTCAACTGCCCGTGAGAGCCTGCTCTTGCTGTTGAACCGCCTTCCTCGGGCTGCCCCTTAAAGAATCCGAAGGAACTTTTCATACTCGCTGACTCGCTAATGTTGATATCCACTGCTTCATTGCTACCCAGTGCTTCTACATTCTGCTCTGAGCGAAACTCCTTATAGCGAGGTAAAATTGTATCTGTCTCCTCTAGCCTCTCGAGTTCTTCTGGCTTGAGTTGACTCGCAAACGGGAGAAGCTTTCGGAAATTCACGGATTGTCGCCAGTCAGGCTCGGAAGCAGCACCAAGCGAAGCTTTAGACGAAGACTCAGTAGGGTAACCAGCTTTCGAAGAAACGCCTGCTAGTTCGTTCTTATTCGCGGAAAGCGAGGAGGAAGCGGTAGAGGAAGAGATAGCGAAACTGGAAGAATCTAACTGTGGAGTTTGGAGTACAAGTGAAGGTGCGGAGACTAAGTGGCTGGAAGGAATAGGCTTCGAGAAAGACGACGCGAGGAACTGGAAATGGCGATTAAAGAGCACCACGCCTGTGAACAGGAGCAGAGAAGGCAGTCCGAACGCCTTCACACACGCGGGTGAGCAACTCGTCGACCCGCGCAGCCGCTGCTGCTGCTGCTGCTGCTGCTGCTGCTGCTGCTGCTGCTGCTGCTGCTGCTGCTGCTGCTGCTGCTGCTGCTGCTGCTGCTGCTGCTGCTGCTGCTGCACGGAGCGCCGCATCTTGCGGAGAGATTTCAATAACTTAGGTCTACATTACAGCGTGAAGCGAGTCTGGTAAAGGAAGTAAGTCAATCCCCGTTCCTCACCAGACCACCAGATCCCACCGATTCCAGGTGCCGTCCTGTGGAAGGTCATCGAAGGCCGTCTGGCACCACTTTGTTCGTACAGCAATCAGGGCAGGGAGAGGATACGCGTTATGAGGCACCCACATGTACGAGAAATTGAAACTTGAAACGAGACTGTTTATGTACCCTAGAAAATTAAAAAGTACTTCACGGAGTCAGTGTTCATCAATAGGACAAAACAAAAAAAGGAGTTGGACAAGGCCATATTAGGTACCCACGGAACTACAAACTCTTCAAAGTTCAGATGAAGATAACTTCTAATCGGGGGCAAGGGTGGCTGTTCAAATACTTAGTGAACTGCTCCGTGGTTTGAAACCACGCACTCCCAAACATGGCCTCCCTCTGATTTGACCCTGCTGGGTATATGTGGAAAACCCGCAGCGCCTTGATCCTTTTTTCCGACGCCAAAACGGCTGGTCTCTTGCCGACCCAAACAGGCTTGTAGCCGTTCTTTTTGAAGGTTCGGCGAATGGCTCGGCGGAGGCCCGGTAGGGTGAGTGAGGGGCTTGTAAGGAAGACGGAGGTGTAGCGGTATGTGCCTCTTTCACGCATGTAGAGATGGTATGTAAGCTGTTTCTTGCCCGAGTCTACACTCTCACACCTGTTACACATGGGTGTCAGATGCAAAGAAACATGGATTGGGATACAGGTGTCAGACACAGCAAACAAGGAGCAGGGGCGAAGGAGGAATGGGGAAGAGGGGGGCGTGTGGTGGGGAAGCGGGAACAGCAGCCAAGGCTGACGCATGGAATCCATGGGGAAGGACGGAGAGGTGAAGGGAGACAACACACAGAGGTTGAGGAAGGGAGGACGACCTAATGGAAGGGAGAAAAGGGGAGGGAGGAGAGCGAGGGTGCACTAACCTGCACGGCCGTGGCTTGAGGGAGGCAGAGATCTCTTGCGTGCGGATGCGGTCGGCCAGCAGCACACAGAGGCGGCAGGAGGAGTGCACAGCCGACAGATCCACGTTGGCGATGAACTGATCCGACGGCCCAGATCGCTTCCACTCGAGCATCTTGTTGTATGCGTCCTCGTCCGCTGCTATGGCCTGCATCTGGCGCGCCACGCGGGGGATATCCTCCTCGCTCTGTGGGAGGAGGTATAGAGGGGGAGAGAGAGGAGGATTGGAGAAAGCATGGAGAGTGGCAGGTAGAAAGCAAAGAGTCAAGACGAGGCTGGTCAGCAGCTATGGCCTGCATCTGCTGTGCCACGCACAGGAACGAACCCTCATCAGGATGTACGTGGTGTGCTTCTCACCGCAAAGGCAATGTTAGGCGGCCCCAAGACCACGGGCACGGGCTGAACCCGGCAACAAGGGACTGCCATCCAGCAAAGCAACCCTCTTTCCAACACGGGCAGTGACACACACATAAACCATCCCTCACCTGAATGTGCAGGTACGAGGTGTTGTCGGGCACAAAATCAGCAATGTTGGGCGGTCCCACCACCACAGGCACTGAGCCGGCAACAAGGGACTGCCTGCCTGCAGGCAATTCTCCTTTCCCGCTACAGACAGCCACATAAACATACACAGAACCCTCACCTGGATGTGCAGGTACGAGGTGTTGTCCGGCACAAAATCAGCAATGTTAGGCGGCCCCACCACCACGGGCACGGACCCCGCAACGAGGGATTGACTGCCCGAGTGACTCTAATCATCACTGACAGTTTACACACACAGAAACCATCCCTCACCGGGATCTGCACCCATTGCTCACCTGGATGTGCAGGTACGAGGTGTTGTCCGGCACGAAATCAGCAATGTTAGGCGGGCCCACCACCACGGGCACGGACCCCGCCACGAGGGACTGCCAGAACTTCTCAGTGATGTAGTCCGGCTCACAGGAGTTCTCAAAGGCGAGGGAGAACTTGTAGCGCTGAATCACCGCCAACTGAGGGGTGGGGAGGGGTGGCGGGGGGGGATGGGAAGTGGGTTGGGACTGCCAGAACTTCTCAGTGATGTAGTCCGGTTCACAGGAGTTCTCAAAGGCGAGGGAGAACTTGTAACGCTGAATCACCACCAACTGGTGGTGTGGGACGGGGGGGGCGGAATAGGGAACCGGGGAGGGAGGGAAGGGGGAGGAAGGGGGAGGAGAAGGACTGCCAGAACTTCTCAGTGATGTAGACCGGTTCACAGGAGTTCTCAAAGGCGAGCGAGAACTTGTAGCGCTGAATCACCGCCAACTGGTGGGGTGGGAGGTGCAGGAAGAGGGAACCCGAGGGATGGGGGGAGACGAGGAGGAGGTTCTTGGTCGTCTCAAAACAGGATTTTTAAAAGGTCAGGGAACTTGTAGTTGAAATCAAGCTTACACATTTTCATGCTTACACATTTTCATGCTTACACATTTTCATGCTTACACATTTTCATGCTTACACATTTTCATGCTTACACATTTTCATGCTTACACATTTTCATGCTTACACATTTTCATGCTTACACATTTTCATGCTTACACATTTTCATGCTTACACATTTTCATGCTTACACACTTTCATGCTTACACACTTTCATGCTTACACATTTTCATGCTTACACATTTTCATGCTTACACATTTTCATGCTTACACATTTTCATGCTTACACATTTTCATGCTTACACCTTATCATGCTTACACATTTTCATGCTTACACATTTTCATGCTTACACATTTTCATGCTTACACATTTTCATGCTTACACATTTTCATGCTTACACATTTTCATGCTTACACATTTTTATGCTTACACATTTTCATGCTTACACATTTTCATGCTTACACATTTTCATGCTTACACATTTTCATGCTTATACATTTTCATGCTTACACATTTTCATGCTTACACCTTTTCATGCTTACACATTTTCATGCTTACACATTTTCATGCTTACACATTTTCATGCTTACACATTTTCATGCTTACACATTTTCATGCTTACACATTTTCATGCTTACACATTTTCATGCTTACACATTTTCATGCTTACACATTTTCATGCTTACACATTTTCATGCTTACACATTTTCATGCTTACACATTTTCATGCTTACACATTTTCATGCTTACACATTTTCATGCTTACACATTTTCATGCTTACACATTTTCATGCTTACACATTTTCATGCTTACACATTTTCATGCTTACACCTTATCATGCTTACACCTTATCATGCTCAAACCTACCTATCATGTCCGCACCTCATCAGGCTCGCACCTTATCATGCTCGAAGGGTCGGTTGTTGAGGCAGCGACCATAGGAGTGAACGGGGAAGAACTTCTGCAGCTCCTCCACTGCCTGCGGTTGTGTGGGGGATAAAGCGGTGGAGAGCGGTTATATGGTTTCTGGGCTACTAGAGGAGGCTACAATAAGACTCATATGTTGGGAGTGCACTGGGAAGAACTTATGCAGGTCCTCCACCGACTGCGGTTGTGGGGGAGACAGAGTGGTGGAGAGCGGCAGTGCTGTGACTTATGGGCTGCAGTTGAAATGCATGGGGAAAAACGTGTGAGTTGGGGGCCAACGGGTGGGGTGGGGTGGGGGGCAATATGTGGGGAAAGACAAGTGCATCCTATCACCCATTGCCCCCTCTCCTTTGTCCTCCCATCCATTTCTCTCGCCCCCCTCCTTTCATCCCCGTCCCCTCACCCCGCTCGGCCCACCTTGAGTCGGAAGTTGTTAGCAGCACAGTTGCTGATGAAAGCAGCAGCAATGGCGTCTGCTGTCTTGGGGACAGGCGGGCGCATGATGTCATACTCCTCCCATGAGCCGTACTGCACTGGCACGTCTGAATCATAGTGCACTGTCATCACAACCTGGTGGGAGGGGATTAAAATTGGGGTAAGTAGTGAGCAGAGAGAAAAGAGAGAGAGGGATGCTGTCTTGGGGACAGGCGGGCGCATGATGTCATATTCTTCCCATGACCCGTACTGCACTGGCACATCCTAGTCGTAGTGCACTGTCATCACCACCTGACGGTGTTATTGCAGCGAGACAAGAGAGAGAGGGACAAGGGAGAGACACGGGATGGACAAGGAAAAGACAAGGAAGAGGAGGAGAGCTGTGTTGGTGATTGGAGGGCGCATAATGTCATATTCTTCCCATGACCCGTACTGCACTGGCACGTCCGAGTCGTAGTGCACTGTCATCACCACCTGATGTTGTTGGGAGACGTGTGGCGAGGCAAGGGAGGGGAGCGACAAGGGAGGGCAAAGGGAAGGACAAGGAAGAGTGGGCGAGCTGTCTTGGGGACTGGCGGCCGCATGATGTCATACTCCTCCCATGACCCGTACTGCACTGGCACGTCTGAGTCATAATGCACTGTCATCACCACCTGATGGTGTAAACATTGTGGTACGCAATGTGCAGAGGGACAAGAGAAAAGAACGCTGTCTTGGGGAGAGGCAGGCGCATGATGTCATACTCCTCCCAGGACCCGTTCCGCACTGGCACGTCTGAGTCGTAACGTACTGTCATCACCACCTGTTGTTGTGGTTGGGCAAGTGTGCAGGGAGACAAGGGAGACAAGAGAGAGGGGGAGGGAGGAAAGCATTGGAGGCCGCATGGTGTCATACTCCTCCCTCCCATGACTCGTACTGCACTGGCACATCGGAGTCGTAGTGCACTGTCATCAGCACCATCAGTTGCTCACCCGCACACCCATGCCCCCAAAATGTCCCCCCACCCAACATGCATGATCTGTCCCCCCACCCATGCCATGCCCCAAAAAGCCTACTTTTGAGGCGCCTCAAAAGCAAAATGCCCCCCCACCCCACAAGCATGATCTGTCCCATACATCGCCACCTCACTGCCACTCACGCTATGGGATCCCCTGGGCACAGCGGGGTCGTTGGCGGGGTAGTAAGAACGCGCCTCCATTGAGCTCAGCACCATCTTGAGCCGCACACCCCCACACACCCACATGCCTACCACATGCATGCATGCAGCAACTCAATCACTCACACTGTGAGACCCCCTGGAAACAGCGGGGTCGTTGGCGGGGTAGTAGGAGCGCGCCTCCATTGAGCGCAGCACCATCTTGCCTGGCACACACAACCCCACACCCATGCCCCCCACATATGAAGGGCTACTGTAGGCCAAGCAGTGTCACTCACGCTATGGGATCCCCTGGACACAGCAGGGTCGTTGGCGGGGTAGTAGGAGCGCGCCTCCATTGACTGCAGCACCATCTTGCCTGGCACACACAACCCCACACCCATGCCCCCCACATATGAAGGGCTACTGTAGGCCAAGCAGTGTCACTCACGCTATGGGATCCCCTGGACACAGCAGGGTCGTTGGCGGGGTAGTAGGAGCGCGCCTCCATTGACCGCAGCACCATCTTGCCTGGCACACACAACCCCACACCCATGCCCCCCACATATGAAGGGCTACTGTAGGCCAAGCAGTGTCACTCACGCTATGGGATCCCCTGGACACAGCAGGGTCGTTGGCGGGGTAGTAGGAGCGCGCCTCCATTGACCGCAGCACCATCTTTCCCGGCACTGAGTATGTCAGACTCGCATCCACATCGTCTCCCGCACTCACAAACTCACACGGCACGTCGCAGTCCCACCGCTTCACCTGTGTGCGGAAGGGAGGAGGGCGGAGGGGAGGGAAGGGTGATGGGTGGGGTGCTGAGGGATGGGGGAGGATGGGGAGAGCGCAGTCCTGTGTAAGTCAGACTGGCGTCCACGTCGTCCCCCTGGCTCACAAACTCACACGGCACGTCGCAGTCCCACCGCTTCACCTGCTCTCAGGGAGGGGTGGGGGAGAAAGTGATGGGTGGGAAGGGGAGTGTGCAGCGCAGCACCATCGTGCTCGGCACTGAATAGCATCAGACTTGCATTCACGTCACCTTTCTCGCCCACGAAGTCATACGGCACGTCACACTCCCACCGCTTCACCTGCTCGCAGTGGGGACAAGTGCGATGCGTGGGTGGGGGAATGAAAACAGCCCGGCCTGCATACGTCCGACGCACACTCACCGCACATCCAAGCACACACACGCACCTCGTTGGAGGCCACTCGCACCGGCTGTTGCTCAAACTCCCTCCCAACACCCACTTCATCTTGCTGCTCCAACCACGCCCGGCATGACATGCCTTCTGCTGAAATGCTTGCTTGAGAGAGTGCTTGCCTTGTATGAATACTCACACACTCACCGCCGCACATCCAAGCACACACGCACCTCGTTGGAGGCCACTCGCACCGGCTGCTGCTCAAACTCCCTCCCCACACCCACTTCATCTTGCTGCTCCAACCACGCCCGGCATGTCATCCCCTCTGCTGGCCCGCGCAAAGGCTCCCACCCCCCCTCTCCCTTTCCCCCTTCCTCTCTCTCGCCCTCTCCCTCACTCTCTCCCTCCCTCTCCCCCTCTCCTCCCGCTCCCGCGCCACTCGCTCCCTCCGCCCCGCCCCCCTCCCCACCCTCCGCCCCTCTCCCAGAAACTCCCCCGCGTAGTTGCGCCAATGCGCCGTTCACTCGCCCCTGCCCCTCTCCCTGTCCCCCGCTGGTACCATCCACTTCCCCGGACCCATCTCGCGCGCCCGTTTCCTCCTCTCCCGGTTCCGCTTCCGCTCCCCTTCGCCCCCCCGCTTCCGCTTCCGCTTCCGCCGCGCGCTCACTTGCTTCCCGTCGGGACCCTACCTCTTCCTCGTCTTTACTCTCCATCTCACTCTCCTGTCCCAACTCGTCTGCTCCCTGCTCCTCGCTCCCCTCCCTTTCCACTCCCGCATTGTCATCTCGCGGCAACTCTACGGGTTGCTTCCCATCCCCGGTAGAAACAGATCCGGTATCGTTGTCTTCGTGAGTCATTGTAATAATATCGGGTTGAGTGCTTATCGTTGCTGTTTGACTTCCCGGACCAGCGAGTTCGGTTGTTATCGGTGTTCCTGAACCGGCCTCATTCCCGGAAATTCTGTCACTACTTGCAGCTTCATCATTGCGAGAGTTCTTATTCCCGCCATCCCCGTTATTGCCTCGTTCCTCTTCCAGCATAAGCCGCCGCTGCTGCGAGACCTTAAGCTTCACAATGTACAGCGCTTGCGCCAGGATCACCACGATTAAGAACCGGATTAGGAACACTGTAGCGCGGCTAGTTGACGGCCGTGGCTGACGGCCCGGTCCCGCTCCACTGCCGTCTGGCCGTTTCCTCGACGCGCTCGAGCCGCCACCGCCCCAGGCACTCCATCCAGCGTTGAACGCGCTCATGGCTTAAACTCTAATTCCGAAAGTTCCAAGGAGGAATGACGAGGCATAAACGGCAGCTCTGACAAAAAAACAGGTGTATTCTCAAAATGCTGACATTCATTCAATGGATGATGCTTTGAATTTTCAAAATGCAGAGAGAGTCGCTCGCAGCTGCATGAAATGCAACAGCGCAGACATCCGAGCCGAGAGGAGATCCGTTAGGCAGGAGTGATAGGAATGATTGGATGGGTGAACAAATCATCGGATAGGACTTCTGCTTGAAGTGGATGTAGGCAAGACCAGCTACAGCGATTTCTGGCGTAGCTGGAAAGTCAGTTTGAGCAACGACGTTGTCTGTTCTTGCTATTAGCATTCCCTTGATATTGTCCCTTCGGATCAGAAACTGCTTGATAGGTCGAAGAATAATTAGACTGTACATTTTACATGACTCGCTGTATGGTATGAACTTCATCACATGCATTTTGTGAATACGTCATCAATGAAGTCCAGCCAAGCCTGGAAGTTTCATTTTGTTCTTTGAGCTTCATTTCCTCATTGCTTGTGCAAATTTAGGAACTTAACACTTTGCAGAAGTTACCTATATTACCCATCTGCAGAATCTGACCACAATCTATACACATAGGATGTCACATTTTTCCACCGTCGACATTAGTGACTGAATGTTCCTTTTTTAAGTACAATCTATTAATGCTGTGAATGGGGGACCTTATAACGGCGAAGTTTTGTTTTGAAAAAATGAGAGGCCAAACGTTCCGCCGCTGCGGAACGTTTCAGCCTGTAGAGAGCCGTTTGATCAGCACACGGGCCAGGGATCTCCCGTATCTCGGGAGGCATGACTCGCTTTCCTGCGTGGCTGCCCCCGCATGGCTGGCCTCCCGGTGCTGTGTTGTCGACCAATTTTCCTCCACGTGTCAGGCCTGCTCAGTTCAGCGATGTGATTCGTGGATGAGAAGATTCAGGGGGCACACGACACGACGACACGAACTTGACCCCTTTCCTCATCAGGAGAGTAGACTCGGAGAACTGCTCCCGCACCCCACTCCACCCCACTCAACTCCACTTGACGAACGCCTCCGCACCGTTCGGCGCTCCCCTCCTCCCCCTTCCACTTGCCATTTTGCCGTTGGGCACGGCTCCAACCCCTCTCCGCTCCTCCGAGGAAGGAAGATGAGAGTCAAGGGGAGAAAACTCTCTACAAACCTCCCAACCCCCCGTCACTGCGACAATATAGATTCACACTTCAACCCATCAACTTCCCGTTCGAAGCTACTATAACCACCTCTTTCTAAACCCACCTACTCGCCAACTGCTCACACTGCTTAGTTGATCGTGTAAAAGCTCATTGAGATCGTGTTAGTTCATCGAAACTATCAGTCAAAATCCGAGCCACTACTCAGCTGTACTATCTACAGCCTGTCCTCACAGAACGGGTCTTCGGTCACAATGGCATCGTCGTTGTACTTGCCCACTCGCATAGCTTCTAGCTCTTGCTTCAGCCAACGGCGTCAAGCTTGTTTTCAGCAGCCAACAAAACCCTCGGCTCTCTTTCACCCCCTCACAAACCGGCGATCGCCCAGCAGCTTTAAGCTAGCCGTTGGAGCGTCGAAGTCCTCCCGCATTCAATGCAGTCACGTGGTATGTCGACGATTAGGCAGTCCGCCGTTCGCGCAACGCCGCTTTTCAAACAAGCCGTTCGTCTCGCTCGTCAATGGAAGGCCTTTATTTTTTCAGCGGGTGCCTGATTCCCCGTCGCTTTGCGACTCGTCATTTCTTCGATGCATCTAACCTCCAACGCTTCTTCCTTGCAATTCGTCTTTCCTCCAATCGTCTTCCCGTCATCTTCAGCGCGACGTGAACACGGAGGAGTTGGATCATCTGGTGACCGGCGAGCGAGAGACGCCTCTCGTTATTGACTTCTGCGCTGACTGGTGCGGGTCGTGCGACATCCTCTCCGAGCAACTGGAAGAGGCAAGTTACAAGGAAAATTAAAGCAAAAAAAAAAACAAAACAAACAAAAAACAACATGCCTGGTGGTTGACTTGCCAGATACGGGCTGTTTTCGGGTATGACTTCATGTTCTTACAGGATGAGGCCTACGTTATAAATATCTCTTGCCCAAAGTAACCGGTTACGGGTTGCTCGCTGACCTGTGTCTCCTTCACCTTGTCATCCTTTTTGGAACGTGGGTGCGACGGGTGTGCAGTTAGCGGAGGAGTACGACGGGCGCGTGCGGTTCGTTCAAGTGAACACGGATCAGGAATACGACCTCGCAGACCAGCTCGAGGTACGGCGTCTTTGTTGCGAACTAACCGCTGGTTACGGCGCGGCTATATCCATCTCATTCTCGTTTCCACCTTGTCATTGCTTCCTTGTCACGGCCACTTATGTTCTTCTCTGTTTGTTGCAGATCCGCGGCCTTCCAACCATGGTCTTCATGGGTAAGGACAAGGCCAAGCGAGCGACCCGCATTGAGGGCATGCTTTCAGTGGACACCATCAGGCAACTCATTGATGACGTTGCTGATCTCCATAGCTAAGAGAATTTGACTAAGTTTTCCCAGGGGAATAATTTGTGTCAAGTGCTTGTCCAAAGTGTGTATAAATGACTGGCAGGGTTCCTTGCCAGGACGACAAGATAGAAGGCTCGAAGTTGTGTATAGACGGTGCGGCCATGTATGGTTGTTTGTTGGCTTCTAGCCATGGTAGAACATGCCTGCATTGGCTGGCTCATTTTTTCTGCTTCGTTTTGTTTTGTCTAACAAAGAAGCGTTCATATCACAGATATACGCGTTTGAAGTTCAGTCTGGTGGCACTAATTTTCGGACCTAGCTTGGCGTTTATTCCAATCAAATTCACATTTTCAGAGCGTGTCCCACACGTCCATATTCTCCGTAGAACGTACTCAACCGAAGTATATAACAATTTGACCGCTGTAAAACGTAAAACATCTCATTGAGCCGCTTTCGGACGAACTTTGTGGGACACGCTGACAACTTGATTGCAACAACACGCACGCGGAAACTAGTACCACCAATTCTACAACTTTCTCCGCTGTGTCTGGATTCACATGGTTCCCAGAGTTACTGCGTGAGTGATTCAGCTTCACACACCGGCATCAGCTCGCTTCACGTCTCCCCTTCCACGTCGCTCCTCGTCGATAGGGCCCTTCCCCCACAGGCCGACACTCTCCCAAACTGACGCTCTCCCCGGCGTTGCCCCTTCGTTTTGCCCACCTCTCCCGCGCTCACGGCGCCGCGCCCAGTCACGCCGCCCCCAGCGCTCACGCCGTCCGCACTAGGCAGGTCATGCCAGTCACGCTTAAGGTCGCTGGCTCTTGGTCCGGGCAGGTCGAAATTCCGTCCCTGACCGAATGGACCGTGTGCGAGCTGCGGGCGGAGCTTTCGCGCCTGTCCGGGATCGACGCGGGCAGTTTAAAAATCATCTGCGGTGGGCGCACGCTTAAAGACGAGGCGGAGGCGGAGGGAGAGGCGGAAGGGGAGAGGGGGCGAGCGGGGGGAGCGTCGACGGGGGCGGAAGAAACAGTTGCGGAGGGGAATACTGGGGATGTTGGGAAGGGGAATAGCGAGGGGAATGGGGAAGGGGAGAAGGGGGAGGGGAAGGGGATGGGAAATGCGCTGGGAAAGCGGAAGGGCGGGCGAGGGAGGAGTTTAGAGGAGGTTGGGGTGAGGGCAGGATCACGTCTTTTGGTGACAGGTGGCGGCAGGCGGTTGGGCGGCGAGATTGCGGCAGAGGGGAAGCGAGTGGTGGAGGAGGAAGCTGCGAGGAAAGAGAGGGAGGAGAGGTTGGCACGAGTGAGGTGAGGAATGGGGTGTGAGTGAGTGGCTGAAAGTGGGGAGGAACTGGATGCGGTAAGACAACTCAAGGGATGAAATAGGGGAAGGGGTGGCGCACACACGGCTCATGGGGTGATAAAAGTAGTGTTTTTGAGATGTCTCAAATCACTAATTTTACCACGTGTTGTGAATGGCAGAAAGTGGGGGGACTTGAGGGATCAATTAGGGGAAGGAGTGGCGCACACATGGCGCATGGGGTGGCTGAAAGAGTGGAATTCAGTGGCTAACATAGGAGGACGAAACACACATGGGCCATGGTGGGTAGTTGTCGTTGTTTCATTGGCACCTTCCTCTGTTCACTAACCACCACCGTCACCATCCCCCCTCCCCCCTCATCCTTCATCCTTCCCGCTTCCCCCTTCCCCCTTCCCCCTTCCCCTTTCCCTTTCCCCTTTCCCATCCCCTCCCCTTTCCTTCAACTGGTGCCAGGGCTGCAGCAGGTGCCATTGCGAGGAGAGGCAGGGCGGGCAGGGGGGGAAGGGGAGGGCAGGAAAGGGGAGGGCCTGACGATGGTGGGGATGATGATGATGATGATGATGACGATGATGCTGAATTGCTGTTAGAGAATCAGAGCGGGCAACGACTAGAAATGGCGCCAATCGATAAACGGTAAGACACGGCGTTCCTTTTTTTTTCCTGGACGGCAGGAAATTTCCTGTTACGGCTGCCCGTGTGCAGAAGTGCCAGCCTCAACGCCCAAAACGACTCTCCTCCCATCCTCTTCGTCGTGTGCATGCTTGTTATCATGTGTGCATGTATGCACAATGTGTATATGAAACCGGGACATGCTGCATGTCACGTGCACGTGTATCTTCCTATCCATGGCTTCGCCGTTACACGTTCCTCGGTTAATCCCCGCAGCTCCCTGGTGATATGAGAAGATTTTTTAGTCGACTCAAACATCGTCTTGTGTCACTTGTTTTGAGTCGACTCAAAAATACGTCCTGGTTTCTCGGCCACTCCCCCACAGCTCCCTGGTGTCTGGTCTGCTGCTGCACTCCCACGGTCGCGCACTCCTCAGCAAAGGAAACTTCGTGGAAGCCCTCCCTGTGCTCGAGATGGCCGAGGTGCAAATCTTCCGTTGCCTTGATATTCTCACACAGAGCGTCAAGACTGCCTTCTTACCTGTGTGACTTTTTGAAGATGGTCCGACCGATGGTGCATTGTGTTTTCAGATGCCTCTACGGATTGTGGTTGCACACTAGTCCAACGTGCCGCCTGTGGATGAGATGAACATGCAGGTTTTCATGCCATATCTTGCGCTGCGCCACTGTGTCGTTGTTGCAGGAAGCATTCAGCATCTGCGATGCCAAGATCACAGAGGTAACCAACCAACCCTCCCTTGTGACCAACCCTCCCTTGTGACCAACCCTCCCTTGTGACCAACCCTCCCTTGTGACCAACCCTCCCTTGTGACCAACCCTCCCTTGTGACCAACCTTCCCTTGTGACCAACCTTCCCTTGTGACCAACCTTCCCTTGTGACCAACCTTCCCTTGTGACCAACCTTCCCTTGTGACCAACCTTCCCTTGTGACCAACCCTCCCTTGTGACCAACCCTCCCTTGTGACCAACCTTCCCTTGTGACCAACCTTCCCTTGTGACCAACCTTCCCTTGTCTTCCAGCATTTGCTTTCTCTGTCCTGCTGCTCCCAACGGACTATTCCATGATTGCGCAGAAACGGGTTCCTTCTTTATAATGTACAGCTCAGCATCAACCCCACAGATCCATCCTTAATGTTACCACCCTCGCTTGCCGTACCATTATGCAAATTTCTTCTTGCTAAAAAATAAAATAAAAAAGCAACAGCACACACATGTTCTTCCAAGGCTCTTTCCCTTTCCTTCCATCCGTCCAGTCTATAGACAACATCCCCATGCTGCTATTGGACATCGTATGGTGCCACTACATGACAAAAAATGTCGCCAGTCTAGCATCCGCTAAAGGACGGCTTGCTGCCGCCCGGTCTGCTCTGCGCAAGGCGCACGGCGCAGACATGTCACGGCTGAGGTTGCTTCAGGGAAACTTCCGACCCGAGCTAGCCACGTGAGTAAAGAGATTCGAAACAGGTAGAGCACCGTTGTTTCTGGCTTGGGGGCTTGATAGGAGTATTTTCATTCTTTTGGGTTGCCATTTGATTAGGGTTCAACTCTTTCTCCTTACAATATCCTGCTTCACTGCGCATAGCTTCTCCGGCCTTCCTTCCTTCCTTCTCATGTCTGCTCGTCGTCTCTCCCTCAATTCCACCTTCTCTACTGAATTGTGTGTGTTTTTTGCTCCCTTTCCCCCGCCTCCCGTTGCCCATACTCGTTATAGGTACCTCCGTCTCGACCTATTAGACGCCATTGCAGCATACCACAGTGGAGACCTGACGCGAGCCCGCCCGCTACTAGCATCAGCCCAATCCCTCTTTCAGCAGGTACTGCCTGAAATGGTAAAGATTATATGGAGAATTATGGAGAAATTTTAAAAAATCATTATCTCAGTCCGTGTTTCAAAGGTACTGCATGCAATGGAGCGGCACCAGGTATTGCATGCAATGCAATGCAGCTCAGCCTTGTCAATATTTACAGCCTTGTCGATGGAGGGACTGTAAAATTGTTCTGCAGCCCCTCAATCTCGCGTATCTCACCTACCCGCATCTCTGCGCACTCCCCCTCATCCCCACTCCACCCTACTACGCCACCTCAGCTGCAGGTTTCAGACGAGTCATTGGCCAGCCTGGCAGGCATGGGCTTCTCGGCCAATGAGGCGAGGCGGGCGCTGCGCGTGGCGGGCGGCGACGTGAGCCGGGCGGCGGAGTTTGTCATCTTGCAACGGCAGCGGGAGGCAGAGAAGGCAGAAGAAGACAGAAGGCAGAGGCGGATGGAGAGGTGTGTGTGTGGGTGGGGGTGGGGGCAAGTGTGGGAAGCAAGTGTGTGTGCAAAGCACGTACGGATTTGTCTGTCCTGCATTGCTGCTCTTGAGAAACCAATCTGCTTGGTATTCATGATCCATGAGGCATGATGCGTGGTGCATGGTGCGTGCGTGCATGTGAATGTTGATGCGTCCAATGTGGTTGTGCTACCCACCACCAACCAACCATGCGTATGCATGCATGTGCATCACGTGTGCAGGGAGCAACGGGCCTATGGGAGGACGCCACGTGGCAAGAAGGTAGACATGCGGCTGCTGGACGAGCTGGCTGCGTACGGGTGAGTGAGCGAGCGGGTGACGTCATGCTGACGTCATTCTTGATCATGTGAGTGCGCAGGATTCCTAGGAGTACCTGAATTCCAGCTCTGCTATCCTTTGCAATTTATTTTTCCTCTTAAATTTGCAGAAAGACGCTATCACTTCACTCCATCCCCGTCTCCCCATCCCCCAACCCAATCTCCATCCCCGTCCCCCATATCACCTCATCTCTTCACTCCACTCCCCTGCTTCTCCCCACCATCCCAGCTTCACTCGGCGAGTGGCAGCAGAGGCACTCAGGCAGAGTGAGAACCATCACCAGAGCGCCCTCGACGCCCTTCTTGACCCCAACTCTTTGGCCGCTCTAGAGGCAAGCCCACCATCCAAGCCCCTCTGTATCCCTCTCTACCGCTCTAAACCACCACGAGAGGGCCCTAGACGCCCTTCTTGACCCCAGCACCCTCACTGCCCTCGAGGCAAGTCCACCTCTCGGCTTTCTTGACGCTTTCATCTTTGCTCATTAATGTGGCACAAACGGACCACGAGGCAACTCCTTAACCGCCTACAATCCTCCACACACCACCACGCTCTCAGGTGAACAGTGAGATTACCTGACTTTGGGTCCTGCACTCACTCTCAACCCTGCACGCTTCCACACGAGGTGACTTTTGAGTCGACTCAAAAGTCACCTCAGGTGAACACTGAGATTACCTGACTTAGGGTCCTGCACTCACTCTCACCCCCGCACGCTTCCACACACCCACGTGCTTTCAGGTGGCAGTGGCGGAGGGAAGAGCTTTTTTTTGTGTCGAATAAAAAATCTCCCCTGCACTCCTCCACACACCCTTGTGCTTTCAGGTAGCTTTTGAGTCGACTCAAAAGTCACCTTTTTTTGTGTCGAATGAAAAATCTCCCCTGCACTCCTCCACACACCCTTGTGCTTTCAGGTAGCAGAGGTGACTTTTGAGACGTCTCAACAAAAATCTCTCCTGCACTCCTCCACACACCCTTGTGCTTTCAGGTAGCAGTGGCAGAGGGGAAAGCGGATGGTGGCAGGAGGAGGCACAGCAGAGGCGGTGGTGGTGCTGGTGCTGGCGGTGCTGGCGCTGGTGGTGCTGGCGGCACGTGTTCTGATGACTCAGTGGCAGCTCTGGTTGCTCTGGGCTTCTCTGCTCACCAAGGTACCTCCTCCTCCTCCTCCACCATCAAGGTATCTCATCAGAGGCGGGGTAGGTGGAGCAGCAGGTGCTGGCGGTGCTGGCAGCACGTGTTCCGATGATTCAGTGGCAGCTCTGGTTGCTCTGGGTTTCTCTGCTCAGCAGGGTAGGTACTTCCTCCTCTGTCAAGGAATCTCATCAGACGCGGTGCAGGTGGGTCAGCGGGCACAGGTGACGGCACAGCTGGTGGTGCTGGCGGCACGTGTTCTGATGACTCAGTGGCAGCGCTGGTGGCGCTGGGCTTCTCTGCTCAGCACCTGCTTAGTGCCATGCTGTACCATGCCATGCCGTGCCGTGCTATGTCTTACCATGCCATACCAAACTCATGACATGCCGTACCCACTCTTTCCCCCCACACGCTCCCCTTCAACTCCAGCCCGACAAGCCCTAGAGGCCAGCGGCAACGACGTGGAAGCAGCCGCAGCAGCTTTGCTTCAAGGGGAGTATGGGGAGGCTGAAACTGGGGAGTGCTCATCGTCCCCCCCCAAGTTCATTACCTTACATCCCCGTCTCCCCCTTTCTCCCGCCCCTCCAACCCTCACACAGCCCGGCGTGCCTTAGAGGACAGCAGCAACGACGTGGAAGCAGCGGCAGCAGCTTTGCTTCAAGGGGAGTATGGGGAGGCTGGAACTGGGGAGGGCGGGGCAATGGGGAAGGAGGGTCAATAACTAAATACTAACCATGTCCCCTACACACCACCCTTACACACCCCACACAGCCCGACAAGCCCTAGAGGGCAGCAGCAACGATGTGGAAGCAGCAGCAGCATCACTGCTGCAAGGGGGGTATGGGGCAGCTTTTAAGTCGACTCAAAATTCTCTCTCCCCATTCCCACATATTCCCCCCCCTACGCACCCCTCCCTAATTCACAGCCCGGCGTGCCCTAGAGGGCAGCAGCAACGACGTTGAAGCAGCAGCAGCAGCTCTGCTTCAAGGGGAGTATGGGGAGGCTGGAACTGGGGAGGGCGGGGGCAGTGGGGAAGGAGGGGAAGGGGAGGAGGGGAACGGGGCAGGGGAACGGGGCGCTGGGGAAGAGGGGATAGAGGGAACTGGAGGAGCAGGGGGGATGGATGTTGATGGAGGGGAAGGGAGTGAGGGAGGGAGTGAGGGGAGTGAGGAGGAGGAGGAGAGGGATGAGGAGATGGAGGGGGAAATAAGGAAGGGCGTGAGTGGGGATCCCTATGCTGAGTACGACTTGGATGTCTCGTTAGAAGCTGCTGCGATTGAAGAATACTCCAAGCTTATTATTGGTACCGGTAACAGTGAGAATCTCTGATTGGTGTACACTTGGAGCGTATTCCTATCCTCCTATCAATCTGACCTCCTATCAAGCTCGCACTGAAAAATCCCCTAAACCCAAAACTTCTCGCTACTTTTACCAGGCAAAAAGTACAATCTTGATAGGAGGTGGCCTTGATAGGAGGCCGTAGGAATACGCCCTTGGTGTAAGTTGAGGCAAAGCTGTGAGGTGGTGTGAGTTGCTAAAAGTTGCTACAACTGGAGGCAATGTACCATACCTGCTCTACGCCGAGTGATTCTATAGTAATGCGCATCAAAGATACTTTGTATAATGCATCATTAGCTCCGCTTCTTGTTTGGTGCCATAGGAATTACAAAGTACTGTACAGGACAGGCAAAGAATGCTCTCTAAGTTTCCTGAGTCCTCCAGAATGAGTACCGTAAGTTTTCTGAGAGCAGCAGACCAGCAAACTGCTTCACAGCCCAAGCTCTAACAGCCCATACTGCAACTGCCACCAAACCCAAATTACCAATGACTCCTTCCAGGTCCCTTCCAAAATCACGCCAAACGCTGCTCACCCCTCCATGCCGCCCATATCCGCGTCCATCACAGCACCCCTCAGCGCTCCCACCTCCTCTCCCTCCTCTCCTCCTTGTCGCCCTCCTCCTCGCCCTCGCTCCCCTCGCTCTGCTCCCCCTCTTCACCCGTCCATATTCGCGTCCATCACAGCACCCCTCACCTCCTCTCCCTCCTCCTCTGCTCCTCGTCACCGTCCTCCCCACCCCACTTCCCCTCACCCTGCTCCCCCTGCTCACCCCTCCATATCTGCATCCATCACAGCACCCTTCACCCGCCCCACCTTCACCTTCATCTTCCTCTCTACTGCCCTCTCCGCCCTCGCCTCTGCCGCCGCCCCCCACCCTCTCTCCCCTCACTCTGCCCCCCCTGCTCACCCCTCCATATCCGCATCCATCACAGCACCCTTCACCCGTCCCACCTTCACCTTCATCTTCCCCTTCAGTTTCCTCTCCACTGCCCTCTCCGCCCTCGCCTCTGCTGCCGCCCTCGCTCCTCCCACCTCCTCGCCCTCCTCCATGGCAACTGCAATCGCCTTCTCCTTGGCTGCTTGCTCCGCCACTGATGCAGAGAGCGTGGAGAGAGGCTTGGGGAGGGTGAGGGACGGGTCTGCTGCGAGCGCTGCTGGGGCCTTCACTAGATGAATTCCGGTTTCGAGTTCCTGGCGCGCCTGCCGCCGCTCCTCCTTCGTCTTCACCTTCATTCTGTTTGGGGGGAGAGGGAGAGGACGGGGGAAGAATGCAGGGAGGGAGGGAGGAAGAGGGTAAGTGAGGGGTCTGCTGCGAGGGCTGCTGGGGCCTTCACCAGGTGGATTCCCGTTTCGAGTTCTTGGCGTGCCTGCCGCCGCTCCTCCTTGGTTTTCACCTTCATTCTGTTTGGGGCAAGGGAAGGGCGGGGAAAGAATGCGAGGAGAGAGGGAGGATGAGACAGAGTGAGGGAGGGATTGGCAGCGAGTGCTGCGGGTCTTCACCAGGTGGATTCCCGTTTCCAGCTCTTGCCGTGCCTGCCGCCGCTCCTCCTTGGTCTTCACCTTCATTCTGTTTGGGGCAATGATGGGGCGAGGGCGGGGGGAGGGAGTAACAGGGGAAGAGAGCAGGAGGTCAAGAGGAGCTGCGTGCCGAGCCTGCTGCGCCCGCTGCCTTATTCCCTCCCACTTCTCCCTGTCGTTCACTCGCAGCTGACAAATCATCCCCGATTGACTCACCTACTCACCTGCCATTCTCTCCCTCCCCATTCTCCCAGCAATCGGCTCAGACTTGCAGGCAGCCATCGCACAGCACTCACCGCTTCTTCCAGAACTTGGCCTGTCGTTTCACCCTCAGCTCATCAATGCGCTTCATGGCCGCCACCGTCGTCGCCACCCACCGCCCTTTCCCCCTGTCTTAACCCCCCATACCCCATAGCACTCACCGCTTCTCAACCCCCCTCACCCCTTCACCCCACTCACCGCTTCTCAACCCCCCTCACCCCTTCACCCCACTCACCGCTTCTCCCAGAACTTGGCCTGCCGCTTCACGCGCAGCTCATCAATGCATTTCATGGCCGCCACCGTTGTCGCCCCCAGCCACCGCCCTATCCCCTCCCTTAGGCACCCAGTAACCCCAAAGCACTCACCACTTCTCCCCTATTTTCACAGCACTGACCACTTCTCCCCGACTCACCGCTTCTCCCAGAAAATGGCCTGCCGCTTCACGCGCAGCTCGTCGATTCGCTTCATTGCCGCCACCGTCGTCGCCACCACGTTGCGGTCGTACCGTTCGGGCCGGTTGCGCCTCCTCTCCATCTCAAAGGTTGTGTCCTGCGGGAGGGGGACGCGGTTTGCGTTTGGGGAGTTGGGAAGGGGGAGCGGAGGGACGGAGGGTGGGGGGCAGGAAAGGGGGGAAGGGTTAGGTTTTCGGGTTTGGAGGCGCAGGCGGGCACCCGGGTGGAGCCTGTGGTCTCTCATTGCCGCCACCGTCGTCGCCACCACGTTGCAGTCGTACCGCTCGGGGCGGTAGCGCCTCCTCTCCATCTCAAGCGTCGTGTCCTGCGGTGGTGGGGGACGCATGGGAGGGGGGCATGGAAGGAGTTGGGAGGGGGGAGGGGGGAGGGCGGAGGGACGGAGGGTGGGGGGCAGGGAAGGAGGGAAGGGTTGAGTGTTTTGGGGTTTAGAGGCGCACGAGAGCGCACGGGTGGAGCATGTGGTCTCTTCAGAGCCGCCACTCTCGTCGCCACCACGTTGCGGTCGTACCGCTCAGGGCGGGGTTGCGCCGCCGCTCCATCTCCAACGTCGTGTCCTGGGGGTAGGGGAGGAGGGGGAGAGCGGGCGTGGGGGGAAGGGCGGGAGGGAAGAGTTGCACTTTGCGCGGATTGCGGGAAGAAGGCGGATGGGAGGAAGGGCAAGGGGGAAGAACTCACGGCGGCGAGGTCTTTGCCGTGCAGGCGGCGGTACGCCTTGGTCCATCGCACTTTGCGCGGGTTGCGCTTCAGCTTGAAGTTCCGGTGGCACTTGGACCGGCAGAACCGGAACACCTGCCCGCACACCGCACAGAAACGAGAAAAAATTGAATTCCTCAAAACACCGCGACGAGGCGGGGTCTAATAGGCTAGCTGTGTTAATCTGAGGTATAGAGCCCCCTCAAGACTGAACGGAATCCGTTAAGGATTTCACTTCACCTTGGCGACATTCCGCTTCCGTCCCTCACCTTGGCGTCATTGCGCACGTAGCAGATGCCGTGACCGGGATACACGGTCGACGAGCAGAACCAGCACTTCTCTAATCTCATCGCGCTGCGCCGATGAGCGACTCGATACTAAGTTCTGACAACGGGCCGTAAACTCGCCGCCGAACGAAGCGCGGGTTCCGAACGTAGCCGATTTTCTCTGCACACTAAGCGTGGAATCCCGGCGAATATGTGGGTGCGGTTGGAATTGCCAGGATTAACGCTAGGCGAAATCACCTACTACAGCGAGAAGCCTTCGGTAATGCCCTGTGCACCTACCACAGCAGACTGCTTCTGAGGAAGCTGAAAATAGTCAATGCGGGAGGGATACTTCAAATACGTCTGGAAAGAACTAATCGGAGAGTGGCACGCAGCACGACTCGAGGTGTGCGACTGGGACAAGGCGAGCCGCAGACTGCACGGCGCAGGCGTCAACGACGGCGTGCGACGGTAAACGGAGCCGAGCACAACACACTCGAAAAGTACGAAATACTGGGGCTTGGGAAATAAGTACGCCCAGGTCTAGGATTTTGTCTCTAGGGTTTGGGTATTTGGGAGGGAGGTGGGTTTGGTGGGTAACGATACATGTGCGAGGCGAACTGACGAGAACCTATTATAAGGTTACAGTTACGGAATACACATTATTCCCCAATCATCCAAGCGAGTTAGCTATTTTTAATAAGTAAATTGTTGATTGCTCAACGAATCTCATATCCAATTACCTTAGGGTTGACACAGAAATGTTCAGGGATATCTTATCGCTTGAGCACTGGGAGCAAACCACAGTTCACGGTGCCACTCGTCTTGGGCAGGCGAACCACACGAATGGGCGTTGTTGTACTGCAACTGCAACTGGTGACACTTGTAGTAACCACTTGAAACCTGTGTGTTGTACGGTGTCGCCTCATGTGACCACGATCCATCCTTCAAATGTTGCTGATCCAAATCCATTTGCTGCGTGAAACCAGATGCTTGTACCGGAACTTGCTCAAACGGATACCACTGCGGAACACCTGAGTGCCTCACGGTTGAAGTCCAGGATAATGGTTCCAAAGCATGTGTTCCATTGACACCCCAGAGTGCAGCTGCTTCTGAAACTGATATATCCTCCTGAAATTCAAAAAGAGTGTGGCAGGGAGTATGCACCCAAGGGCGCACCCCACCCCCTCCACACACACTTCCCCCTTCCCACGTGCTCCTCCCATCCCACGTGCTCACTCCTTCCCACCCATTCTCATCCCAATCCACCTCTGTCTCCACGGGCCATGCTGTGAAATCCGCTGATTGCAGCCATCGCTGCACTTTCAATGCCCCCTCCATTCCCGCTGCCGCCGCTGCTGCTGCAGTTGCTGCTGCCACTTCAGCTGCTGCCGCCGCTGCTGCTGCTGCTGCCGCCGCTGCGGCTGGTGCTGCTGGGGATCTCCATGCCTCTTCCTGCACTTGCACCTCGGGCAGGTGAACCTGCCCGTACAAATCGTGACTCCGGTTATCAGAGAGATGCAGTTTCTGAGGCGACCCAAAGATCAACACTGGCATGCCTCCTTGATAAGCCTCTGTCTGATAAACCTCAGGCCTATATGCCTGTGCTTGGGGCTGATAAGCCTCTGCCTGAAACTCTGCCTGATAAAGCTCTTGCTGATAAGCTTCTGGCTGGTAAACCTGCTGGTACAGATCCGTACCCCCACATTGTGCTTGGGAAGCTGCTGCACCTGGTGCAGGCCTCCCCAGCCTTGCTCGCGCCTCCCACCTGCGGTATCACTCCACCCGGCAACCTCCTTCTGGCCTGCAAACTCCCTCTGGCCGGCAACCTCCGTCTGGTCGGCAAGCGCCGGCTGGTCTGCAATAGCTTGGCCACTGAGCCGCCCGGCTGGTAGTATTTGGGTAATAAGCGTGCCTGCTGCATCACAGCCCCCTGCCCCCTGTTTCCCTGCAGTGCAAGGTCTCACACGCTGCTTCTTCACAGCCACTAGGTCTGTAGTTGCTGCTGCTGCTGGTGCTGCTGGTGCTGCTGGTGCTGCTGGTGCTGCTGGTGCTGCTGGTGCTGCGGGTGATGCGGGTGCTTCAAGCCCTGTTGGTGCCAATGCCACTGCTGCTGCTGCTGCTGCTGCTGCCGAGGCTATGGTTTCCCCTCGGAACGAGGGCCGTCGCATGGGATCACACGAGCCCGTGACAGCCTCCTCGCAGTTTCTGCGGGTGGTTCCATCAGCACCGCCTGCCTTCCCACCCCTCCGATTCAGAGTTTCACCGCGCTTCAGCCCGTGCGTTGGCGTTGGCGTTGGCGTTGGCGTTGCTGGCTCCTTGAACCCACCAGCACTGCTGCTGCCACCGCCACTGTCGCCACCAGTCCTGCTACCGCTACCACCACTGCCGCCGCCACCGCTGCCAACCCCAGCCCGTTTCTCCCCTCCCCTGCTGCCATCCCCACGAGTGCGCACGAACGTCAACCTGCCAACGAGTGCTCTGAGCGAGGATGCGAGGCGGCCGGGCGGGGTTGCTTCGGGGGAGAAACACTGCGGCTGGTCCAGACGCGGAGCAGAGGGAAGGACGGTTGTGGCACGGGGAGATTGGGATGCCTCTGTGACACTGCAGCCTCTAAGAGATTCACCATAGCAGCCTGCGTCTGATAGAACTCTGCTGCTGGAAACACTTCTGCATACATCTTCATCCCTGTCTCCCTCATCCTCTTCCTCTCCATCTGATCCCTCTGCTTCCGCCTCCCTTTCCTCGCCCAAGGACTCGTCTCTCGGACTCCCAACCGCAGCTCCAAGGCTCTTCACTCTTCCAGAGTCTAACCACTTGTTTGCCTGATTGTCTGCCGAGGGAAGGACGGATGACGCGCGAGACGCTATGCGGTTACCAGTGCGAGTTCTATCACCCTCCTCGTCGCTTGCCCGTGCTGCATCCCCGTCAATTCCATGCGATGCAGCAGCTGCATTCCCTAGGCGACTCTTGGGTAGACTCACAGGCGCGGCGTCAAAATTCACTGCATCATCCCCCATGCTCCTGTTGCGCCTCCGCTGGGCATGCGCGGAGGGAGACACGCGCAAAGGCCCGCTGTTACCCCTCTTCGCCCGCTCCTTGTGCTGCTGCCGCCGCCCATCATGCTCCGTTAATTGCCGCCCGTGCTGCGCCAGCTGCGGCCCATGCTCCGTCATTTCCAGCTGTCGCAGCTCTGCCAGTGACCCGATAGTCTTCCTGCTGTGCGCCCTCGCGCTGCTACCGACAATGGGCGGCCTTCCCTTGCCAGAACATTCTCCCCCAATGCCAACTCCTCCAACACCACTCGGTGCTCCCTCAAAAAACTCCTTCAGAAGGTTTTCCGTCAATTCCCGCTTCTCCCGCTCCTTGGCTCGCGCGCTGCTACCTACCACCGGCGACCTTCCCTTACCGAAGGATGCACCTTCAAGAATCCCCTGCTCCTTCAGGAGGTTATCATTCAACTTCCCTTTCTTCTCCCGCTCTTTCCCGCCACACGATGCTTGGGGAGACCAACCCCTCGCTGCCACAACGGCTGGCCTTTTCAGCAAGTCACACGAATCCAGCGACCTCCTCTCCTCCGCCCTCTCCTTCCTCCTCTCGCCGCCGCATTGCTGCGATGATGCCCCCCGCGCTGCTCGCCTTCCGGCCGACTCAGACGGCGGCTGCGGGTCACCTGCCCGTGCTGTGGGAGACACTTTTTCCGCCACCTGTCGCGGAGATCTCCGCGCCGGCGACTCAAGCGTCCGCGGATTCTCCGCTTCTGCGCGAAGCGGCGGCTGCGGGTCACCCTTCCTTGTTGCGGGCGATACTTTTTCCGCCGCCTTCCGCGGAGACCCCCGCGCAGTCGACACGAGCGTCTGCCGATTCTCCGCTGCTGCGCGAAGCGCCGCTCTTTCCGCCGGCTGTCGCGGTGACCCCCTGCGCGCGCCCTGATTCGTGGCGGTAACCGTAGTAGTACTATTCCTAGTGGTAGCGGTAGGAGTGCGAGGGGACGCCGCGAATCGCGCAACAGCCCATCTCATGTCCGTCTCCGCCGCCGCCGCGTCCGCGTCCCGCTCGCGCCAGGGAACGGGAGATGCGGCGGGAGGTAATGCCGCGAGAAAGCATGTTCCGGAATGGAAGGCCGCAGATATGTCAGTCCCTGTATAATACGCGTCGCGTCTGGCGGCACGCCGCGAGAACGCATCGTGGCCGTTCATTACCCGATGATGCTACTAGCGACAGCCGTAACGACTACTACACCGTGAAGTGGCTTCCCGAGTCGCAACGTTTCTGACAGGCGCGCCTCCCGGCGTCGAACGGCGGCGTTTCGCTGTTTCGCCGACTGATGGTAAAAGGAAGTTCGCGACGTTGCTTCGTAGCGTGCTTGAGCAAAAAAAGAGAAGGTCATTTTTGAGTATCTTCAAGAAAAGCCAACAGATGGTCAAAACGACGCTCCTATGAGGCCCAGGCCTTATCGATGGTCAAATCGATGATGTGAGTGAGTAGGCAAATCCCCCTTATCATCCTATGTGACTAGGCATTGCAGCCTTATCGTCCTGTGCGATGACACTTATAACTCCAGGTTATATCGCCAGGGTTTCATTTCGGATCGGATTGTGTCAGAGGATTGTCTCGACCGACACGTCTGCCGCATGATACGGCGAAAAAATCGCCGCGTGACGCTCGTGGCTTTCCAGCAGCGTCGTTTTCTATGCAGCAGCTCAGCAGCGCAGCGCAAGACATGAATCGCCTCATGCTAAGAATCGCGCGGCGTCGCAATTGTGTCGCTCAAATTCTCCCCGATGGGGCGTGTCCCTCGTGACAGCCGTGCTTTGAGAACAGATGTGCACGATTGAACCGCGTGATTCCCATCCCACCCCAGTGCGTGGGAAGGCGGGTGCATAGAACGCCACCCCCCAACCTCCTTGCATTTGTATGACTCTATAATCAATCAACGGACAAACCGAGAAACATGTGAACCTGCTTCCGTGATGACTCTGAAACGCGACGCAACGCAATCTACGCGTCCTTCCCCGTCCTTCCACCCTGTACTGCATGGGCAGCAGCACTAAACTGGAACTGCTCTTCGGTGGTGCTATCATCAAATTGTTGGTGGCCTGATGTAAGCAGTGCATCTGCGCAGGCAACAGCCAAATGGGCAATGTCAGGTGGAGGTGAGCAGTGCGCATCAATCAAGCTAGGCCGGGCCGTAATGATACAAGCCAGAGGTGGGGCATAGCTTGTTGCTTTCTATTGTCGTGGGTGTGCTGTGCGGCAGAAAAGAGTCGTTGTGGGCCGGGCGGGGGTGCTTGGTTCTCTCGCTCAGCTTCTCATCTCATAGTTCTTGCTCCACTGCCGTGCTCGATCGCAAATTCAGCCAATTTCCTCCTGTGGGCCAGTTCAGCCCAAACCTTGAATCCGCGGTTCGGTGTGTGGTGGTGTGAATGTTTTGACGAGGCGCGGGCAAATTCTGTCTGAAAATTATGCACTTATTTTGTGCTACAGCGCGTTGGCACGGCTGTGTTTTCTGTTCAAAGTTTAGGGCCGATGGGCGATTTCTGAGCTGGCGGGCAACGATGGAAATCCCGTTGTGAAGCTGGCAGATTTGATGGAATTAATGAAACTGTTCCCCCCGACTTCTGCGCATTTGATGGATGTGCTGCAAAGCAGCTTGTTTTACAGAGTTGATTTGACTTGGCCTCACAACACCATAATAAGTAAATACACAAAAAAAAGTGTTAATGGATAAAAAATCCAGTTTATATTAACCCCCAATGCAATCATGAATGTTACTGCAACAGTCCATCGTTGGAGATCCCAAAAACATAAATCTTGAACGTGCTGCATTCAACATCACCCATTGCTGCCCTTGTGTCATATCAACCCGGAAGCCTGGGTGCCGCATCGGCAGCCGCCCCACCCCATGACGCGCTGCGCTTTCTATCAATCCTTGATCCGGATCCGGCAATCCCAGAAGCAGGTGGCATGCCGTAAGGTGGTGGATAAGCCATAGCACCTGGAACCATGATTCCCATGGAACCACCACCCGCCATACCTCCCCCCACAAGGCCCACAGCAGGAACCATAGAGCTCCAATCAGCAATTGGTACAGCACTATGAGACGGCCGATGCCGGCCGCCCGTGGCAACAGCACTACCACCACTAGTACCAGGTAAGATTCTGTTACCAGGAGCAGAGCCGTCACTGTTTACACACAAGGTGGTGGCGGAATCAAAGCTTCTACTGCCAATGCGGTAACCAGGTAACGGGTTACCAGCCTGGAGATTATCAGGTCCAATCCCGCAAGGCAGGGGTCCAGATGAGAAAGGCTCGGTTGCAGAAACACCTGAAGGGAAACCCCTGGGTAGTGGGGGGAGATTGCTAGAGGAGGGATTGAAGTTGCTAAAAGAGGGAGGGAGATTGCTGGAGGAGGGAGGGAGGGAAGTGGAGGTGGTAGATCGTGTGACAAGAGGGCTTGAGCCGAAGTCACTGAGAGGGTGAGAAACGGCTGTCCCTGGCCTACTTGCTGCTGACTGTTGAGTTGGTTCACAAAACACGAGCGTTTCGGGTCTCTGACCTGGCCTTGACCTTGCTGCCTGCACGTGCTGCTGCATCTGTTGCTGCTGCTGCTGCTGCTGCTGCTGCTGCATCTGCTGTTGTTGCATCTGCTGCTGCTGGTGCTGTTGCTGTTGCATCTGCTGTTGTTGCATGTGCTGTTGTTGTTGCTGCTGCAGTTGGTATTGCTGTTGCTGGTGCTGGTGCTGCTGTTGTTGTTGCATCTGTTGCAGCTGCATCTGTTGCTGCTGCTGTTGCGGTTGTTGTAACTGCGGCTGCTGCTGCTGCTGCCACAGGCCAGTTGACTGCTGCTGTAGAGCCAAGTGCGCTGCTGGCTGCACCTGTCCCTGCCACTGCCCCTCTCTCATTCCACCCATTCCCACAGCACCAGCACCACCAGGACCACCAGCAGCAGTACTATTCATCCCTGCTAGCCCTGGTGCTAGTCTGGTGCTCGGGCCTTGGGGCATGTTTCCTTGAAACTGCTGAAACTGCTGGTACTGCCACTGCTGCTGCTGCTGCTGCTGCTGCTGCTGGTACGGGGAAAACGTCCCTCTGTACACACCTCCCATGCTAGCACCACCACCCACTGCCCCTCCTGCTCCCGCGTGAGGCATAGGACCAAAAAACGCGCCTCCTAAGTTCCCAGGATACTCAGAGGGTAGAAATTGGCTTGCTACGTTTCCTGGAAAGTTCCCAGACTGTTGATCGCGGGAAGCTGATGATAGGTTTTGGTGCATCCCCCAAGGCTGATTCGTAGCTTCCTGCGACTCTTGATTATTCTTGTCTCCTGCTCCTGCTCCTGTTGCTACCGTTGCTCCTGCTGCTCCTTCTGCTCCTTCTGCTGCTGCTGCAGGTGCCCCCTGCGCAAGCATGCGTTTGATACGAGCAATCTTCACCTCTTTGGGTTCCAGCCTCCTCCTCCTCCTCTCCTCATCTGAATCCACCTCCTCCTCCTCTCTCCCCTCACCTTCCTCCTCCTCCTCCGCCTCCCCCTCCCCATCATCCTCCCCCTCTCCCTCCTCCTCCGCGATTCCCTCTCCTGCTCCCATCCGCCCCTTGTTTCTCTTCCCCACCACATCAACCTCTCCTTTCCCTTTCACCCCATGCCTCAACCTCCCCCCTTCTCCTCCCTGCCCATCCTCACCAGACCCGCCCCCATGCCCCTTGAACAGCCTCTGAATTAGCCCCCCACTGCTTCCCAAAACAGCACCAGCATCGCCTGACTTACCTCCTCCCAAAGCAAACGACTGGGATTTGAACAGCCTTGGCTTTAAGTCATCTTCATCTCTCCGCACTGCCACTCGCCTCACCTTGTCTTCCCGCACTCCCATTCGCCTCACCTCCCCGCCGCCTGCTCCCCCTCTCCTCACCTCTCTCCCACCCCCGGCCCCTCCTGCCCGTGTCCCCTCCCTACCACCTATTCCCCCAACTCCACCTCCCTTCTCTCCTCCTCCATTTGCTCCTTTCTCTCTTCCTCCCCTTTCGTTACCACTCCCTGCGCCCACCCCCCCTCTGCTTCCTTGAACAGCCATTGAGTGGCTGCGAGGAAAGTCGCCTTTAATGGGGCGTGCAGGCGCAGCAGCAGCAGCAGCAGCAGGACCACCAGCAGGACCACCAGCAGGACCACCAGCAGCCAAACTAGCACCAGAAGCAGGACCAGAAGAAGGGCCACCAGCAGCACCAACAGCCACAGAGTGGCTGCGGGGAAAAACGACTTTAGTGGGGCGTGCAGCAGGCACAGCCGCAGCAGCAGCAGCCGCAGTAGACGCAGCAGGACCACCAGCGGCAAAACCAGCACAACGAGCAGCAGAAGTAGCATCAGCACCAGTAGCAGCAGCAGCAGCACCGGCAGCAGCAAAACTATCGCCACCAGCACCAGCAGCAGCAGCACCACCACCACCAAAAACACCACCACCCCCAGCAGCAGCAGCAGCAGCAAGCGAGTGCATGGCATCAGCAGGAGCAGAAGAGGTGGGGGTGCTCTGGCAGGCAGATCCAGTAACCAACTGGTAACCACTTGGATCGAACCCTCCAGCAGAACCTGCTTGGAAGTTTCCATACACACGCTGTAGCTCCTGCAAGTATAGGAGTTGTTGCTGCTGGGGCTGCGGCTGTGTCTGTTGCTGCTGCTGTTGCGGCTGTGTCTGTTGCTGCTGCTGTTGCGGCTGTGTCTGTTGCTGCTGCTGTTGCGGCTGTGTCTGTTGCTGCTGCTGTTGCGGCTGTGCCTGTTGCTGCTGCTGTTGCGGCTGTGCCTGTTGCTGCTGCTGTTGCGGCTGTGCCTGCTGTTGTTGCTGCTGTTGCGGCTGTGCCTGTTGCTGCTGCATCTGCTGCTGCTGCTGCTGCAACTGGTGCTGCTGCTGCTGCTTCTGCTTCAACTGGTGCTGCATGGGAATTCCTGGCTGCACCTGCATCTGCACCTGCTGCTGCCCACTTCCACTCTGCTCCTGTTTCATGGCAATTGCGCCAGCACCAGGTGGTATACCACCCACAGCCGCACGTACAGCACCAGGTGGTATACCACCCACAGCCGCACGTGGAGCAGAAGCAGTATCACAACTACTCCCTTGTCTCTTCCTTTCGCCTCCTTTCCATAACTCCCCTTTTACTGCCACCCCCTCCTCGTCTTCCCCCTCCTCCTCCTCCTCCTCTTCCCATTCCTCCTCCTCTCCCTCCTCCTCTTCCCCCTCCTCCTCCCCCTCCTCCTCATCGTCCTCCTCCTCCTCCTCTTCCTCCTCCTCCTGATCCTCTTCCTCCTCCTGCTCCTCCTTCTTCCCTCTCCCTGTGCCACGATCGACGCGGGAAAGCCTTCCAGCCAGCTCAGAGAAAGACGCCCTTCCGGGTTGAAGCCTTCCGGGGGGGGCATTGCTGACGGAAACTCTATCATGCGTTTCAAGGGAAGGCGCCCTACCCGCATGCCGATCGCTGAGGGAGAGCCGTTCAGTCGGCTGAAAGAACGAGGTCCTCCCTGCATGCCGATCGCTGAGGGAGAACGCCACAGGGAAGCACTCAAGGGACCCGCCTCTCCGCCTCCTCACCTGCTCCCGCACTTTCCTAGAAGCTGCCTTTTCATTCGGCTGTGACTCAAAAGAAGCCTGCACCGGCACTTGTCTCCCCACGGAAGACGTTCTTCCCCGTCCTCCCCCTCCTCTCGTCTCTTCCGAATGGGAACTCAGATGCAAGAATCGGAGGAGCTCGTGTATACTCCCCATACTCCCTCCCCTCGCCTTCCTCCGTCCCTTCTCCTCTCCCCTCCCTTCCCTCCCCGCTTCCCTCGCCCCTTCCCTCTCCCCCCTGCGCCTCCCCCAAGCCTCCTCCTCCTCCTCGCCTTCCTCCCCCTCCCCCTCCCCATCCTCCGCCTCCCCATTGTCCCAGAAGGAAACCCGCCTCTGCCGAACCTGCTGCCCCTCCGACCCTGCAGTCGACGTTTGGGACCTCCCGGCCTCATCCCACCCTGCAGCATCAACTCCTCTCATCATCCCCACAGCCTCACTACCTCCGCTCATATCGCCCCCTTCCTTCCCCACTGCCCTGCTTCTGCCCTCGTTACAAGCATCCTCCGACGCATCTTTTTCACACGAATCCCCATCAAGATCATCCGCGGCATAAGCATCTTCCTGCTTTTTGGGCTGCTGCGGCCGCCCACCAGACGAAGCTGACTTGGGGAAAGCATGGTGGTTGGTGGAATCGGCGCCTCCTGTGCAAGTGGAGTAATCTAAGTCGCTCGCACACCTCTGCACCTGCCCTCCCTTTCCTGACCTTCCACCTCCTCTACCTCCTCCTGCTCCTCCTCCTCTTCCTGCTGCAGCTACAGTGGCAGTCGCTGCCTGTGATGCTGCTCGTTGCCCTCGCCGTTTCTCTAGTGGCTCTGGCCTATCAGGGTGCCTCTGAGACACATCAGAAGAATTATCTCGTGATCCTACCATATCAGGGTGTCTTTGAGATCTTTCAGAAACATTATCTTGTGATCCTGCCATATCAGAGAGCTTCTGAGATTTATCAGAAACATGATTAAGGGCTCCTGTCCTGTCACACCCATCCGTGGACGTCGACGATCGAGCACTGCTGTCCCCTTCCCTCCCTCGCCTGCTCTCCCCTTTCCCCCCTCGCCTGCCCTCCCCTTCCCCCCCTCGCCTGCTCCCCCCTTCCCCTTTTCGCTTAGTCTCCCCATCCCAACTTCCCCTGCTCCCCCTTTTCCCCCCTCGCCCGCTCTCCCCATCCTCCCTATAAGCAGACTCATCCCCATGCTCAAGCTCTGCTTCCCACTGCGGCATCTCCCCTGCAGACTTCGACCTTCGCCTCACAAGTGCACGCCCCTCCCCTTCCTCAGCCCCTTTACTCTTTGTCCTGTACACCCTACCTTCATCATCAGCAGCAGCAACACCAGCAGCAGCAGCAGCACCACCACCACCAGCAGCAGCAGCAGCGCCAGCACCAGCACCATCAGCACCACCAGCAGCACCACCAGCGGCACCAGCACCACCAGCACCACCAGCAGCACCACCAGCGGCACCAGCAGAAACACCATAACCAGCTGACACAGCTGCAGCTGCGGTTGCTGCCTCTCCGCCGAACCTAGTCTTGCTATAGGTACGGGTCGGACCTATCTCCAGCACCCCTACTTCCCCTTCAGAACCATGTCTCCTCCTACCTCTCCCCGCTCTCTGCCCTCTTGACACAGACGGCGATTTTGACAGCATCTGGGGGCGGTGGGAACTGGGGGCGGCCAGGTGAGTGCCACCTAACTTACACTGAGAGCCAGTTCCAGGTGAGTTTGCACCAGAATTATACAAATCTCCTCCTCCCCTTACACCCTCCCCATCCGCCTCTCCCCCTCCCATACCCACACCATCATCCTCATTTCCCCTGCTGCCCCAGTCCAAAGGCAGGGAACCTTCCGAAAGGTTTCTCAGGTGCCCCGATCCCTGACGTGGCAGCAGCTGCTTCTGACGCTGCTGCTTCCCCTTCATCTCCACCTCCTCACCTTTCAGCTTACCCCTCCCCTTCCCTCCCTTTTCCTCTGCCTCTTTCCCACTTCCCTTGCCCCCTCTCCCTGTTTCCCGCTCCCTGCTCTCCCTCCCACCCCTGCCCTCCCTTCCTGCCTTGTCCTCCCTCTCTCCCTGTATCTTCCCTTTCGTATCATCCAAGTCTCCACAGCTCCTTTCCGCGACGGTCATCACACCCAGCAGCAGCGTGGTCTTGAACGGCGCCACCTGACCATCAACCTGGCTTTTCACCTGAGCGTCTCCTCCAGGTGAAACCAGCAGTGGATGGGTCACCTCTGCCTGTAACCCCGTTATCACACGTAACTCTAAGTTAACAGTGAAAGCAGTTGCCGTGGGCATGGGTTTTAAGGACGAGCCGCTGGCGTTAGTGGAGGAGACTAAAGGATTAGAGGAGATTAAAGACATGGGGACCAGATGAAGCGGGAAAACCACACTATCTGGTCTAGGTTCGTCGTCCATCACTAAAGACGAAACCGTCGCCACCCAATCATCAACAATCGTCGTCCCATCGCTCAAATCGAAAATGCTTCGGCCAATCAACGAAGCGTCTGCCGTTGCCACGTCACCATCGTTCCCATCCTCCCCCTCCGACTCCCTCTCCGTTTCCCCCCCTCCTCCTCCATCTCTGTGCCTAATGCCCTCCCCCATGGTCCACCTAATCGCTGCAGCACTGGCGGCTTTGATTTGACCTCGCACGTCCAGCAGCAATGCTGCCAACCCCTGTCGCCCCACCCGCTGCTGCAGCTGCTGCTCTGCTAAGAGCGACTCCAGTAGCAGGCTATAAGCGTCTTGTGCAGCAGCAGTAGCTCTAGTAACTCCAGTTGAAGCCTGCTCACGTCCCTGGACCTCTGACTCGACTCTCTGGTCCCTGCTGCTCCTCCTGCTGCTGCTTCTGCTGCTACTGCTGCTGCTGTTTGCAACGCTGCCATCCCCACTGCTACAGCTGTTCCTGTTCCTGCTCCTGCTGCTCCTGTTGCTGCAGCCGCCAGCGCTGCTGCCGTTAACGTTGCTGTGGCTGCTGCTCGCACGAGAGGGGGACCTTGTGAGGCTATGAGCTTGCTGCTGCGCCTGCTGCGCCAGCAGTGCCTGCTGAACCTGTTCGCTCTGCTCTCTCTGCTGCGGCTGCTGCGGCTGTCTTGGCTGCTGACTTTCCAGGGCAGCGGAGGCAGAAGATGAGCGAGAGTGCGAGGCGGGCAACCGAGACGACTTGCGACGAGCGGAGCCTTCAGCCATCGGCGCGTGCGCGCGGAATCTTCCTTCCGCTGCTTCTGCTGCAGAAACCCTGCTCGACTCGCCCATGGCTTCAGACCCGCATGACGTTCGAGCCGGCTCAACGGTTATTTCTTGTCCGCAGGAGCCCTCTCCCGCTGCCTCTGCTGCGGAAACCCCGCTCGACTCGCTTACGGCTTTCGTCCGCCGAGCGCGAACCTTACTCGTTGCCTCTTTCCGCGCCCTGCCGCCCCCTTCTGCCCAGTCGCCATCTCCCGCTCCGAAGCGCGAGCTGCCTCGGATTTCAAACACGCCTTGAGTTTCCTCGTCGTTTCTGTGAACGTTTTGATTCGTCCTCCCATCTGGTTTAATTTCTAGGGTTTCCTCGCTACAGTGTCTCACGGAGCCGTCTTCGTCTGCATCCGCAATCCACGGCGCATCGTGCGCCATGAAACGCGCGGCTTCGTCGGCCACGTCATCGTGAATCACGATGCTGGACTGCGACCCGCTGCTCGTATTGGCTCCGGCCACGTCATCACGCACTAAAGAACGAAAGCGAATCGCCTTATCCGCGGAGTCGACGGCCTTCAGACCCACGTCCTTTACTCGCGACGCGTCAGAGTCGTTTCTTTTATCGGAAATCCTTCCGGAATGGCGACGGCTTACCCTGGCTCCTTGGCTCAGGGTCGCACCGCGAGAGCCGCCGTGAGGAGCGCCATGGCCTGTAGCGTGTGCTGACGTGTACAGATCCATGGAGGCATCGGAATGCACGGCGACGCAAGCCGGCGACATGGTTACCAGGTTTTCGACAACGGAAGCCCCATGTTCAGGCAAACGGGAGTGTCTTAAGAATCTAAATAAATATTTTCGCTAACTACGTCAATGGGATATAATTCTGGGGGTCCAAACGCTTCAGTGGCGATAGTCTACTATGGACAAGAAAGCCGTGAATTTGCATATTAGGCTTTTAACGGCGCTTTGCCGCCTCTTATTTAATGCATTAACCATTAACTCCCAAACGTTTCTTTCAATGACTGAGCGGACTGGATGCTCGGCTGAGAGAGTAGACCGAGTACACACTGACGGAGCATACCATCAAGGCAAAGGAGACAAGTGCGTTGAGCGAATGAGGATTGAGAAGAACGTTGTGAATCGTGACTGCTGAAAAGTAATTCTTGTGGTCAGCAGTTTCTCTTGAATCTCGATGTGAGGGAAGAAGAAATCGAGGCCTGAGGAACCTTGAGATTACCGCGGCGCGCTGTGTTGTGCACCACTCTGCGCCATCAGAGTGGTGCACCATACTGGCAACCAAATGCCTCTGGTTGCACCAAAAAATAGGCTGTCAGACGGGCAGACAAATTACGATTCCATCGAATATGAAGTAATAAAAATACATAATCTGCTACTAAGGTTGCGTAATTTCATACGAGACTTCGAGGTGAAGGGCTAAACGATTTATTTCGGGGCACTACGGTCTGCTTTTCCGGTGCAATTTCTCTTGTCCATTGGGACGGGGGTAGGGTATCACTGTGGATTTCGTGGTCGCATAAAAATCCCCACAAGTCAACCCACCCATCCACCAACCAACCAAGCACAACGCAAACAGGCACAGCAAGGTTCCCGAATCCCGAGGTGGTAGCTTCACTTGTCTTCCATAATCACAGACAATGGGCTCCGTTTGAGACAAGACAACCCAATAAGGTAAGGTACGTAGTGGTAACATTCAGCATCCAGGTTTTGGCCGAATTCTGGTGGTGTTGGCGAATTGAAGTCGTCCGGGCGAAACCAAAAACAAATGCAAGCAAGCAAGCACACAAGCATCCTACCTACTACTCTGCCATTTTCACTGAACAATATTTGAACTCACGACCTGCCCATAGAATCATCCATGCGCCAGCACAAACCACCAGCAATTACTCCATAATGGGCAAATAATACCGTAAGTAGAAATCTCACAGGCCCCTCTACGCATACAAATCAGCACCATCGTTTGACAACCCATACACCCATGTACTAGATTGTGACCGTTGCTGCTGCTGCTCCTGTTGCTGTTGATGCTGCTGCTGCTCCTCCTGCTGCTTCTCCTGGTGCTGCTGATGGTGCTGAAGGATCAGCACAGGAGCTGCCGCATCAGTGTGTGCAGCTTCCATCATTGCCATCCTGTGAATAATCCCCAGAGCGATGCTGCGGGAACGCTGATGGTGGCCCCTCCTCTCATGTCGCTGCGCCTCCCTGGTTTGCGCACAACCACCTGAAAAATCACCTGACGGTAAATCTGAACTGCCAGAAACCACGGCCTCATGCTGTGATGGTGCAATTCGACCAGCAACACCTGACATGGGTGGACTGGCAGGGGCAAGGTATGCCATGTCATGGCATGACGTGGCATGGCCTGACGTGGCATGGCCTGACGTGTCATGACACGAGGTGTCACTGTATTTTTCGATGTAGAAAAGTGGTGCATCATGGTATGCTTCATTCTGGAATGATGTGTCATGGCAACTTGGCTGCAGCTCTGCGGTGTTGTGCGGCGGAGACAGGTACGGAGGGTCGAGATAGCTTGTATGGAGGATGGGGAAAGAGGCAGGCGCATGGGAGATAGGTCCCGATGGTACGCCTTCAACTTCTTCAGCTGCTGCTGCTCTGTATGCAGTCAAAGCCAGGGGTCCCCTCCCTTGGTGTGGCGAATAAGAGGAGAGATTTGTGGAAGGTGTGGATTGGTACAGGGGAGACTTGGGCAGATGCTGCTGCTGCTGCTGCTGCTGCTGTTGCTGCTGCTGTTGCTGCTGCTGCTGCTGCTGCTGCTGCTGCTGCTGCTGCTGCTGCTGCTGCTGCTGCTGCTGCTGCTGCTGCTGCTGCTGCTGCTGCTGCTGCTGCTGCTGCTGCTGCTGCTGCTGCTGCTGCTGTTGTTGCTCCTGATGCTCCTGCTGTTTTTGCTGCTGATGCCGCTGCTGCTTCTGCTGCTGCTGTTGCTGCTGCTGTTGCTGCGACTGTGTCTGCTGCTGCGGCTGTGTCTGCTGCTGCTGCTCCACGTGGTTGCTAGTGTGAAGCGCCACCCCCATACCTCCACCCATCCCAAAAGCCTCAACCATGCCTGGAACCATCCCATCTTGAACCATATCATGAACCATCCCATTATGATACATGCCCTCATGGCCTTCGCCTTGCCCATAATACCCACTGGTTGTTTCAGGCCCCCAGCTGTAGCTTTGCAGCTCTTCAAAGCTGTACGGAATCAGCTCTAAACGAGGATACATGTCTTCCTCCCCTGCTCCTTGCGGCTCCTCAACCCCCCCCACGCCATCAACAGCGCCAGCCAACCACCTCTCCACGTCTACTGCTCCTAAAGAACGTCTCTCCCTCCTCCTCCGCCTGCTTTCCTCCTCCCTGTCCCCCTCTCTCGTCCCGTCTCTCCCCTTATCCCTCCTCCCTTTCTGCTCCCTCCTCTCTCCGCCCTCTCTCTCTCCCACCACTGCATCCCAGTCAAGGCTTCGGCTTGCTGGCAAACCCTTTCCTCGCCTCACACTCACCTTACCCCCTTCCCCTCCTCGATCTCCTCCTCCTCCTTCTCCTCCTTCTCTGTTTCCTACTCCCCTCCCCACTACTCCCCCCCTTCCTGCAACATAGATGCCAGCGCCAGGATTCGAACCCAGATCTCTAACACCCACTTCGACTGGACACCCAATCTCATTACTCCTAGACCTTACTGCCCTCCCCCCACCCACCCTTGCCGCCACTGCTCCAGTCATTACTCTTCCCTCCGTTCTAACTGCCACTTTTTCTCCACCCACCCTTGCTCCTCCTCCTTTTGCTCCTTCCCCCTTTGCTCCTTCCCCTTTTGCTCCTTCCCCACTCGCTCCTCCCAACCTCTGTTGGTTCGAGCCTGAAGCCGCAAGTCCTTTGGAAATAGGAGGCATGAGTTGGGCTGAGGAATCAGTCACCTGATAGGTGCCTGGGCTGATAAGAATTGGTTGACTTTGTTGAATTTGCTGACTCGGTTGACTCGGTTGACTCGGTTGACCTGCTGAGCGGCCTGTGGAGGGGAGGCGAGGTTCTGTCAGGCACGCACTCAGCTGGTTCAGGTGTGGCCCAACTTGATTCAGGAAGAAGCTCGATTGGTTAGACAAAGGGCTTAACAGGTTTTGATACGGGCCAGATTGACTGAAATACGTGCTCATTTGAATGGAATATGGGCTTAACTGATTCTGGTAAGGGCTTGGCATATTCCGGTACGGGCTTGACTGATTTTGGTAAGGGCTCGACTGATTCTGATAAGGGCTTACCGGACTCTGGTAAGGACTCAACGGATTCTGGCGAGGGCTCGAGTAATTCTGGTATAAAATTGACGGATTCTGGTCAGAGCTTGACTGATTCTGGTAAGCTTCTGAATGATTCTGGTCAGGGCTCGTCTGATTCTGGTAAGGGCTCGACTGATTCAGGTAAGGGCTTGACTGGTTCTGGCAAGGACTCGACTGATTCTGGTAACGGCTCTGTTGCATGCCTGCGGAGAAAGAGTGGGAGCGAGAATGGCCTTTCTGGCCCACCAAAGGGGGGAGGCGGCTGGCAGAGGGAGGAGATGGGGAGGAGATGAGGAGCGGTGGAGAGGGGTGGGGAGGGTGTGAACGAGAAACAGAGACCCTGGATGCTGAGGGCTGGGGGGAGATGGAGCAATGCCTTGGCACTGGGGGCACTGGTGGCACTGGGGGCGCGTCAAGAGATGAGGATTGTGGGGAGACGGAGCGTTGAGATGGCACGGCTTGCTTGGGGCAGCAGGGCTTGGCTGGTTGGGAGGCACAGGGTGTGGCGGGTTGGAAGTGACACGGCGTGGCGGGTTGGGAGGCACAAGGCGTGGCGGGTTGGGAGCGACAAGGCGTGGCGGGTTGGGAGCGACAAGGCGTGGCTGGAGTGGCAGGTGCAGCAGAGGATTGTGGCAGTGCTGTTCTCTTTCTTCCTGCTGTCCCTGCCATGCCTTTTGGGGTCCCTTCTTTCCCCTTTGGGGTCACTGCCTTGCCTTTCGGTGTCACTGCCTTGCCTTTTGGGGTCCCTGCCTTGCCTCTGGGAGTACCCCTGTTCCTTGGTGCACCCTCGTCCCGTGCAGTGGCGGTGGAATGAGGTGAACGCACAGACCCAACCTTGATAGCCGAGACAGCAGCAGTGTCGGCGTGGGAGGCGGAGGCGCCTGGTGCCTTCACAGCCCGCTCTCTCTCCCTCGCTTCCTTCCGCTCCCCACCAGCAAACTCCCTCCCCTCCACCTCTCTCCTCTGCATCCCCATGGCCTGTTGTCTCCCTGTTCCCAACCCCATTGGATCTGCTGCTTTTGTGGCTGCTGCCGTTGCAGCTGCTGCTGTTCCTGCTGCAATTGAACATGCCGTGCTAATGTCTCCTGCCCTTTCGCGTCCTCCCCGCCTTGCTCCTGCCACCCTCCCTCCTCCATTCTCTCCCCCTTCCCCAGCCACCCTCCCCCTTCCTCGCACTTTATGCTGCTTTTGCCTCTGCTGCTGCTGTCGCTGCTGCCGCTGCCACTGCGGTTGCTCTTGCTGTTACTCTTCCATTTGCCATCGCTTTTCCTGTTCCCGGCACCACCCGTGGCCTCATCCTCCCCACCTGCCACCTTCCCTCCCCCAGCAATCGCACTCACTCGAAGCCCAACCTCCAGCCTCCTCACCTTCTTGCCCAACGCAATCTTGAGAGGCCGGGAGGAGGAGGAGGAGGAAGTGAGAGAGCGAGGCAAGAAGGCAGGGTTTTCTGTTCTCTGGTGGGGGATTGAGTTTCCAGCCGTCTTCTGATTCTTCCTGAGAGCTACCTTGAGGGGACTGGAGGAGGAGGAGGTGGTGGTGAGAGAGAGAGGCAAAGATGCAGGGTTCTCTGTTCTCTGGTGGGTGCTTGAGCTTTCAAGCATCTTTTGATTCTTCCTGAGAGCTACCTTGAGGGGACTGGAGGAGGAGGAGGTGGTGGTGAGGGAGCGAGGAAGGAAGGTGGCCTTTCCAGACGCCTCTTGATTCTTCCCCAGGGCTAACTTGAGCGGGCGGGAGGAATTGGCAGCTTGTGCTCTGCGGCGCACTGAAACCGGGCGGGAGGAATTGGAGGTTTCTGTTTTGAGGCGCCTGAGAACGGGGCGGGAGGAGGAGGAGGAGGTGAGGGAGCGAGCGAAGGTGCTCACGCGGGCGAGGGTAAAGTCGATAGCCCCCCTTGCAGCATTGACAGCACCAGCAGCACTGGCAGCACTGGCAGTACCGGCAGTACCGGCAGTAGTGGTGTTGCTAATGAGTCGTGTGGTTGAAGTACCGACTCTAACATGTCGTCTTGTTGTAATGCCATCCCTGCTATCCCTGTCACTCGCATCATCACCGTCACCGTCACCGTCACCATCACCATCACCATCACCATCACCATCACCATCACCATCACCATCACCATCACTATCACTATCACCATCCTCCTCCTCCTCGTCGTCATCATCCTCACTGCCATCATCATCACCACTACCATCACCACCACCACTACCAAAATCATCATCACTCCCATCATCAGCATCACCACCACCATCCGTGTCAGCACCAGTAGAGCCCCCTTCACTATCACCTCCCACCACCCTGCGCCGCCACAGCGGCAAGTCAACGAGGCTCTTGGATCGCAGGTTACGAAGAAAGGGCGGCACACTACCCAACACACTTGACCGCCCATTGTCATGCTCCTTGGCCCTTCTCACATCCTCTGCTTCCCTCATCTTCCTCTCCTTTCTCTCCTGCCTCTCCTCCTTCTCATCCCTGTCCTCCCTCTCATCCCTCTCGTGCCTCTCCTCCCATTCCTCCCTCTCCTCCCATTCTGCTCTCTCCTCCCATTCCTCCCTCTCCTCCCTCTCCTTCCTCTCCTCCCTCCTCTCCTGCCTTCCCTCACTCATCTCCGCCCTTTGTTCCTCCTCTCCTGGTGCCATTTTCAGATGCATCCCCATCTTCTTCCCTCCTCTCTCCTCCTCCTCATCATCGGTCTGCATCGACCCGTTCCTCCCTTCTGAAACCATCCGTTTTGATACCCTCCCCTCAGATACCCTCCCCTCAGATACCCTCCCCTCAGATATCCTCCCTTCCCCGTCCCCTTTACTCCTCAACCCTCTACCATCCCCCCTTCTCCCTCTCGCTCCACCTGTCCCCTCTGCATCTCCCTCCATATCGTCAAACTCTGACCCACAAAGTTCTGAAGCCTTTGTTTCCTGCTTCCCTTGCCTTTCCTGCTTTTCCTGCCTTCCCTGCTTCAGCTGCCTATGTTGCTTCTCCCGCTTCTGCTGCTTCTCCTGCTTTTGCTGCTTCTCCCCTGCCAACTCGGCCAAACTCCCAATACTATACCTTCGTTCCCTCCCCCTCCTCCTCACCTCCTCCTTCTCACTCCATACCTCCCCCTTCCCCTCTTCACTCCACCTCCCCCTCTCCCTCACCCCACTCGCAACCCCGCCATCACCTGAGCCTCTGACCCCCTTGCTAGAGGACAAATCTCGCCGTCCATTCGGCTTCTGGCTCGGTCGGTCACCCACACTCCCCTCCTCGCTGCTCCCACTCTCCTCACCATCTCCCTCGCTACAACCATCCTCATTACAGTCACTCTCACTACAGTCACTCTCTTTCTTACCACCGCCGCCCCCTCGCCTCTGCTGCCTCGCTCCATAACCCCCTCCTTTTTCTGAACCCAGCCGCTGCTGCCTGTGCTCCAGCCCCCTTCGCTTCCCATCCTTCATCCCTCTCTCCTCCACCCCTCTCTCATACCTTCCTTCCCTCCTGCCCACCATCCCCATCCCTTTCCTCTCTGCTCTCTCCTCATACTCCTCACCAACCAGCCGTCTCCTCTCCTCTTCCCCTTCCCTCCCACTCTTTCCTCCCCCCTCTCCCCCTCCTCCTCCTTTCTCCCTCCTGAACGCGCAAATGCTTCCCACCAGCAGAGCCAGCTCGTCCTGTTGCACAGCAGTGCGCCTCAACCTTAGGTCCACAATGCGACCGCACAACACCCCTCCTGACCCACCTGCACCTCCTGCACCTTCCCCACCACCAGCGCCATCATCACTGCAACTGATGCTGCTACCACTGCTGCTGCTGCTTCTGCTGCTGCTGCAGCGGCGGCTGCTACTGGGGGAGGTTCCATCCGAAGGGACGAACCGAAACCTCAGAATGACGCTCTCTGTGACTCTATCGGGGGGCAGCGCCGCCACTGCTGCCTGCCAGTTCGCTATAGTCATCTTGCCGTTAGTCAACTCAAACACCGATCGACCTACCAGCAACTGCTGTTGCTGCTGAGTCTGTCCCTCGCGCCCCATCCCGCCTTCCCCATCCTCCTTTGCTCCTGGTGCAGCCCCTCCAGCCTCCCTATTAGCTGCTTCGCTAGCAGCTAGAATCTGCCCAGTGGAAGCATCTAGTAAGAGGGTCACACCCTTAGCGGTCTCGACTCGCATCCTGGCAGCAGCAGCGTTGGGCTCAAATCTGAGTACAGACAAAACAGACTCATCCAAAGCCTCTGCCGCTGCTGCTCCTCCTGCTCGTGCTGCTGCTCCTGCTGGTGCTGGTGCTGCTGTTGCCGTTGCTGCTGCTGACGACGGTAAGACCGTTGGGCCAAGCCCCGCCTGGAAATCCGACGGAACAGACGTGACGGATTTGGAGTGCTGGTGGTGATGGTGGAAGGAGAGGGATTGTCGATGCCAAAGGCCGGCTGACTTGGTAGTATTGTGACTGTTAGTGTTCCTGCCGTCGCTATTTTCGCTGTTAGCGCTCCTGTTCGTGGTCTTGGAATTCGCGCCGCTGCTGCTGCCATTCTCCCCTGGTGACGTGTCGGGCCCTGATAGGCCAATGTAGCCTGTCCGACCCTCCGCCACTGACTTGCTCCGAAAATGCATTGCTTTATACTCGTTAGTAGCAGCAGCAGTAGCAGCTCCCTTCACGGCCTGCTCCCCACCTCGTCCCTCTCCCCTATTTTCTTCCGCTCTTCCCTCGGGATCATCCCTATGATCGTCACTCCCCCGAGACCCACTGGAAGGAAATACCGCTCCTGTTGCCCCTAAAGCAGCCTTACCGCCTGTCCCTAGAACCGCCCATAGCTTGGTCATCCCATGTTTCCCCGCTTCCGCCAAGGTCGTCAAGTGCCGTGCAGCATCCCCCCCTAGTCCTCTTCCGCCCGTTCCCCCTCCGCCTTCCGCCTCGCGCAGCATCTGCTGCTGCTCCGCGCACTTGCGGAAAAGCCTGTCCAAGTCAACGGGAATGTCGATGCTGACGTCATCGTCCGCGTCGGCGGAAGCGTTTGCGCCGGCGGGCGCGTCAGGGTCTGTTTCTAGCAGCGCGTCCGCGGCGGAACTCCCGAGGTCGCTTGCGCGGAGGTCCGGAACGACGGCAAGGGGGTACTTCCCCCTCTCAAGGGGGTATTCCCCATTTTGAAGGGGATATTCCCCCCTCTCGCCTCTAAATTCCGAGTAAATTCTGCCACTGGATGCGCCGTCAAATAAGCCGGGAAACCTGTGACTGCCAATCCCGCTAGTGGCGGAAAGAGCAGCAAGGCCAGCGGAGGATCCGCCATGGCCAGAAGAGGCGGCGGCGCAAGGCACGGCGGGTCGGCCGGCTTTGTCGAGCTTGAGGCGACGACGACCGCCGGGAGCAGGGGAGAGAGGACCGGGAGCATCATCGCCAGGCGTTAGCGTCGCGAGCGACAGCATAACGATTCTCTATGCGAATCAAAACCTGACGACGACCGCCGGGAGCAGTAGACAGAGCACCCGGAAGCGACGTCGCTAGCTGCTAGCTTTGCGAGCGACGGCATATGAGCTACATACAAGACTCGTATTTCGGCGAAAGGAGGAATGTATACGCATTTTAAAGGAAAGAGACCCGTATTTCGGAAAGGATAAAAAAGGCGACACTATTCGAATAAACCAACAGCTTTCACCCTCTTGAGTTCCTGATACCCGAGTTTGAATCCTGGAGGTCGAGAGAGACTCTCAGAGACTCAACCGACTGCCACTTTCTACAAGGCACTATAATACTATGACCCACCACTAGGTCGGTCGACTTGGCTAGTTCAGAGATCGCACGCTGATATTGTTTTTCCTCTGCGAATCGAACCACACGATTTCTCGCACTGGAAAAAGGAGCCATGGCTTCAGTTCCAGAGCACGTATTGCACAACAATGAACGTGAGGTGGGAGAATGGAAGGAAAGTACGGCCTGTGGAGAATCTTCAAGCTGTCTCTACTGAATCGAAGGAATGTGGCTGGAAATAAGCTGCGAACAGTAGTGTGAAGCACAGGCAGGCAGCGCATCCCCAACTGCATCCAGTTTTTCATTCCCGATGAACCCGAGAATCATGATTCACTCGGCTGGGTGTGGGGAAGAATTCGAGGGACGAGCACCCAGACCTGCGCGTTCTCCCTGCCAGAGCGGGGTTGTCGAAATCCCTGCAAATGATGGTTGGTGTCGGTCGGGTCCAGTGCTTGCACTATCTGAGGGTGTGTTACATATGACGATCGCCCTGGGAACAACCTGGGTGTGAGCCAGCATTTCCCAGCCCGCAAGAACTTAGTCATCAGAAAGCAGATGCTTACGACGTGCAAATCGTCAGCCTAGTCCCACCCGGTGTCTCACATGGACCTTCGCGTTGTAGTGCTACCCGAAAAGGTAAACTCCTACGCCGGGAAACTTGCCCAAACCTATCCAGAACGACCCCGCGCCCTGACTCTGAAGTGCGGCTACGGCGGCAGGGAATGTCGCCCACGCGTGCTGCACAGTTGCGTCCGCACATCGTCAGGATACGTACGGCCTGGATGGGGGGTTCAGGCGATGTGTGGTCCGGCTGTGAGGCCTGATGCCTGGACTTGAAGCGTTCCAGCGGTTTGAGTGTATTCGCTATAGCGACGAAGGTTGTTAGGCATGGAGTGTAGAGAGGTCCCAACAGAAGTCGGGGTTTGAAACTTCCAAGTGCTTCCCAAATATCGTACGATGGTTTACGAAATAAGGTACTCGGATCAGCTTCAAGGCACCTGTGATTTCACAAATAACTCCACATCAAGGTGAGAACCAACTCTTTCCATTCCTGCTAGAACTGCCTTGCTCCACATCTCACAATTATACATGGAGAGAGCAAAGCAGCAGCTCCAGACAAGCTAGCGAAGCCATGGTGGCAGTAGTACACATGGCAGTGTGACTCCCCGCGGGTAAGGGGCGGGTTTACTTGAGGGGAATGAAGCGGGAGGAGTGAGTGGCACCAATACCGGGCCGACCGTGCTTCACGGGCTTGTAGCTCAGGGAGAACTCAGCCAGATAGTGACCAATCATCTCAGGCTGCGCAAACAAGAGCCAAGCATGAAGCAGAAAGACAAAGAAGACTTGGATGTTGTTAGGAAAGTGGAAACTCGGTAAACACTAACAAATCCAAGCATCTGAAACAACAACTCTCTTGGATCTCAAGTAAGAGAAATTGGCTTCAATTGCAAAACACTTGCAGCTCGAGTCACCCTGTTTGTTTAGGCGAAATCGAGTGGTTGGGTTGGAGGTTCAGTGTGCGACTGATCCCCGATTTGCCCGTGAATCTCAATTGCAAAACAAATTGCTGTGCATGAGATTTTTCGGCAAGTGAGACACATTGCTGGGAAATGAGCTTCGGAACCCAACCAGATTTCCGTGCCTAGTTGGTTCGGAAGTTCACTGCGATTTTTGTTTGCTTCGCATCCCTCGTTTCAGCTCTCGTCAACTACTCTACCTCGTCAACCAATCACAGCCTAACACAATTCACTAACTGCAAAACAGCCAAACTACTTGAGATCCTGGCTTTAACATTCGTCCCAAAAACTCCGCACCACACCACACATCCCATTCCCTATCACCTCGCATTCCCTATTTTCCAAGACACATTAATTTTGATCTCGTTCTGACACGCCAACAGTATGCATGCCAATGACGCTACCAATCACCATGACTCATTCCTTTCTTCCCAGCCCACCTTGATTTCGATATGGTTGAACACGCGGCCGTTGTACACGCCAATGACGCTGCCGATCATCTCGGGTCAACCCAAACGTCACATTGACACCTTGTTCCCCGTGCATACCCGTTCCCAGCGCACACTACCGATCACCATGACTCATTCCCTTCTTCCCAGCGCACGCACCTTGATTTCGATCTGGTTGAACACGCGGCCGTTGTACACGCCAATGACGCTGCCGATCATCTCGGGCACGATGATCATGTCGCGCAGATGCGTGCGCACCGCCTCGGGCTTCTCGCCCTCCTCCGCGTCGCGCTTCTGAGAGCGTGACGACACGAAACAGATTGGGGAAGGGAAGTGGAGAAGGAGGGGGGAGTTGGTGGGGAAAAAGGGAGGGAAGGAGGGAGAAAGGGGGGGAAGTGCAGAAGAGTGTGAGTCGTCACGGAAGACAATGGCTCTGTGGAAACACAGTGTGCGTTCTGATAGGCATTCTGCACATAAGCACTGCTTCAAGCCTTCTTGCTACGCTATGCTGCCCTTCCCACTCTCCACCAGCTCAAGTGATCACGGATTCCTATCTTCCTTGCTATCTCCAACCACTAAGCCGTTTCCTGTCTCGCGCGCCCCAGTTTTCCAACTACCACCCCTCATGTCACTTCCACCACTCCCCACCTCTCACCACCCCACACCACTCCATTCCCAGCACCCCTCACCTCCCACAACTCCACTCCATCCACTCCCCACCCACAACCCCACCTCCCGCCACTGCCCTTTCCCCCGGTTCCTCCTTCCACCCGTGTACAGCCGCAGCCCGCTGCTACCCCTCCCTACCCAGCCCATCGAGAACACGCACCGCCTTGCGAAGCTTCTTCATGAGGGCGAGCGGCTTCCTCTTGAGACCGCGGCGGAACCTGCATCGGGGGGAACGGGCGGACGGGGGAACGGAGGGGGGCCGGGCGGGGACGGGGGGGCACAACGTGGAAGGGGGGAATGGAGGGAAGTGGGGAGGGAGGGGGAAAGTTGGGGGGAAAAAAGAGGGAGGATGAGGGGGAAGGGCGCGAAAATCAATTATGACCAAATCGACATTACAAATGGGGAACACTTGGGAGGAAGGGAAGATGGGCTGGGAGGGGTTGGGGGGTTGGAGGGGATGGAGGATGCTGGAGGACAGAAGAGCGGATTAAAAACAGCAACACATGACATGAGCGCATCGCGACCAAGAAACCCACTGCGATACCCAAAGCACAAATGGCTAGGTTCGCCGCACTACCCCATCGTGTCCTCCCGTTGCGATCAACATCCGTTTCTACCCAAATACGCCTCTTCCTTCGGTACCAACTCCCATCGACGAAAGGTAAGATCTACATCAGCTTCCTCCCGGGATTCAAACAACCTGCAAAATCGCCCTCTAATTCCTGCTCCGCTTGTGGTTAATCGAGGCCCCCTATTCCCCCAGCTCCCCTGTTCCTCTGTTCCTCGCCGCCCTGTGGATGCACCTGCCTTGAAAATCCTCGCACCAGACGTACACCCTCCCTCGCCTTTGCTCGCATTCGCCCGTCTTCGCCCAGCTTGGCCAGCATTAGCCAGCCGTCGGCGGCTTTTCTGCTCCTGCTAGGGGACACATGTGCCGCTATCCGCTCCGCTACGCGCTCCTGCTACTGAGTTAGGAAACGCACCCTTGCGCGTGAGACAGCGAAACGCACTCCTGCCCACTGCGTTTTCCTAGACCCAACTTCCCTAATTTACTCCTTTTTCCCCAGATCCAGGTCGAAAACGCCTCGCGCCACTCTAGTCAGCAAACAGTCCATCATATCGGCCAACCAAGCCTAACAGACGTTCGCATAGGAGAGATCGAGACTAATGTCTGGGGCAAGTATCATGTTCGCTCAAATAATCGACGAAACAGCCGAGAGTGAGCTCCGTGTCTGAAACTCCAGCTCAGCCCCCAAAACACCGCCGACAACACTGACCCTAGCTTCCTACGACTCGCAAGAACCTTGCGAACGAAATACGGATACCAGCACTCGCGAAAAAAAACGTACCGTCTGCGAGCGCGCGCGGTGAAGAGGTTGACGAGCTCCTCGTTGCCCATGTCGAGCAGCGCATCGAGGTCGATGCCTCGGAAGGTGAACTTCTTGAACGTGCGCTTCTTCGGCTGCACCTCCTCCGTGTCCGCCTGGACGCGCAACGCAGCGACATGGATCGTGAATAGGGAGGACACACGTCGTGGGAGGAGTTAGAAAGTCGTTAACCCATCCTACTCTTCGGGTAGAGATCCTCGGCTTTTGCCTCGATAGTACATGACAGACTCGCGTAGAGTGAATTTTCGCTGATCCCGCGACAGAACACGTGCGAAGGATCCCGCGAAAACGTCATATACATTCGAGCATTTATTGGTGCGATTTGGAGAAACAGAAATTCGTCAACTCTAGAAACCCTAACATCAGGCTCCGTAACGATCGCAACTCTTAATACTGGGATAGGAACTTGTAGCAGCCATAAAGGAACGCAGAGTGTGCCTACCATGTTGGATAGTTGACTAAGGAACGAGTAGAGCTAAGGGGCTGAGAGAGAAGCGGCAGAAAGGAGAGTAAGGAGGAGGTAAGCTAGAATTTCAAAGGGAGAGCACAGCGGGCGGAAGGGGATTTTCTGCTGGCGGAGTTTAGCAGCCGATTTGTTCCGAGTGGGGGGAGTGCGGTATTCCACGCAGCGTTGGAGCGCGAGACGGGGAACGGCGGGCCGAATTCCTAGGGATGCGGCGGATGATTGGAGGGACTTTCTATTATGAGATTCCGCAGTCCCCGCATGAAGGGCAATCACGCGCTGGTGGTGTCCCACAGCGAATTACATGCATCATTTGAAAGAAACCCGTTCTCCTCATTCGTCCTTGTTTGTACCTTCTCAATCCCATCTCATCAAACAAACCAATTCATTTCAAATATCTCTTCACATGTTCACCAACGCACTCTACTTTCCACTCTGTGATGACTACTAGACTGAAGTTTATGTTAACAGAAATAAAGTCCTACAACTTTTTCATTCTTTAGAATTTCCAGCGTATGGCTGGGGCAACCTTCGATTCAATGGATCCTTCTCTAGTTGCAACTACGCTCCTTTTGTGATTGCAACTACGCTCCCCCGTCGTGCCAATTATAAGTGTTGGCACATGCATTGATGGAAATGTTTCTTGTGGCGCCAAATGTTGAAACAGGTGCTTACCTTAGTAGGCTTAGAAGCCTAGGGTTTAGCTAGCATGAGAGTAGCGAGAGGAAGGTCGAGGGTGTTGGCCAAAAGGGGAGATGCACTATAGAATTGCTAGTACAAATAGATAAGAAACATGCAAGGAGGGGTGCACCACAAGCAGGAAACTATATAACTACACTACAGCTAGAACTACATGCAGTTATACATAGATATATATAAAATATATTCTGACACACCCCCTAACTGCATGCAGGAATAGCCATGTGCAGAACACCCCCTGAAGGGGTACACCCTGCGCAGCGGAAGACAACAGAGAGGTAAGTGAGGAGGAGGAGGCGAGCGGTGAGAGAGAGAGATGAGGAGAGGAGGTGGGGGGGAGCCAAGCGCGGCGAGCCCCTCTTACGAACCCCCTTTTTACAAAGGGGGGGGGGTGAGAGAGGGAGGAGAGGAGGTGGGGGGGAGCCAAGCGCGGCGAGCCCCTCTTACGAACCCCCAATTCCACACCCCCTTTCAGCCACCCCCCTCACCCCCCTTGTTCAGCCGCCACCCGGAACCGCACCCCTTCCGCCACCCCCTCACCCTCCCCCCACAGCGGCACGTACGGCAGTGAGAGAGAGAGGAGGAGGGGCGACAGCAGGTTGCTCGCACCCGCCACCCCAAACCCTCCCCCCCCCACTGCTGCACGTGCAGCAGGGAGAGAGAAGGGAAGGCGAGCGGCGGCTGGCGGTGCAGCGTCTCTCCCGCCACTTCCCCCTCACCGTCCGCCACCCCAACCACGTCCCCCCACTGTCCGCCACCCCAACCACGTCCCCCCCACTGTCCACCACCCCAACCACGCCCCCCCCCCCCCTCCCCCCCTTTCAGCTGCACGCGCAGTAGAGGGAGGGAGAAGAAGGGGGGGCGGGGTAGAGGCTGCACTTGCGGCTGCAGATTCGTGTGCAGCTGAGTGTGCAGCTGCGCGTAACGAGGGGGGGAGGGGGCGACGGGAAGGGGGCGACGGGGCCGCGGGCGACGGAGCGGCGCGGAGCGACGAGGGGGCCGCGGGGCGTCCGGCGAGGGCTGCAGCGGCAGGGCAGCGGGCAAGGAGCGGGCAGGATGTTGGCAGGGCCCGTTGGGGTCGTTGGCGAGGGTCGCTGGCGACGGTCGCTGACGGCAGGCGCTGGCGCTGGCGACCTTCGCTGGCGACCGTTGCTGGCGCTAGCGACGGTCGCTGACGACAGGCACTTGCGCTGGCGACCGTCGCTGGCGCGCTCGCCACGGCTCGCTGGCACGCTCGCCACGGGCAGAGCGCGACGTATAGGCTGCGGGCAGAGCGCGACGGAACCCCTGCGGGGCGAGCATTGAGGGACGGGGCAGCCAGCACGCGGCGTGCTAACGGGCTGCGCGACTGGTGGGCCCATGATTCTTAAGATAAGGGGAAAGGTCCTAGGGAAGGACCTGCTCTGATCGCATGTTGAAACAGGTGCGTAACTTAGTAGGCTAGCATGAGCGTAGCGAGAGGAAGGTCGAGGGTGTTGGCCAAAAGGGGAGATGCACTATAGAATTGCTAGTACAAATAGATAAGAAACATGCAAGGAGGGGTGCACCACAAGCAGGAAACTATCTAACTACACTACAGCTAGAACTACATGCAGTTATACATAAATATATATAAAATATATTATGACACCAAAGTGATGGCCTGTCGTTTGTTCTTAGTTGTTGCATGATGAACTTGGGAGCTAGGGAACGTAGGAGCTTGGGAACTTGAGAGAGAACACCCCCTGAAGGGAGGCACAGCCCGAGTGCGAAGGAGGGAGAACCGGAGGCATGCGCAGCAGAAGATGCAGCAGCACGCAGTGCACGGTAGGTGCAGCGGTGGTAGATGCAGTGGCGGCAGATGCAGTGGCGGCAGATGCAGCGGCGGCAGGTGCTCAGCGATGGCAAATACAGCGCCGGCAGGTGCGGCGACTGCTGCAGGCGGCGGCGGCAGGTGCTCAGCGGCAGCAGGTGCAGTCGCGGTAGGGTGCAGCTGCGGCAGGTGCGGTGGCGGCAGGTGCGGCGGCGGCAAGTGCGGCAGCGGCAGGTGCAACGACGGCAGGTGCAGCGACGGCAGTTGCTCAACGCGCACGAGGAGGGATAAGAGAAATAGAAGGAGGAGAGAGGGGGGGGGGAAGGGGGGGGGGGGGGGGGGGGGGTGGGGGGCATGCCCGTCGTCCATCACGACCGCCATCCCCGCAACCTCCCCCCACAGCGGCAGCCGCGGCAGGGCGCACGCCAGGCACGTGGCGAGCGAGGCAGGTGCGGCAGTAGGCATGTTGGGCTGCGGCTGGCGTTGTAGGCTCACGGCCGTCACCCCCGCAGCCTCCCTCCCACATCAACAGCCGCGGCAAGGCGGGCGAAGGGCGCAGCAGCTGCCGCAGGCGCGGCAGACACGACGGTCGCCCTGTCGATCGCGCTGGTCGTCGCGACCGTCGCGCAGTTCATCGCAACAGTCGCGTTGATGGCGCGTTAGCGGTAGCAGGTCGCTCCGCAGTAGCAGCAGAAAGTGCCCAGCAGCAGAACGCGCCATATCAGAGAACGGCGCCATAACAACAGTGAGGGTCTAAACCTGCTCTGGTACCATGTCAGAATGGGAAGATAGGAGATTGGAAACTTGGGAGAGACTAGGAAAGTTACGATAGCAAACAAGGGTTGAATAGAAAGAGAAGGCGCAAGAAGTACAAGCAAGGGCAACGCAAAGGTGCACCACCAACAGTTGTAACAATAGTAACTAAGTTTTTGCTGTAGGCAATTTATAAAAATTTTGACACTACAAATACGACATAAGATAGTGGCTATTTGAGGTTGTGATTCCTCCATATCTACTTCTGTATTATTGTTAAAAGGGGCATAAAGGCGTTCCTATATTCATGGGCCTCCATTCTCCTTCTATGTACAACATTCATAGTAAGCCATGGACGATACAAAAAAATAACTGCCCACAGCGACGGGGGATTGGATTTTCCACTCAATGCGCAGTTGTACAAAAGCCTGCCTTATAGTGTAAAGCTCATAACACAACAAATGAAACGTTGTTGCAATATATCATCCCCGTTTCAATATGTTTTCTTTTTGTAAGATTTTGTAAACTTCCCCTTTCGTATGTTTGATGCTCGTTTGATGGGGAGGACACCCTCAATTACACTCGTTGTACGCCTCAAAGTGACTTCACGATCTGGTGAAGTACAAAATGGCCTTCAACTCGACTCGTAATAGCTTCTAATGCGCCCCATGTATTTAAAAAAACGTGAATCATTTTTCTAATACTATTACCGTGTCCGGTTCCACAATTTGTAATCAAGGCTCTTGATATGTTTGGGGAGCACCGCGGGATTCGAGTTCCAGCCCAATTGCACCGTGCCACTGCAGTATGACAGGCGCAACATAGCTAAGAAAGGTAGGGTTTTCCCTTTAGCATCTCGGAAATGGCAGTGTGGAATCTTAGCGAACATTGTGTTTCAGTGTTTCTTTTGCGTGAACCTACCAAAATTGCCAGCAAATGATCGAGTTTTGGTTCCACAGAACTGGAAGTGTAGGGCTCTTTGGGATGGGAGACGCAGGGAAAATAACAGGTACTTAATTGTATTGCGCGGGGTGTGAAATGTCAAATCATATATGCATGTTTAGGTTATCTAGGTTGTATGGGGGTTAGCACTAGGGGGTACAACATTTCTCTCGACATTCTTCTTGTACCCCCCCCTTGACCTTATCACACATTCCTTCCTAGTATTCTAACATGGTATTAAGAGCTAGGACGGTCCTAGCCTAGGACCGTAATTAAGGGCCCACCACATTCGTTTTCACCTGCCCGACCGTTAGTTTCTGCCCTGCCCAGCGTTTCGAGCTGCACTGCCCTTTTCTGCCGTGCGCAGCCCGTACAATCCGCGTAGGCCCGAGCACAGCCCGTACAGCCCGCGCCAAGCCGTCACGCAGCCCGTACAGCCCACGCCAGGCCCGCGCGCAGCCAGTACAGCCCGCGTAGGCCCGTCGCGAAGCCCGTACAGCCCGCGCCAGGCCGTCGCGCAGCCCGTACAGCCCACGTCAGGCCCGCACGCAGCCCGTACAGCCCGCGCCAGGCCCGCACGCAGCTCGTACAGCCCGCGCCAGGCCCGCACGCAGCTCGTACAGCCCGCGCCAGGCCCGCACGCAGCCCTTACAGCCCATGCCTGGCCCGCACGCGGCCCGTGTTACTGCTGCACTCACGCTGCTGCTTCGCTGCTGCGCCTGAACTGCTGCTGCAGTGCTGCTGCCGCGCACTGCCCTGCACCAGCTACGCCGCCCCTGGAGCAGCCGCCCCTGGA